TCAAGTTGTACTTGAACAAACAGCTCACACATCAAAAGGTAACAAGTCGGAATGGGATTCCAAGCAATACAAGTATGTGTGGGAGTGGTCCTTTTATCTGCGTGATTTACCAGGTAGGGCTGAAAACATGTGGGCGCTGTTAAGCCAATTGAGAACATTCCCCCACCACACTCCAGTGGGCGAGCGTCTTAGCGCGGGGGTTGGTTAACCACTAAAAACGGAATCATGTGACTCTAAATTTGGAGTCTTAGAATGTAAACAATAGAAGACATTAACTTAAGAAAAGAGCTTAACGGGACCCCAAATTCTCCTCTACTTATAGTTATATATACTTAATTACAGGTATAATTTTATTTAATTAAATTAATTAACGGAAGATATTATAAAAATAAAAAATATATAATAATGTTTATTTATAGTTATTTATTTAACTAACTATTAATTATTAATTTATAAATATTAAAAATATAATATATTATAAATTTTTTAATAATATAATTTTAATTATTTAATAATATAATTTTAATTATTTAATAATATAATTTTAATTATTTAATATATATATATTTTAATTATTTAATATATATATATTTTATAAAAAAATAATAAATTTAATAATTATTTTTTATTATTAATTAAATTAAATTTTAAAATAAATAAAAAAAAATTATTTAATAAAATTATTTAATAATATATTTTTTTTTTATTTTTTTAAAAATAAAATTAAATATTTTAAATATTTTATTTATTTTATTATTTTTTTTAAATATATAATTATAAAACTTTTTTAAAAAAAAAATAATAGTTTTTATTATTTATTTTTTATATATTTTTAATAATATATTTAAATATAATTAATTAAAAATTATTAATAATATAAAAATTTTTATTAATTAAATTTAATATAAAATTATTAATTATATAATAAATATTAAAATATATTTATTAATTATTTTTATAAAATAAATAAAAATTTATTATAAATAATTAATTTAAAGTTATTATTAAATAATTTATAATTATAATTTAATTTTTTATAAAAATATAAAATTTATTATTATTATAAATTTTAAAAAATATAAATTAATTAATATATTTTAATTTTATTTATTTAAATATAAAAATTATAAATTAATTTATTTAATATTTAAATATAATAATTTTAATAATATTATAATAATATTTTATAAATAATTTATTATTATATTAAATATTTATAATAATTTATAATTATTATATAATATAATTAATTTATAATTATTATATAATATAATTAATTTTTTTTTATTTTAAATAAATTTTATATTATTAAAAATTATTTTAAATTATATTATATAATTTTTTTTTAATAATTAAATTTTTATATATAATTAAAAACTTTTTTATAATATATTAAAATTATTTATTAAAAATAAGCTTTATTAATATTTTATTTAATAATAATATAAATTTTATAATTTAGTTAATTATAAATATAATTATATTATTTTTTTTTATTATAAAAGTATTTTTTAAAAATAAAATTAAATATAAATATATTATTTATTTTTTATTAATAATAATAAATATACACTAAACGTAGTTAAATTTAAATTAGATTACTTATTAAAGATATTTATCTGTAAATAAGTAAGGTTATACGCTGGATATACCCGCTACTTTAAGAGATGGCAAAGGAGTCATCTCGGGTGAGCTGGGTGCTTGGGATGACCCGATGGGCGCCTTAGGTGACGTTGAGTGCGCCGGGGAAAGGCTCTTCTCTTCCATTCTAAGGCATTCCTCCAGCTCCGCAGAGTATAACAAAGCTAGAAGACGTAAAGGACAAATTACTCCAAGTGTGCCGCGCACCGGACCCTTCTGGAGACAAAACTGCTACGACTTATGGCACAGGTCCCAACACAAACAGCCTTATTACCTCTCTCTTTCTCTCTCTCTCTCTATACCAGTCATTATTCAGGAAGTCATCTGAAGCCTGCCGCAATATGACTAAAATGGAGCAGAAGGTTACGGTGCCATTTAAGCTGGCGGCAAACATGATCCCCCAAGCCGCATAAGGTAGCTATGTATATAGACAAAATGTAGTGACTTTATGGCGACGAAGTATCAGTATATTATAGGGAAGATTCAGAGACTATGTAGTACGGGTACCATAAGAAGGTGGCCAGTAGTGCTCGTACTGCTGGGTATTGCTGGCGTAGCTACTATTCTGGCGTAGTGCGTTTTAGTTCATGCCCACTTCCCCAAGAAGCTCATGAGAACCATGCCAGCAATAAGACCAAAACCGGCAAAACCAGTGACCAAGGCGTTCGAGTTGGTCAACTCCCCATCATATATCCAATCGCGAGCCCACATTTCAACCACTCCAACCCACACAAGGATACCAGCTGAAAGTGCGTCCAGCGTCCCAAGCGCAATTAGCGTAGATGGATCGTTACCATTAAATTTGTGCAAAACCCCAATGCCGATGGCCATTCCGACAGGGGTCACGAGTGCGAACGCCAACGCCATGTACATCATGTTCAACCATGACAGTTTCCTGCTTGAAAGTTCCACGTCATTTACGGCAGCTCCTGTCGTCGTATCAATCTTTCTCGAGGTCGGCGGCGACGGGCTACTGTGGCCACTATGGCTCGTTATTGTTTTATATCCCACGGCTGCAATACGAGTGCCGAGGGCAATGCCTTCGAAAACTTGGTGGAAGACGATGACAATAAACAGTGTGATGAAGAAGGAGTCACCAGCCACGACGAGGGTCAGTCCAATCACTGTTTTCCATTTAGTATGATGCCATGTAAAGTTGCGTCAAACTTGGCGACAAAGGTGTCGACAGGGCGTTGAAGATGAGTCTGAGGGAAGAACTTACGCAGGGAATGAAAGATGATACCCGCTTCCAAAACTAAAACGTTCACTACCTCATCGTTCTGTCTAGAAGATCCTGTCTCTGTCGTGCTAATTGTTCTGGATATACGGTGCGCAACATAGTCGGCCAGCCATGAGAGAAAGAGGCCAGCCATGACCACTGCCGATGTTAGACCTTCATATTCTATGGATAGGCATTCATTCGTAAACATCAACGTGGCATGTGTAAAAAGCTGTCCGAGAAGTTAATACAGCTTTTGCCGTCAATTTTATATAGTAACCAGCGAGGGGATACTTGCATGGACAAATGCAGTAGAGATTATTACACCAGTTCCAAACTGCTTTAATATTAAGAAAATGATGTGGAATTTCTTGGGTAATGTTGAGGCGAGGAATATGGGTGCAGAGACACCTAGACACCCAAGTTAATATAGCTGCCGATAATATTTGTCAAGTTATTGTTTGGTTTGTTACCTATGAAGCTCGTTACCAGAATGACGAAAAGGAGGCCGATCCTGAGAGGGATATTATAATCACGTTCCTGGCGAGAGCAGTTTTTCACGCCTTCATTTTCACCATCTCCCCCAACGCAGTGCCTTGCCAAGGTCAACAATCCTGCTTCGTGTTTTGAAGGTGGAAAAATTAGCAGGGGAAATCAAGAACACGCTTACTCGACACCAGCGTGGAAGTGACAATGCTCTCCATCGGGATCTGCAGTGTCGTCACCAGAGCTGGAACCGTCGTCTTCGCCGCCCTCGACGTCGGTGATGACTTCAACATCCTCGCCGTTAGGGTCAAGGCAGTAGCTGTGATTATATGAGTTTCCTTTTTCGCAATGTAAGCATCTCAAAGAGATTGATTACGTATCAGCGCCGTGGTGATGGCAGCCAGTATACTCTGGCGCCGGTCTCGTCGTCCCGCTTGCAATGACTTGATACTCTGTCGTACCAACCATGCAAAAACTATAGAAGAGCAATTAGACCTTTGTTACTCAAGAATTTTGGGCCGTGAATTTCGAGTTCTGAAAGGGAACACGCACAACTCAGTACCGTGTGCGTGGCAGGCGGTCACCGATTCGAAGTCATTGCTCGCAGCAGTCGCACTGGGCGCTGGAGTGACCGACGGTGCGGCGGTTGATGCTGCTTGTCGCTGAACAAATTGTGCTGGATGCAGCCCAGAAACAAGTGGCGCTAAAAGTAGTGCAAAAGTGCACAAATTTGGAGTGCGGAAAACACGGATATCCTGAGGTTGGAAGTATCCCATACTGAGGAGTTAGATGTGTTGCAATCTGATGATTCGGAAACAAGGTGACAATGATTATAGAGAAGAGGAACGTTTAATACAGTGACAAAATGTCCGATGTCTGAGCGAAGGCTGGAATTTATCGACGAGTAAGAGACTTTTTAGCTAGTTATTAAGTTGTGTTTGAACAGCCTTGAACATGCGCAAGCTTGCTTGAGGGAGGAAATAGTGCATGCCGCACATCGACGGCCAAGATCAGTCACAGCGACAATGATTCTCCATTTGATTTCCCGTTCTCGAAGCTCGAAGGTCCATCAAGGTTCCTTCGCTCTCGTAATTTTCTATTGCCACAGTCCTTGGCAAGCCAATGCCAAGAGAACGAGTGACTTTTAGACCAGGAGCTCGGGCGTACTATGGCAAAGGTCCTTCACAATGCCATGGACGCAGTTCGGATGTCTGTCCTAGAAGGTCTATCAAGGTGTTCTACTATACCTCACCGTTCAATATTGCCAAGCATCTTGGCAAGCTGATGCCAACGAGTCCGGGTCTTGGCTTTTGCCAAGATTCGCCGACTGGCAAGCGACCAATTTTGCCACTTTGGAGTGAGCCAGGAATCTATTACCAAAAAGCATTCAAATTGGAACCTGGTACGTGGGGTGTTATCAAGGGTTTCTGCAGATCTCTCTCCATCGATGTGCAGTGAGGCCTTTGATGTGATAATTAATTTCGTGAATTAACTAGGTTTCCCAAACTGTGAGTAAGAATCTGGGACATGAAAATCTCCCAGCGCTATTCGTATTCCTGGTTCCGCTCTTTATGTTGTGAGACGGTATTAGTTTGATATACAGACGGCATCTCAGAGGAACCTAGTGGTAAACTACGGACGAGCGCAAAGGTAGAGCGGTGGAGCGTGCCCTCGCCTTCAAGGACCCTTAGATATCTTACTGTGGTAGAGTTGGAATATAAGAGTTAAGCAGAAGAGCTCTTGTATTGCAATTGTTCACTGAATATATAGTTTCTTGAATGTTGCTTTAATACTGTGAAGCAGGGTGTTGAACACTGCTTTCAACTAGGTTCCTTCAGATCTATAACCAAAATGAAAGCGTCGCGCACTCTTTGCACTCCTCGGTCTGAAACTCTTAAGGTTCTAGATTATATGTATTGACGCTTTCTGTAACCTCCATATGTGTGTTTCATTGACTGTAGGTGCATTGCGTAACTGAATTTGTCAGATTACTTAGACCGGAGTTTTGGCGCTTGAAGTTATACCTCGTCGCTCATCCCAGTTGAAGAGAACTTGGATCTAGCGAGTAGCATCATCGCAGTGATACTCTGTGGTTCCATCAGGGCAGACGCCGCCATGGGAATGACAGGTGTTGCTGTTGGGTTTGCGACCGGCACAGCAGAACTCGCAGTTGCCAACAGGTGCACCGCAGTTTGTGGGTGGAACACAAGTTCGCAGAATAAGGTATGAAGTCGAAGGAGTATCGCGGGGCATGGGCGAGGTAGCCGCCGCCGCAGCCGCGAGGGCGTAAGGTAGAATGGCGAAGACCTTGAAGGAAACCATGTTGGTAAATTTAGGTTGACTAGAGGCGTGTTTTCGGGAACAATACACTGTTGTCACTCTTATGATAGTTGTTGCCAGCAGACTTACACACGAAGAGACCTGATCATAGTTTATATAGGCAGCGAATACAATACAAGTAGAACAGGAGCGTGCTACTCATTGATCGTCATTGCTACCAGACACCTCTCAAGGTTCTTGAGGATCATCCTATCTGGTTTATCCCATGACGTGAAATCCATCAAGCATCTCGTTCCAATACCATGCGGTAAATTATCATCCTATTGTTGGCATTTGCAGATGGATCGTCACGCAGTAACCTGTTTTCAACTTTGTCGAGGATGCAGCCAAGAAATATAGGTTCTTGGCCAGTCCAGAGAGGTTCTCACGCCACAATAACCCTCGAAGCAGAGTGAAATGATCCTAGAAAGTGGGGTAGTCCATTCCTGACCATGTTGGTAGCTTTAACGCTTCATCTTTGGCGGCATTATTATCGGCATTGCCAATTGGCAACGAATCCGTCGGCCTGTCCGGGAGACGCTCGATCTGATCCGGCTCATGCTGTGGCGCTCAGAGCTCAGAGAGAATGTGCCACTCAGAGGTCTCTCCTGACACATGTCAACATATATAACCAGAGACGCACAGTCGTAGGCCAATCCTACTCACAACAACCTATTATCCCATCCACACATGTTGGCGAAGCCAATCTCCTATTCCAGTTTGTTTAACTCACTCATTCTTTAAGATCGCAAAATGCATCTCAGTCTAGCCATTCTCATCGCCCTGTCGGGTATGCAGCCGGTAGCAGCCCAATGCACGACAAGCACCCAAGTCATGGTTGGTATTGACACCACCGTTACCGACCTAAACGCCTTCCAGAGCTCGCTCAACTCCGCGTTTCCGGTTTCGTCTGGAGGTGACTCGGACACCACGATCTTTGTTCATACCTCACTCTATACATACCCGGGAGGCAGCTTTTATGGATATGCCACTGCGGACCCCGAACAGCTGAAGAGCGCTGGTTTCCATCTGGTAACAATGACGCAGACGACTACGTCTTGTCCCCCAACGACGACCGAGGAAACATCCGCGTCATTTAGCCTGCCTCCCTCGCCGACTGGCTCAATCTGTACTCCGCATGAGGATCACTGTATGTGCAGTCTTATTCGATGTTGACTCGTTACTGGCTGAGGAAGCCAGGATCTGAAGTCAACTCCACACGGGCATTGTGACATGAAGCTAAATAAGGATTGTAGGGCATTGCTCGCCGACAAACAGCGTTTCTGAGCCTAGCGCAACCTGTTCGCCACATTTCGATCACTGGCACTGCCCTCCTGGTGTGCCATCTCCCACCTACCTACCACCACTAGAAGCGACAGGCACATCGTCCTTCGATGAGACCACGACTGGTGGGCCGTCCGGGACATCTGCGGCAACATCGGCGCCGTCGACTGTGGATACGAACGCTGCGTCTAAGCCTATGGCGATGACACTACTGGGAATTGTTTCCTTAGCATGTCTCATCTCCAACTTTGTCTAGTAGAATTGAGAGGTATGGCACGCATAGAGAAACACATCTGGGTGTTGAATCATGAAAAGAAGGGTCTATGCACCCCTCGACTGAAGGCTGTAATACAGTACGAAATGAGATGGTTCTAGTCGTAAGCTTCTGTAGTTCAAATAACTGAATGATGAGAGGGTGCAAACTTCCGTTCGACTACCCACCAACAGCACCTACCATTTGGGTAGCACATAGAGAGATTAATTGATATTCTCGCCTTATTTAAAGTCATGGACTCTTTAATACATGTTCTGTCCATTTTACGAGTAAAATATAGAGTTGTACTAACGTTCGTGAGAGTTGAATAAGCTGATATACCTTCGATATCCAGCTTGTTTTGTATGGCCGTGCCATTAAGAAGGTCAAACGCACACAAATAAGTCGTGTAGCTCCAGACAGCGGAGCAGCAAGGCGCCAAGCACAAACAGAACACTTCACATTGCCTCTCTAAGAATATAGATATACAGAGGGATGACTACGCCAGATTGACTGCGAGTTTGAACAACAGCTCAAATAAATAGCCTTGTTTGCTCACCGACCTTCTGTAAATATCTGTGCAGCCTGTAATAGAAACAAGCAAACAGAAGTCACCCATAGGCGCACAGACAGCTCCAAGTGACGGTGTGGTGCCACATTGGTTCTACTTCGTACTCTGGTCCTCAGATGGTTGCCAAGAAGCCGAAGGTAGGGGGTGTCTCCGTTCTGTGGAGTAGCAACTGCGCTAGCGCGCCTGCTTCCTTATGGGGGGCTTACGAAGGCTGGGCGACGAGCATATAAGCAGCCCTGACCATCAAGGTCTATGGCGCAGCAGCTACGCAGGTCGCCGAACTTTCAATATTGCCTCATTCTCACGGTCATAACTTTGGTCGCTAAAGTAGTATTGAATGAGGATGGGGGTCCGCAGTATTGTATTTGCTCTGGCGGCAGCCTTTTGTCTCCGGGCTGGTCTGGCGAGCTCCTTACTGCAATTCCATCATGAAGAGAATTTCGCCAGTCAATCCGCCCCGAAGGCGTTTTTGAACCAAGTTGGGCCGGTTTGTGGTGTTCATTCCACGGCATAACTTTAGCCAAGCGCTCTAACAGATGAAGGCATCCATTGATAGCATCGTTGAAATACACCAAGTCTTCGTCACTTACGAAGAACAAGTCGTTGCTTCTGATATCGACTCGTCCCATCGCAGCGCGGAGAAGAAGCAATTGCTAAAACGCATGAGCAAGTTTTACGGCTCCTGGAACAATCTTCATCCAAGGCATAGACTCCTTGAGGCTCTCCACGGCTTCTACCGTTATAAGGAGAAGAATCTACCAGAGCTAGAGCGGTGGAAAACACTCTATGATAATGCATCGCCGCAGCAGAAAATGGTGAGGCAAATTTCTCTCATTCATTGTTCCCGCAATTCGCCTCGGATCGCATCTGACACATTCAGCTTCTGGAGGACACGGTGCAATACAGCCAAAAATTTGCTTCCGTCGCTAACCTGATAACTGCTAACCACGAGTTGTGCCAAGAAGTGCTCCAGTCCGCGCTTGAATTCTATGAGATCCATCCCAGTGAGCTCGAGCAGTTTGTTCGAGACAGGGAAAGTCACGGACACACTGCGGACAGAGTTAGCGTCTCTCAGGGGTTGAAGCATTTGGTTCGCGACTGGTCCGACGAAGGAGATGTAGAACGCATTCAAGCATTTCCAATTATTCTGCGCTCCCTGCACAACCTTTTTCCAAACCGTGAGAATCAGAGAGTCCGGATTCTCTTACCAGGCTCGGGCCTCGGGCGCCTAGGTCACGAAATTGCCGCCCTTCGAGGTAAGTGTACTGCGCGACTGGTGCTGGAGTGGCGGCTGACAAGCTATGTCTAGGCTTTGAGGTCACGAACAACGAATGGTCCATGTACATGAACACACTATATCGCTTTATAGAGAAGCAGAAGGACATGAATAACCGCAAAGTTCACCCTTTTGTGGACAGCTGGTCGCATCATTCCACCTCGGCAAATATGATGCGTGGTGTTCTCTTCCCAGACAAATATATTGTAACGTCCTAATCCCTATTCCTGGTATAGGGTAAGGGTTCCTAAGGTAATAAACCTAAGTCGTAGGTTTATATTAGCAGAGAGGACAGGGAGTAGCTTTTAAGCAGTTATAATTATAAGTGCGTAAAAGTAAAATAAAAAATATAACTTATATTTAGTTTTAATACTTTATTAACGACTGGCTATTTAAACTATTTAAATAATTATAATAAAGTGAACTTATATATCCAGTTGTTCTTTTAGGCTTATATTGTAATATCCCTTTATACTGGGTGAGCTTATAACTTTAATATTAAGGCTTATTTTTTAAATTATATATACTAAAGTAAGCTTTAGAATCCTTAATCTTAATTAGTCATTCCTTCTGTATTTTACCTAAAGGGTACATACTTTTATTTAGGTTATAATATAATGTCCCTCTTTTATTAATTTTACCTTTAAAACCTATATATAATACATTAGGCCCCTATATTAGTTCTTAAGTAAGTCTTTTTTTTTATTTTTAATAATACTTTACAGTATTACTAAGTAAAGTTAACAATCTTCTGTTATTAAAAAATCTTTAAAAAATTATAAAACAGCAGTATTTATAATTAAAATTATTAAATTCCTCGTTATACTTTACTTATATTATAAAATTAATAAATTACCTTATAAAATGGCGCTTAAGTATAAGAAGTATAAAAAGTATATATATTATAGTTATACTTACGATAGAAATAGGATTTTATTAGCTAATAGTAAGTAATTTTCTATTTTTTTTTTACTAATGTTTTTTTTTATATTAATTTTATAATATAATGTTTAACTATTAAAAAAAAACATATAAATATTAAAAAGTATTAAATAGAATAAAAACTATTATAATAACAGCAGTAAATAATATTATTAACTTAATAGATAAATAAAAAGTTTATACAGCTAGCTAAGCTGTAAAAGCAGTATAAATAAATTAATATTTACAAAAAGCAAATACTCTGCAGAGGTGTTTATTCTTTAAATAAGTTAAATAAGATAGAATAGGCTAAGTTAAAAGCAGTTATTAACGTACAGTCTTCCGGCGGGGTTAACGTAATTAATTAAAATGCAGTTTTTAGTAATATAATCTAAGGTTTTAATAAAACTATTTTATCAGTTCTTAAAAGTTAAAGCTTTTAATAGGTTCCTAAGTATTATAGGCGGGTCTATACCCTTCCTATTAAACTAAGTATTTAATTCTATTATTATATTCTAGGTTTCAGTGTATAGTAAATACTTTTTCTATATCTCAGTCTTTTTTTTTTTCTAGTACTATAATTTTATTTAAAATTAATTCTTTAGTTTCTTTATTAATTTATACCTTTTTTAATAATAATATATAAAATACTGGGTATTTTAGTTTTATATTTTTAGGCATTTTAAATTCATAGTTAACTTCTCCGATTTTCTTTAAAATTTTAAATAGTTTAATTTTCCTAAAATCTAACTTATTATTTAGTCGGTTTATTTTAATATTTAGCATTTTATAGCCTTATAAGTATTAAATTAAGTAAACTATATCTCCCTCCTAAAGGGTTAGTCCTTTAATTTTATCTTAGTTTATATAGTGTTTTATACAGTCTTATATAAGTTTAAGTTAAGTACATAATTCTTTATGTAGATTAACTATAAGTTCTGCTTATATTTATACTTTATTAACATTTAGTCTTTTAAAAGGGGGTTTATATATTAAAGGTATATATTTATAAAGTGCATAAAATAGTATTAGCTTAGTAAATTTAGATTTTATACTATTATAATAAAGCTGGGTAAGGGGTAACTTTTCAGCCTAATTATTTTATTTAAGATTAATATAGTATTATAAATATTACTTAATAACTTAGTTTATCCTTTTTATTTATCTATCTGTCTATAGGTAGTAAACAGTGCTGAGTTTATAGTTAACTTTAAGTTTTACCATTAGTTCTTATTAAAACTTAAAAGTAAATATTTATCCTCTATCTAAGATAATTTCTTTTAATAGGTTATAATTAGTTACTATTATCTTAATGTAGGTGTATATAAGATTTTCTGTATTATATGACTTTTTATACAGTAGAAAATATACTTACTTCGTAAATTTATTTACTACTATAAGGATACTGTCGTAAATAACCTTTATAAAGGGTTTTTATAATAATAGTAGGTCTATAATATAGTTAAATATAATAACTTCCTAAGGTAACTTTAGAATTAGTAAAGGTTATAGTATCTTATATAGCTTATATTATTTATACTTTACTTATTAGTATTTATCGTATATTAATATAATATTAGCTACTATCTTCTTTATTCTTTAGAACGAGTAAACAGTGTATATTTATTAATTTATAGTTATAATTCCTTAATATCCAAACTGAGGATATTTATAGATATATTTTATAACTTTCTTCTATAGGTCTGGGGGTACCTAGTATTTAGTTTTAACTATTAATTATCTTTCTTTAAATGTAACCTATAAAAGGAACTTATTCTTTACCTAATCTTTAATATATTCTTTAATTTCCTTAAGTATTTTATTATATTCTTTAATTTAATATATTATATATAATTTTTTTTATTTATAATTACCTTCTGCATTTTTTTAAAGGATTTATATTTAGTAGTCTAGTATTTTTTAAAAGTAGTTAGGTTTTTGGCTTAAAGTATTAGTATATCTGTTTTTTTCTCTTTTATAATATATTAGTTTATATTTATAGTTTAAAAGGAATTTAAAGTATTTTAATTATTATTATAATAATTTCTGGGTAGTAGTAAAAAATATAATATTTTTATAATTAGTATAGATTTTAATTTTATGTTTGTTTCTTCAATAATAGTGGCTTTATTTATTTATATAGTTTTTTATTCCCAGAAATTCCTTATTATAGATGGAGTAGTATATTTTAATATCGTTTAGTTTTCTAAAATAAAAGGTTATAAAGTAAAATTTCCTATTATTACTAAGTTAACTTATTACTCCTCCTATTATATATTCTAATACATCTATCTTAATAATAATAGGTTTATTAAGATTATATATTACTAAGACAGGTACTAAGGTTACTATATCTTTTAGCGCTTAGAATATTTATTTTATTTTTTTAGTTAGCTTAAAGGTCTTTCCTTTTTTTATTATATTAGTCAGCAGGGCGGCTATTTTAAAGAATCCCTTAATAAATCGTCGGTAATAATTTATAAGTCTAAGGAAGCTTTATATTTTTTTAACGGAGTTAAAAGGCTTTTAATCTTAGATTACAGCGACTTTCTTAGGGTCTATTTTTATTTCTTTAGGTGTTATAATATACCCTAAAAACTTAACTTTTTGTAAATAGAATTTATACTTTTCTAGGTTAATAAGTAAGTTATTTTTTTATAGCGCCTATAGAACTTAGTAAATATACTGTTTATATTCTTCTAAAGTCTTAGAGTAGATAAGAATGTCGTTTATATAGGCAATAGTGAATTTTTCTAAATAGGGTTTAAGCATATAGTTAATTCTTTTTTAAAAGGATATTAGGGCGTTAGTAAGTCTTTAGGGTATAACCTAAAATTTATAAAATTCTCCTAGTATACTAAAGGCTATTTTCTATTTATATCCTTCTTTTATTTTAATAAAATCATAGGCTTCAGTAAGGTTTAATAAAATAAACCATTTACTTCCTTATAGCCTATCTTTTATTTCCGTAATCAGGGGTAGTAGCATTCTATCCTTAACAGTAATACTATTTAGCTATCTGTAGTTAATAATTAGTTAGAGTTTACTGTTTTTCTTTAGAACAAATAGAATAGAGTATCTTATAGGTAATTTAGAGATCTTAATATATCCTTTCTTTTTTTATTCTTTAATCTATTTTTTAAAGGTTTTAAGCTTAAGTTAATTAAGGTTATATAGAGGGAAATACTTTAAGGTAGTCCTTTCTTTTAATTTAATCTTATAATCTTATTTAATATATAGTAATAGCTTAGTTTTTTTATTTTTATTCTTTAGTATTTTCTAAAATAGGTTTTTATACTTTTAATATTATTTAAGGATTTTTCCCAATAGGTTAATAATTTCTTCTAGTATATCCTTAATTATTTTAAGGTATTTATTAATTATCATAAGTTCTCGTTGCACTTAGGTAACTTATTTATAGGATCTTACCTTTATATTCTTTATTTATTTATTTTAATATTAAGGCACTATATTTCTGGGCTTAAGGAGTTAAGGTTTCTAGCTTCCTCTATCCTCCTTTTATATTAAAGTTCTTTTATTATTACACCAATGAATTTAACCTATGCTCTATTATATATTAAGTTTATATCTGCTTAACTATAATATTCCTAAAATAATATTATACTTTAGGGTATTTGTAATATTGTATATAATTAGGGTCTTACAGTTTGCAATTTTAAAGTATAGGTAATTAATCTATTTTTTAATCTATTTATTATTATAATTAAAAGGTTATCCTTCGGTGTAATATAACTTATACTTTTTTTTTTTATATTTCTATAATAACTATAGGTAAATTATAGTTTTTATAGAAATATAATTACCATCTGCTCTAATATCTACCATTACTGTAAGTATTTCTCCGTTCAGTGATACCTTAGTAACGATTTTTCTTACTTTAGTATTTCATTCTTCTTTATTATTATTATAGTTATATTCTTTATTAAAGGTTATAAAGTATTATTAGGTCTTTTAGTGCCCTTTTATAAAAGACGGTTTTTATTTTTTAAATATTAGTCTTTAATCTTACTGTATATATATTATTTATATTTTTTATTTTTATAGTTTTTTTAGTTTAAATCTTTAAGGCTATAGTAGAGTTTTATTTATTATATATAGATTCTATAATTTACTGTATTATATTCCCTATTAGAAGTTCCTTAAAGTTTATAAAGTAATGCTAATTATTTATCCGTTACTCTTTTATAAGTCCTAAAGTCAAATCCTTAATGTATTAAAACCTATATAAGGTCTTATTTAATAATTCTTCTATTATTTTATTAATCCTTATACTATTTATTTAGTTTTTTATCCCTATATTAGATATAAGTTATTTTAAAGCAGCCGCCATATTAATCAACGTAGCAATCTACTATTCCTTCTCTCCAATTATACTATTTAAGTATTTTTCCTATTTTATAAAGCTTGTAGTAATAGTTAAGATATAAATCTAAAGTTCTGCTGTTTATGTATTTTTTTAGTGAAATGGGGTAAGGTTTAAGGATAATGATCTTTAAGTTTTAATTTTTATAAATAACTCCCTATTTCCGGTGTTAGTAAGATTAATATATTTTGTTAACTAAGTAGTTATAGATTTTCCAGGGATAGCTATTATACTTTACTTTCTGCTTAAAGTATTATATATATTAATTATTTATGCAGTTAATTTAATATACCTTTTTATAAAGTTAATAATTAAGGTTAACCTAAGGGTAATCTCCTTAAGTATATTAATATGCTTTATATACTTTAAAAATTTTATTGGTATTATAAACGTAGATAATTTTATATTTATTATTATATAGGTGCTATTCTTTAAGTTATTTAAAGAAGTTTTTTTTAAAGTCTTCTCCTTTAAAGTATAGTTTTAATTATATTCAGCTCCTAATGTATACATTCAGTTATATTTAAAATTCATTAATTTTTTTAACTTTTAATAGTTTATATCTAAGGTTAATAATATTTACAGTATATTAAAGGGCCAGGGGTATTCTATAGTTTTATAAGTCCCCTCTATAGTTATTTTCCTAGATATTAGTTTTTTTAGGTATTTCTGTGTTTAGGATAATATCTTCTAATTTAAAGTTAGAGTCTTTATAAGTAGGGCTATCTGCTTATTATAGAAGTACTATTACTTAACTTCCTTTTTCTATAAAATAGACTTTTTTTTTAGGTTTAGGGATTTTATCCTTTTCTTTATTTTTCTTTAGGGCTTTACAGTTTTTAGTTATATAACCCAGCTTACTGCAGTTGTAGTATTTAAAGTCTTTCTTCTTTTATATAGCGTTAAAGTCTATTCTTCTTAATTTACTACTATTATTTTTAGCGATATAGTTTTATTACTTTTTACCTTAGTTTACCTAATATTTATTTTCTTTATATATTTTCTTAAAGATATCTATCTTTAATTTATAGAGTAGGTTATTAGCTTTAATATATTTGTTTATAAATAACATAAGGTTATGCTTAGACTAGTTAAGGTTATATACTTCTTTTTTAAGTTTAGGTTTAAGTTTATCGTAGAATTGTTTAATAAGGGCTAATTCTCTTTATTTAACTTTTATAGAGATATCTCTAAAGCTTACTATATAGTTTAAGCATTTTCCTTTTTAATATATATTAATAAAATGATTTTCGGTTATATAAATTTCTCTAATATCTCTAAAAGCTTTCTTAAGTTCTTTTATATATTCTTTATAATTACTAAAGATTTTTTAAGTTTTTTTATCGGCTACTCTAGCTTTAGCTCCTAAGTAGTTATTTAAAATAAATCTAAACTACTGTAGGGTTTATCTTTTAAGGCGTAAGGTAGTAAAGTAAACCTTTTTTTTAGGGGTATTAAAGGTATTTTTAAAGTCTTTAAAATAGGCTTTAAGTTAAATTAGGTGTCCCCTAAGTTCTTTAATATTTCCGTTATATATAGGCAGTAGTTAACGTTTAATAAAAATATTAATATCTTTTTCTTTTAGTTTTTTATTAACTTTATTAACCTTAATGATAAATACCTTTAGGAGAGCTGTAACTTACTTCTGCAATATTTTACTAATATTTCCTATATCTTCTATAATAATATTTCTTTTATTATCTATTTAAAATCTATTAGGGCTGCTAATTAGGGTGTTGGCGTTAAATAATTTAAGTATAGTGGTTTCTTTTACTTAAAAGATAGTTAATATCCTTTTAAATAAAAGTTATTAATGTATAACGTCTTAATCCTTATTTTTAATATAGGGTAAGGGTTCCTAAGGTAATAAACCTAGGTTATAGGTTTATATTAATAAAAAAGACAGAAAATAGCTTTTAAGCAATTGTAATTATAAATATATAAAAGTAAAATAAAAAGTATAATTTATATTTAATCTTAATACTTTATTAACAATTAGCTATTTAAACTATCTAAATAATTATAATAAAGTAAACTTATATATCCAGTCGTTCCTTTAGGCTTATATCGTAATATCCCTTTATACTAGGTAAGCCTGTAACTTTAGTATTGAGGCTTATTTTTTAAGTTATACGTACTGGAGTGAGCTCCAGAATCCTTAATCCTAATTAGTTATTCCTTCTGTATTTTACCCAGAGGGTACGTACTTCTGTTTAAGTCGTAACATATATTAATTCTAACGACGTCTTACTTATTGAAGGTGATTTTACAACGATTCTGAAGGGGCATGGCAAATTCGATGCAATCGTCACACACTTCTTCATTGATACGGCCAGGAACTTGATGGCATATTTGGATACGATCCATCGGCTTCTGAAGCCTGGCGGTTTTTGGATTAACTATGGTCCTCTACTGTATGGTAGTGGTCCATTTGTGCAGTTGTCGCTGGATGAGCTTATGCAAGTTATTGTGGCCAAGGGTTTCCACTTAGTGAATAGTCCTTCACAGGAAGCACTCCATGCTGATATACGTAATACTACCTTGCAGGATATTCCTGTATGGAGTGTAGAGGCTACAGATGGGTTTGATGCTAGGGCATTGGTGAAAAATGCTTATCTAGCTCAGTTTTGGATTGCAGTGAAAATATAATTGATTGCGAGTAATGTAAAATATTTCCTGTCGACTAAAATCTATTGATGATTTTGCGAAGCTATCTTATAAAATCAGCACATCTATTTAAACGCATAGAGAAGCTTACGTTTTATGCCTAGAATTATCTACGATATACGGAATATATAGCCCCTGCTAATAAACAGAGATCTAATATATAGGTAAGTAGTGAAAAGAATTACATTAGAGGAATGATATATTAGAAGAAAAAGAGGGATATACGCCGCTATACCCAGATATATTCACCTACTTAACAGTCTAATCTCCATAATTCTTATATTTAAATTAATCCTTTCTGTTTTAACTACTGTAACTTAGCTGTTGAAGGACCAAAGTTAACATTGGTGGAGTGGGTGTGGTGTAGTGGGGTGAACCTAATGGCTTAGTCATTGATACTACGATAAGAATATACTGATGTCGGGGGTTTAACCTACCGTATATTTGTGGGGCAAAGACGGTAACGGTTCCGTTTTTCGTAATGGCTGAGTAACCAAACGGTGAAAATCTTTTAGCGCGGGAGTTAGCGCGAGGGTTAGCTAACCGCCAAAAACGGAGCGCTATGACTCCAGATGTAGAGGCTTGGGATGCCAGAAATGGAGGACATTTCACTCAAGAGAAGAGCTTGACGGGACCCCGAATTCTCCTCTACCTATGGTCGTATGTGCTTGATTGCAGGTGTAATTCTGTTTAACTTGACCGGTTGACGGAGGATATTACAAAGGCAAAAAACATACAACAGCCGGTGTTCATTCATGGTCACCTGTTTAACTACCTGTAGGTACTAACCATTAGTTCATAAGCGTTGGGGATACAATACATCACAAACCACTCGGCGACGTGATCTTAATTGTTTAGCGTGTGTGTGTCTTACAAAAGGAGCGATGAGCCTAATAGTCATTTCCTATTATCAACTGAGTTACGCTCCAAAGTGAACAAAAGGAATACATCCAATGAAATCACCTGGTGCTGCGCTTTTCCTTACTTTCTTGAGAGCAGAATGAAACGCTTCAGACACCTCACCCACTCCGCCACTCCCCTTGAGTAAGTGGCTGTAAAACTCTTTGGAGAAGAGACAGCAGCTCTCGTCATCCGCCTTCCACATGTTTCCGATAGCATGCCTAAACCTAGTCAGCTGAAAGCTGTTGACAACGTGAAGACCCTCATCGGCTAGGTTCAACACAAAGTTGTTGGCCGTGTGATAGGCGCCGAGCTACGCTTGCTAGTCGTCCCTCTAAAGCGATCGGGGGCTCACTGCGGGTTGTTGATTCAGAGCCCTCGTTAGACAGCTTGTAGCCATGGCCCAGTTTTTCATGGGAGCATAAAGTCCACCACCGTTGCGAGCTCCAAAAAATATGGACTGATCGATATGCTCCGGCTTTGTTCATTTGAGCATAACAGTCGTGGATTAATTTACCCAGCACTCGAGCACAACAGTTTCGGTGGTATCACGGTGATGCCTTGTAAGCAGCTTATTGCTACACTAAATATCTATAGCAATCTGTAGCTGTTGCACAATACGACTGATCTCCTTTTGTTTTAAGCAAGTTTTACTACAATGTAGAGATTGGTAGTTAAGACGGGTGAGATACCTAGGCCAAAGTTCCGCAGATTTGCTCAGGTATTAGAGTACCCTCTCAGCGAAGATCCTCTCCCCTGACTATCTACAGAAAACGAGCTCTGCGCTGCTGAAAATCGTCCTAAGCTATGCTGTATGATTCCTTTCCCAGTAGCCGGGTTTTTACGCGTAATTGAGAACTCTTCCATAGCATACCGGGATCGTCCATTAAGAGCAAGCTCCGCCAGTGCCTTGCCTAGTAACGGCACGAATTTCATGGCCCAGCCAGCTGTAAACACAACTACGCTGTTCTCTCTTCCGCCACGGAGGTATTCCTCAGGAATAAAATCAAGTACAAACATGTTGTCTGTTCTCATCAGCGATGATGCACATGCAGCAAACGTAGTTGGGTCTGAATTAGATCGCTTACCAAAGACATTTGTCTGCAAACAAGTGAGGGTATACGCTGGAACAGTGCAATCAACACCTTTAACATGGTCACGAACGAAGTTCTGTGTATCTTGGATGTCTCTCGGATTGATAACATTCGTTTGTCTGTCATCAGGATCCTTGATCCGCCGGGTAGCTGCGTCGATAGCTATGCGGACGAGGTTTGGCGGACCCCACGGAACGGTAGGGAAACCATAGAACAATCGTGATCGATCTTCGTGATCAGGGGCAAACTGAAACCACATGCCTAGAGCGATGGCGAACATCGTGTTTATAAGTGCATCTCTCCTACAGAACAATAACATGTACTTACTGGGAAACACCGTGCCATTGGGGCCGGCGTTGGAGTTGAAATAGCTGGCTACCATCTCCCAAATGTCCAAATCAAGAGTTATTCCAAAGCTTGGTTGGAGAATATGATTGACATACGCGCCTGCTGTAATGACAATTTTCTTTGTAAGAAAAACAACTTCATCTTTTCCGTGACTGACAGCTTTAACTTTCCATTTGGAAGAATCGTGGTCGTCCGGCACAATGGATTTGACTTCGGTATGCTGCCTAGCTTGTGCACTATAGTGCTTCGCTAGGGTAAGAAGGGACCGGAGAAGAAGTGGTACGTTGATGATTCCATTGTCTGGCGCAAATACGCCAATCCATTTGTCAGGCAGATTCTTGAATGGATACCGCCTCTGGATCTCTTCTGCGGTTACTTGGAAATTATATCATGTTGGCTTCCAGTAGAATAATGAATAAATATGGAACAATTACTCACATATATTGTAAGCCATTTCTAATCGATTCAGATGAACTATTGGGCCCAAGAGAGTTCCTGCATCGCCCCACGTCATCAGACTGAATCTTCAATCAAAGCAATGGGTCATACCTTCTGGTGTATCCTTTCCAACATCTCTATCGCCAAAATTGAGAAGCCCACTCATCCATCGAAGAGATACTCCGGCGTCCCTCTCCAGGTCATCCCAATAGCCCATCGCCTCTACCGCAAGATCTGCCATGAACTCTTCTGTGTACCTTTGTAGAAACATTAGAAACGGCCATACGTTGATATGGCAGGGGTAGAATTACATAGTTCTAAACATGCGAGCCAAGTCATTAGAGCTTCCTGCCTGGTTAAAGAAATTGTTTTGCTCCAAAACAATGACTTTGGAATTAGTTTTTGCAATTTCGTATGCAGTGGCTAGTCCAACAGGACCACCTCCAATGACAACGACGTCAAACAAATCCATGGCTATCTTAATGACCGCTGGGAAATTGGTCTATACCAGTGATGGGGAAACGCAAAATGGTACGCCGCCGAATATGCGAGATGAGCTGCCGTGATGATAAGTCTTAAGTGAACTTGTGGAGTGCTCCGACTATGATCAGACGACTACAAGTGCATATGCATAATATAGCCTGAATTTGCGAGAAACATCAGTGAACGAATGAGAAATTGGAGGAATTGCTGCCCAACGCCTGCAGCTAAAATCGTGAAGTTCTTATTTTGATGTCTAGTACGAAGTACATGCGTCTTCTGGCCACTTAAATTATGTAGAGATATATTGATACATCACAACTCAAGATAGAAATAAAGCGGTAGCCTATTTAATATCATATGACGTATACTCATCAATATCAAGCTATAGAGAATTACGAACAATCCTAATTTATCATCCTACCTAGGCTATATCTACATGAACCGCCAGCATTTATACAGTGTGTCCATTACAAGGGAAACAGTATGGACTCCCAACGATATAAAGGCTCTGATTCATACACTGCTTTTTTCTACTCAATTAATCTTCTCATAAACCATCTTAGTCTCTCAAAAGTTCATCATAGAGCCCCAGTTTTTCATCATGGGCGGTCAAACATTTGATCAAGATTCCATTTCCTCCACCACTGCTATTTCCATTCCCTCTACCAATACTATTTCCTTTAAAGATCGCTGGGCCAGGGAGCTAATTCGTGTCAAGCTTGCCAGCGAGCTGAACGAACTTATCGCTAAGGATAAATTCGATGATTCAATCAAGACCCCGCCATTCTTCAACTCTGGCAACCTCCCCCCTCGGCCTGACCTCCCGGTCGTTACAGACCCAGGGGTTGTGCCCCCGCTCAAGGTTTGTATCGTTGGTGCTGGTGTTGCGGGGCTATATCTTGCTATGATGCTTGAAAGTCTCAATATTCCAAACCTCAAAATCGATATTCTTGAGGCAAACTCTAGGGTTGGCGGCCGTATATTCACTCATCGGTTCAGCAACGACGACGACGACTATTACGACGTCGGGGCCATGAGATTTCCCAAAATCGCCATAATGAAACGGGCTTTCGACCTTTTTAAAATGACTAAAATGGAAATCATTCCATACTATCTCGATGGAGGACCAAGCTGTCCATCGTTATTTAACGACCGATTGTTTGTCCCCGATACTAAAGACCCTTTCCACATCAGCAACAGTAACGGAGGAGTGGTGCCTGATAATCTGGCTCATCCGGACGACGTTGGCGCGGCCATGAATGCGGTGTTCGAGCCATACAAAACGGCTTTAGAAGAGGATTTTGACAGAGGATTCAGACTATTACTGTCTGTCGATGATTTCAGTACCAGAGAATATCTTAGACGAGGTGGACCAAACGGCGATAGAGAGTCACGTTACGATTTCCATACTATCCAATGGATGGAGACTCTATCGACAGGAACCAATTTATTTGACCAAGCATTCGCCGAGAGCGTCGTGGATTCGTTCCATTTCGACGGTTCGAGCAATGCTGACCCTGCAACATGGTGGCGCATCAAGGGAGGAACGGAGCGACTTACACATGAGATGCAACGTCGGCTGCGTACCAAAGTTCAAACCGGAAAAAGAGTGGAAGGCATTTATATGAATCCTGACAGCGCCGCAAGGGAAGCAAGTATGTCTGTCATGTGTGCTGGGGAGAGAAAGAAACGAGAGGGCTACCACACCGTCTTCAATACTACATCACTTGGATGCCTTGGCCGTATGGATATGACTACTCTGGATCTTCACCCCGTACAGAGAGACGCGATAAGGTCACTTCACTACGATGATTCGACCAAGGTAGCACTCAAGTTTAGCCACCCCTGGTGGATCGACCACGGCATCACACATGGGGGTGCGGGCTCGACTGACAGACCTATCCGTGTGTGCGTCTATCCATCCTACGAATCGAATGACAAAGATGAGATACTCAAGAAACCCGCAGTGCTCTTAGCTTCATACACGTGGTCTCAGGATGCAACCAGGATGGGATCACTGCTCCAACCAGGGGCTGTGCATCCAAAGGAGGCAGAACTTGTGGACCTTATTCTGAGGGACTTAGCAAGCCTACACAACCTTGCATACGATGATCTCAAGAAGCTGTACATTGGCGTACACCACGGCTTCTCATGGTCGCAAGACCCCTTTACAGCAGGAGCCTTTGCACTTTTCGGCCCGGGGCAGTTCAGCAACTTTTATCCTTACCTCACTCGGCCTGCCTCCAAGGGTAACTTTCACATTGTTGGTGAGGCTGCTAGTACCCATCATGCCTGGGTCGTTGGCTCTCTCAATAGCGCCTACGCCGCCGTGTACAAGTTCTTGCTTCAGCATCATCTCTTTCAGTACATGGACCGCCATACACAACTATGGGGCACAGTCGACGAATTTGACAGTAGCGAAACGGGAATAGCGCACCTGCAGGTGGCTTTGGCTCATCTTGAGGAGGGTGAGAAGCTGAAGATTTAAAGCCCAACCAAACTGGTACATCGTAAATCGGCAAATAGGTCTATAGCAACCTGAATGGATTCTTACTATGATTGGACTGCCTACTCAAATGGCCTATTGATTACGGCTAAAAGGCTCTATGTACTGTAGATGCATGCGATCTGTACGCTGCAGAATGCTTCCTCGACCCAACGAGAAATCAGGCCATGGTTGGGCATCAGATCACCCTCAATGCATCCAACGCATGCTATCAATCTACGTGTACAAATGCGTGTGTTAGTCTGCCTGGAAGAATTGGGAACTGAGGTTCAGTCAGCCTGTAGATAACATCAGAACCCCACATTATTTTCAGCCGCATACATATCTACTCTCCTAGATGCTGAGTCCCACTCCTTATGGCGGAGACTGATACTGCATAGGATCATTTAGACCCATGCAGACTTCTCCACTTCTGCTTGCGTAGACGCTTGGGTGACACTGCGGCTTTGTCTTATTGATCCTACTGTATCAATACGCATCTCCACAATAAGAAAAAGAACTTGAATATTCACTCTCTTCCCGCACTGAGTGCTTGCTACAGCATATTCAATCATTGTTGTAGTAATCAAGGGTCATACGACAGGAAAAGAGTTTACCGGGGCGATGAATCAATCTAGGTATTCCAGAGTATAAAGATGCAATCAATATAGAGCATTCATAGGTATATATCAACTGATGCCAGTGTTCCTGAATTGAGTCATTCTCAATATCCCACCCCCGCGTCAGAACTATAATATATCGCTTGGGTGCCAATGCATAAACTACCAATTGATATGGTGATGCTATGCCGGGGGGTTACCAACTCTTTTCTCTTCTATGAGCAGCAAGGTTAGAATAGTCATGCCTGAAATGTAACCCCCAACTTACAATCATCTGTCAAGGGGGCAGAAAAATAAATCTTGCGGCCGGTGAAGCCAGGACTGATCTTGATTCCGTCCCGGGGTATGGCATGGCCGAATCCAAGAGTTACGGAGTAGAGTTCGAGAGACGACTCCTGTGCTGGTAAGTTGACGACAAGAGTAACATTGATACCGTAAGCCTTGTCAAAAACGGAACCGTCACCCCAGATATTGAAATCTTCATCTCCATCTTTGATTTCTTTAGAGAAGGCTACGCAGTTCGCGAAATGAACATGAACAGCTGTGACGGCGCCGCCGTTATTCCCCTTGCATTCGACATAGGCCCTCTGTAGTGGAGCGGTCGTTTCCGCTGGATTGGTGATTGAAAGGTAGACCTCATGACCGTTAACGGAGCTAGCATGTGGAGCTGTGCGTTTAATAATTGACCCATTTCTGTTGTATGTGATGGAAGTATTGCCATCACACACAGCACCGGTTCCTCCAGCGGAACAGTGATGAGGGAGACTATCAGGCTTCACACCCATGGCTTTGTAAGGTAACGAGAAAAGTAGTGGGATTTGACGAAACTTATGGATCTTGAAGAGAGAAAGGTGCTCTGGATATAAGGCAGATGTAGGAGTATCTCTGATATGAACCTTGGGATATAAACTCAAATCAGTAGAAATGGGTGGAAAGTGTTTCTCCTTTATATGCCGTTCCATACCTCTTCACGCATTGCGTGTATCCACGGCATAACATAATAAAAACGTTCTCAGAATTACGCAATTACGGACAGGATGTAACGAATCATTTTTACCTGTATTAATCCCATTTTGTATACATAACAAATGCATCCTTTTACAAGCTCTGTATGCTCCCATATTATTGCGATTGTCCATACCTTGGCTCCCTATTCACCAATGAGGGCAAATCATGTACCATGATGTCGAAGCTCCGACATCTCCGGTACAACTTCTATACTCTTGGGCATTAATTCATAAGCAGTTTGCGCCTTCCGCCCCACCTTACCTTGCCACATGATCGATATTTCGAAGGATTCTTGGGTCAATTAAAGCCTTCTGAACATAGCTGGATCATGAGAGGATGAGACTTCACCGAAATGCTTTAGCCTAAGACGCACCAGTGCCTGATTGAGCCCCAGCCTGTTGCAATTGGACGATTTCTCCCATTTGCTCCAATTATGCTCCGCGCGGGGAACCTATATTGCAGATTCTCAATTTTTATGATATCAGCGTATTGAGGGGGACTCGGACTTGTATAGCAGAGATACAGCTCACACAGTATGAGGAAAACAGTCTGCAAACAGGCTACAAAGATGATATTATGGACTACCGTACCGACACACCAATAGCGGAAAAGATTACGTCGATAGTAGGTTCGTAGCAAGTATGGTGGTGGTACCGGCTTTATAATGGATCAAACGTCTCGTATGCCCAAATTTATGTACCTATCTAGGTAGCAGTACACGCTTCTCGTATTATCAATTCTCATTATTATATTTCAAGCAACTGTGGAAGGCAAGTATACCGACGAAACTACTCTGATACCCAAATAACAGGTGTCTGGATCACAAACGGTGTTTCGTCATATCTTTCTCCGATCAGCCTCACCATCCAAATTAGGCTCAACCTTCCCTGTACCTACCCTCTTCGCAGCCCACTTTGCCATTATGATCTTGAAGCAAGATATGCGAGCTCCAGACTCCTTGATAGATGGATGTGCTGGCCGACGCTTTTGGCAAGCAAAGAATGCTGATGAAAATGCCATGGTCGCCATTGGATGTGAAGTCCCCGGGGTGTCGAAAGTGGACCTTGAAGCATCGCGAGACTTTCTCGCTCAGCTTGGAATAGGAACAGGCCCTGGTTTACGCACTGTCATGAGTGCCTTGGAAGGAGGGGCTGGGTAAATTTTGAATCTTGATGTTTGCAATATATTTGCACTGCAATGACTAGCTAACATTACGTTCCCAGGATTGGGAGATTTACCCGAGCTATTCTTACAGCCGTGGCTGAGCAAGTGGATGTTATAGAACCTATTATCAAATTCACAGAATGCCTCAATGGGACAGACGGCATACGGGACATCTTCAATTTTGGCTTGGAGGAATGGCACCCGGCCCCGGATATCAAGTATGATTTGATTTGGAACCAAGGGTGTATTTGCCACCTCACCGACAAGCAGTTGGTTGAATACTTAAGAAAGTGCCGGGCCGTGCTTAGGACAAGTAGTGGACTCGTTATTATAAAGGAAAACATCAGTGTCCGTGGTTTTGATATCTTTGATGCCACTGACAGCACTGTTACGAGGCATGTCGACTATGAACGTTGCAATCTTCGAGTGACCGTCCACTGACAGAGAAGCTAGAGAAAACCAAAAATTCCTCAGCATTTTTCGAGAAGCTGGGTTGCGTTTACTGAAATCTGAGATCCAACGCGGCCTTCCTAGAACACTCATGCCTGTCAAGATGTATGCACTAGGACCAGATGAAGCTTAAAACTATATCATTCACTATTTTACTACCTATAATAAGGACTTATATAACTATATTACTTGGAGGATGTTAATAAGAAAATAGATAAACAAATAAATAAACAATCTTCTACATGCCCTTATAATTCTCCCTTTGCCTTCGTCTAAGATAGGATATCGGATATCTCAACAGTGCGTGCCCAGTTTGGGCGTTGTGAAGGCCTACGATCTCCTATATCTCTTGCGTCTTTATTTGCCCCATTCTCCAGCAAGAGTTGTATAATCTCTAGAGTCCCAAGGAAAGCCGCTTCATGAAGCGTAGTCCCCATCCAGCCAGGGTAATCTCCGTATCCCCTGGCTTCCACGTCTGCTCCAATTTCAATTAAAAACCCTATTTCATCTTTCTTCAATCTTTTAATTGCTTCGTAAAGAGATTTCGCCTTGTACTCGTCTGTGGGGTTCTCTAGATTGTCTATGACGACTCGATCTGGAACGTTCCACTTCCGAGAGAGAGCGAGGGCCATTTCCCTCTTCGCCTTCTTCATTGCATAGAAAAGTGCAGTTCGCGAATTCTCGTCCTTAGCGTCCTCATCCACGCTTCCCTCATGTAAAAGCTGAAGCACGGCCGGCTCGTCGCCATTGAGTACAGCAAGATGCAGCGGGGTGCGATCGTTAGTAGCTGGCTCTCCCGATCTTAAACCATACGTCTTTCCTCCATGGGGGGGTTCCGGGGGTAACTCGTATGCAGTACTACCTGTGATCCGGATCGTAATGGGCTGCGTCGGGCTAACCAGACGATTCTTGGAAGTTGGTGCCTGCCATTGGCCTTTGGCTCCATTGGCAACACGAATGTAGCTCTTATCCCCCAGTTCCGGAATAGGAAACATGCCTGGCGCAAACCAAACAAAGATAATTCTTCCACAATCAAAAGCGACTACCACAGTAGACCCAAAGACAGCACTACACACGGGTCGGAGTTCATAAGGCAACCGTAGCACACCTTGGCCGTGGCAAGTGATCCAAGAGAGATCTGGGCTGAAGCCGTAACCATGCCATATCTGCCCTTTATTTGCATCTGTAAGCGTGTCAGCGTATTCCAACGAGATTCACATCTTTCGAAACAACTCACCTAGCATGATATGCCCGATATCAGTTATAAGGTAGGAGCTGGTGGGATTGAAAGAAATATTCTTGATATGGACACCCGCGTCAACGGTTTTGAAACATGTACCGTTGACAATATCCCAGATCTTGATGTTTCGGTCAGCTGAACTTGAGGCAAGGTATCTGCCGTCGGGTGAAAACTTCATGGCATGAACCGTATCTGCAAGACCTTCGAGTATTTGGAAACATTTGCCACTATCGATCTGCCAAACTCGAATCGTTCGGTCCGCGGAAGATGATGCGATGTACGTATTATCACTAGAGAAGGTCGCCAAATTGACCAAATCTTGGTGGCCGGTGAATTCATGTAAGCACTTCCCGAGGGCTGCGTCCCAAATCCTCACTGTTCGATCACTCGAAGCCGAAGTAATGTATCTGCTATCTGGTGAAAAGACGACATATTTGGCCTCATTGCCGCCATTGAGCGTCCACACATGCGCAATTGGAGTCGTCATATACCAGACCATGACCGTTTGACTCCCAGAAGTGGATGCGAGATACCTGCCATCAGGAGAGAAAACAACTGAACTGACTCCGTCGCTATGGCCGTTAAGAGTCTGTATACACTTGCCGGTAGTGGTGCTCCATATCTTAATGGTCCGGTCACTTGAGGCTGAGGCAAGTTGTCTACGACTTGAAAAAGCTATCGAGTTGATAGAGGCGGTGTGGCCTTCAAGTGTATGCATACATTCGCCGGTGGTAGAGTTCCATATCTTGACGCAGTCATCATCGGCAAAAGTTCCGACTTGTTTGCCATCATCGGAGAATATTACCGTATTGATCCAGTCATCGTGGCCATCCAGTATTTGCGTATCTTTGGTGATGTTGGTATCCCAGGATCGTAGAGTTTGATCATTGGAAGCTGATACAAGCCGTTTGCCGTTGGGCAAGAAAACTAGAGAAGTTACTGACCAGGTATGGCCTCGAAGTATCTGCTTGCATTTGCCAGTTGTGTCCCAGATCCTGATGCTTGTATCATCCGATGCGGATGCGAGATATTTCCCGTCGTGGGAAAATGCTACCGAATTGACCCAGCCGCCATGGTCAAGAATTTGCAGGCACTCTCCCGTCGCAGCATTCCATATTCTGACAGTCCCATCACTTGAGGCCGATGCGAGATGGGTGGTGTCCTCTCGAAAATTCACCGAATTCACCCAATCGCCGTGGCCTTCCAGTATCCGGAGGCATTTTCCCTGATCAATGTCCCAGACTCTGGCAGTTCGATCACTCGAAGCCGAGGCGAGATAGCGATGACTGCCGTTGCGCGAGCAGGCTACCGCATTTACCCAGTCACTATGGCCTTTGAATTCACGTACACACCGACCTGACGCGGTATTCCAAGCCCTGATGGTCCGATCACTTGAAGCTGACAATAAGTAGTCTTTATCATATGAGACTACTACTGATCGGACCCAGTCACTGTGGCCCCTGAGGGTTTGAAGGCAATCACCGGAAACAATATCCCAGGATTTAATCGTTTTATCGCTCGAAGCTGACATGACACGCTTTCCACAATGCGAAAAAACTACTGAATTCACACAGTTGCTATGCCCTTTCAGCGTCGTTTCGCACTTGCCTGTCGCGGCGTTCCAGATCTTGATCGATCGATCGCTCGAGGCGGATGCCAGCCAGGTATTATCATTCGAGACAGCAACCGCTCTAACCCAATCACGGTGGCCTTTGAGCGACTGTAAGCTTGCACTCCACTCATCTTCTACAATTGGGACTTTCGTAATCCATTCTGGCTCTTCTTCCTTGAATGACATTCTTGTTAAGCTATTGTTAGGGCTGAACAAGAGCGCCGAGGCATATACTTGAAGTGGGGTGTCTTCAATCAGCAAGCGGTTGTGTAGAATGAATCTTCGAGCATCTTGGACCAGGCTGAGAAGATATGAGTCTGCCTGAAAATCCTAAAACAGGAGTGATTAGTTTCCATCTTTATGATCGCTTATATTCAGGCTCTAGTAGCATACCTCGAGAAGGGTTTCGAGCATTGTTACAGCGACCACACCATCCGACACTTGCCTAGCGAAGCCTAGAGCTTCCAGCCAGTAAAGGAAGCGCTGTTCAAAGAACTGTTGGACAAGTCCACCAGAGTTTAAGTCGTTTTGATGCTGCAGTCGAGCTCTGCTTGCTTCACTCAGATGTTCTACCCAGTAGATGCAAGAATATCTGATGCCCTTAAGTGATCCCAAGTCCACCTCTTCGATGGGTCCAATCTGTGGTTGAGAGTCATGGCTACTGGATAGGATATCCCGTCTCAAATGTTCCATCATGGACCGTATCGATTGGGAGTATACATCGTAGTGAATATCTGGATCCGGCGGGAAGATCTCAGAAGATGCATTGGCTCTGAGGTAATCTTTCGCCGACTGATGTACAAAATATACCGTCCCTTGACGAGTGGTCAAGAATGAGCTGCATAGCTTAATAACAGTCTCAAGCCATCCAACGTGTTCAGAGAAATTTGACAAAATCTCAACAAGCGAAGGGAGCTCCTTCAGTGCAATGGGCCGGCGTGCTATCATCATCACAGAAAGTATCTTCTTGCAGATTATGAGATCCTCATCGTCTGAATCGAGCATCCGATCTAACATCATCCTGTAAAAGGACTGTAGGCCGGCCGGGAACTCGCGTAGTTTCTCAAACGTTTTCCAGGATTTAACTTGCCCGAGGTTCTGACAGACAAGGGCTACCCAGAGGAACGTGTCATTTGCGTTCTCTCGCAAATAATTTCGAACTTCTTCTTGAAGTTTGGCATCGTAACCCTTTTGTGTTGCCAGTTCGGATACTTTGTGCTCTATAAACACGCCAACAGCATTGGAAACCGAGCTCTCGTTTCGATCCAGACTGAGAGTTATTATGTGTTTGGCGGGCACTATTGCCTCTTCGATGTCGTATCGGTTACGACTAGTGATGATCCACTTGATGCGGGGAGAGGTTGACTTTTTAGTAATTAACTCGAGAAGCTTTCCCAAATTAGCGGTGCATTCGTCAAGGGCATCGACACACAAGTAGCACTTTTCCAAGCGCGGGTCCTCTAGCATATTTAGAAATATTCTTGACAAGGCTGGCCAAGCGTTCAAATCCTCGAAGAGCTGCTTCCCTGTATCTCGGTAGCTTTCCTGGATGTGTTGGATGAGAGGTGGCTGCTGCTTTATAAGGATATACATGAGACCGCGCAACACGGATGTGGCATTGTTGATGCGTGAGTCGGTGGCTTGGCAGAAGAAGAACGAGAGAACAGTACCCGTGGTGGGAACATCGAGTTCATCAATAAGACCACAAAGCATCATCGTCTTACCCTTTCCGGGGTCGCCTTTGATCCAGAGGAGCTGTCCCTGCCAGGAATTGTGCCAATCTTGGAAGTCGGCATGGTCAAACACCCACTTAAACGAGTCTCTAAGCAATCCACCCTTAGTTTCCTCAATGCGCGTCTTGTCATCACGGGGATCTGTAACTCGTAGATTCATTAAGCATTGAATGTCCTCATCGGTAAACGGGGTATGGCTGGGGCGGTAATCTAATACATGGGTAGGCATTAACGCATTGAATCGCAAGTAGAGAGATTACGACAACTCACTAGGTGTATGTAATTCTAGAGAGCGCTCAATCTCTGCAACAATAGTGCCCAGGATCAATTCGCATGTAGGGCTATCAGCATCAAATTTGCAAATCGTGCCGTGATCAGCGTCTATTGTTATCTGCTTCTCACGCGAACCCGGAAGATTCAAAACTGCAGACTTCTTATCGACAATCTAGTACGCATTAGCAAAGCACCTGCCTAGATCATCTCATGGGAGGCACACAATACCCATGTTGCCATACGGCCTACTCTCGGAAAAACTGATGACAAGGCATCTCTCGAACACGTGGCGGGCCTGTTCAAATCGCTTGGTGGCTTCGATTGAGTCCCGCTTGAGTGCGTCTATAAGATCGTTGCTAGGCTCTCTAAGTGTCATCGAGGCTATTTTAGCCACGACATCGCCGACGTTGGCATAATTCCCACCTTGGTGTGGGGTAGCGAAGAAGACAACGAGACGAGTTGCCTCAAATAAAGACTGGTAGGAGTCATCCAACTTGGCTCCAACAAGCGCCTAGCCGCCGTTAGTACATAATAATGTCATAAACCAAGCGGCCACGAACTTGCTTAACAACTAAACCACCGAGACTATGGCAAACAAACACGAGAGGTCTATGCGGATCATCCTTTTGAGGCGTAAGCGGGAGAAACTGTGTGGTAGTAAAATATTAATGGACGATAGTCTTACTTTGCGTTTAAGATTGAGAGACTGCAATAGGCTGTTTGCATGATCGTCAAGTTTAAGGGCTGCTGCGGATATCGCAGGGCTAGAGTTGTACGAGAAGAGCATTACACGAGCGGGTCTTCTAAGACGTTCTGGGAGGATATCTTTGAGCCAAAGTTTGTCACCCTTCATCCAACTTCCTTGTGGATGCCGTTCACGTCCTTTAAAATTGAGACCGTGGACTGCGATAATACTAGAAGATAATATGTGAGTGAGATATATATACATATAGCTATAGAAGGGCTATACTCAATCTCCGCAGCCATGGTAGACCGGCTGCCGTTATTGCTCTCGAAGATGACATGGAGACCTGGAGAAGCCCACGGCAGTACGCTAGGGTCTTTATCTCTAGCAAAATCCCCTCCAACTGTGAGTGTAGGCGATGTTTCTATCACGGTACGGGAGCTGGTAGATGATGGAGCAATTTGTGTTGCGTCGTACGTCGTGGAGCGCATCGAAGTTTGGAATGAAACGAGAGACGAGTTTCGGATCACTGATGGGGCCGGTGAATTTGCTAGAGATATGTCAGCGAAGCCGCAAGGATGTGCTGGTTGATACAACTCACCTCGTGATGGGTTTGTTGAAGCTAAAGCTGCCGAAGCTAAAGTTGCTAAAGCGGAGGATTCTCCGGGTTTCGAACTCCGATCTCTGCCCCGTGACGACAGTCTTCCACTCAATGAGAAGAGCCCCTTCCACCGCGCCTTGTCATTCTTGTCCTTCATAGTTGCGTTTGACGATCAAAGAACCGCTCTCAATTGCTAAGTAGCCAAGAACACGAACATAGAAATTTAATTTCTTGGCATGATGAATAGATAATCAGCGGGGTCACAATGGATGGTTTAGAGGAGATATGATGCGCTCTGCAGGACAGGGCCTGTTCGGTGAGCAAGCCGCCAGTCATATCGTGCAGCTGCACCAGTGCCTGAGAGGATTCATTTGCTACCGTTATTGGGCAGCAACACATGCCATGAAAGACATTCTAAAATCATTCGCTGGAGAATGGCGCAGATTACAGCACCTGTAGCAGGGGTGCAGCATCCCAGGGTCGAAGGGGAAGAGGACAGTGAAGCTAAATTTATTCGTGAATTTACGAACTGGTACCGTCTGCAGTTTTTTTAATCGCAGATGATAAACTCCACCCTATCCGATGACTTTGTGACTATGAGTTAATAGCAGAGGAACTCATATCGTCTTCTCTTCGTCTGGTGGACAGCCGCACTTCAAAATCCATCGATACCAATTGCATACTTATCCTTGCCTATTCAAACTTCACTTGCCCTGGTACACGGACAAAGAGAGGTCGATTAAACGCCGCACGCGGAACTATGGGTTCGCATAACCAAACATTTGATGGTACTTCAAATCAGTCGCCCAGGGCATTGTACAATCAACTCTGTTGATTTGCAAAGCGGATATGTCAAGACAGTGTGGGATCTCTTCAGAGCAGATTTGTCAGCCAAGAAGTATACGCTGCTGATTGCAACTCGAAGGGTATTGCTCTCAGTGCGTGGCGCCGTGATACCACAATCAAGGCATATTGTCAACCGGCCGGAATGGAGTGCCTGCGCGGACTCCTGCCAGAAATATTTGTCCCTAATATTGAGCCAGCGGGTAAACACCACGAAATTGGCCTACTCGATTCTATTTGTTCTCTCGGCGCGTCGGATCTATGGCACCCCTACATCCTAGAGTGTAGACCGCTTATTGGCGTATGCCCCTGGGACCCTGCTGTTGAATACGCTTTATACGGAGATAGCGAAGATAAAGATGACGATGGCCACAAGGATGGTGAGGAAGCTGAAATAGGAATAGTACATGACTGTCTCAGCGGTTAACCTAAGTAGTTGTAGAATGTAGCCAACGGATTTATTATTCCCACCAGGGTTTTTCATCGCCCTCTCCCAGCCTATACAGCCATTAGTTATACTTTGGGATGTAGTGTACTTTCAGGTCTAGGATATATTATCCCTGGCGGTCTGAAATACCCCGCTTTTGATGCTATAGCCCTTCCTGAGATTTTGAAAATGCTGAGCTACCTTTTTATATGCAACCCAAACCAGTTTAACAATAGCGAATATGGAGAATTATGAAACTGAATAGACTTGCACTGCGGCAATAACGGACGGAAAAAAGTTAAGTAGGTGGTTCAGTATGGTTGCACGCATATACAACGAGGTGTTCCATAGATTGATTGCGGACATGATATTTATAATAGGGTTAAAACATCTAGATTGCTCTATGGCACTCAGCAGCCATCACCACTAGAAAGGCTGTTGAAGTTTTAAAGGACCAATCCGATCCAAATAAGTGCAGGGATTCAACAGATCCATTGTATATAGAACTAACACAGTAGTTGTGTAGTCGCGTGTGATAATCCATGAAAGTACGTAGTGTTATCCCGAAGCAGCCGCAAGAAAAATGAACCACCGTCACGGAGCTCAAGAGCATTCAATAAGCCATAATTGGCCAATTTATTCCCATAGTCACGATTTAGGCTATTTTCAATTACGATCCCGAACATATTGAAGAGGATGAAGGCGAACCTGAATACAATTCTGGAACGCTCCAAAATTCTGGATGAGATATATCAGTGGCTCGACAATAATAGCGTGTATCAAAAGCATATCTACTGTCTAAAAGGCAAAGCTGGAACTGGTAAGTCGACGAGAGCTCATACAATAGCTCATCAACTTGTGGAAAATAAACGCCTTAACGCAAGCTTCTTTTTTAAGAATGCCGTTGGCTCTGATCCACTCCTCCTTGAAGAGCCATTTAATTCAAGAAATCTTTTCTTTGAATCTCTGAAAAATCTTTTATGCGGGTTCTTTTAAGACGGTAGTGGTCGTAGCTGACGCCTTGATGAGTGCAATAGGGAAAAAGACATCTCTGTTCTTCTTAAGATCTTATCGAGACCGAATCTCACAAAATATGCAACTCAAGCACAGAGTGCAATGCCACTCAGAAACATTTTCTTAAAGAGCAGGCCTTAATTCAAGGTTGGACGTGCCTTTGCAAACATGCTCGTAAAGATAAGAAACAAACCGTAAGAAAGAAAACGCGAAGAAGCCACAAAAGACACAATCGAGAGTATCGTCAGAAATCTTAAGGAACTTGTACGACTGGCCTCTGCGCTATTCATCTTCGCGGCCATCGGTTTTCGCTTCATAGGACATCTTCGTCTCCCAGGTGTGCCGGAAAAGTATCAACGACAAATACTCAATCAAAAACCTCTCATAATTAGAGAGAATACATTTACCATCTTTGAATTAGTTGATTGCAGAACACATTGACGAGGACCGCGAAGCAACTATTGACGAGTTTAAATATATCATCGAGTCAACAATCTCTGAGACCTAATGTTAATACCCTCTCCTTCTAACCGCCTGGAAAGCATGGGTATAGTTATCCACAACGACTTAGTACTTTTAGAGGCGGTCTTCGTTATTCCGCCGCAGAACTCAATTCCTATGAAAGCTTTCCACAGATTCTTTTGGGACTCTGTTCTTGGCACGAGTTGCAAAGCATTTCATATTACCGAATCAAAACTCATAGAAGACTTGTGAATAGATTCATCGAACTGCTTTCTGTTACTCTGAAGAAGGATATATGGCAATTGAAAGCACCTGGAATTCATCGAGAGGGAAGGCTGTCAGAAAGCTGCAAAGGTATTCAGGATCTTCAAATCATCATTGATATCAACCATATCCCAAACAGATGTACTATGTAGATGCTCTAAGATCAATAATGGGCAACAGAAGGTGCTCAGGCAAAGCTATTGCATCGTGATCCAGAACGTTTCCTCTTGCCATTTCGTTTCACCATTATGAGGGCACCATTTCAGCCAAAGACGAAATCGGGTTGAATGCTCGATGTAGCCAGGGTGTAGTACAAAGATCTCGGCATAGAAGAAGATTAAAGTAGTCGAAAATGAGCATAAGCTAATTTTGATGCACGAGATCAAACACACTCGTGGGGTTACCGTTATTGAGTCAGCTTTGCCGTTAAAGAAGGCCGGGTCAAATGGCAGAATTTATGAGGTTTTGCTTGAGCAGTTAGTTGCAGAGTCAAATAGTAATAGCCAAGTCGCGATTATGAAGCCTCAAGATGAATCTAGGAGGTAATATTGATAACGGCAATATTTATCTTCGTAAAAGAGAACCTAAATGTGTCGGACTTGCCAGATTGCATAGGCCGAATATATTGCCACCACTGTAGCAGGAATAGTGTTAATTAGCTAATATTTCCTATCTATATATTGTTTAAACGTTTTTACAGCTATTTGATTAAATTCATAGTTGCTTCGTTCTATCTGTGGGAATCTATGTTACTAGCTGGCTATATCCCTGGTAGGGTTGCTGACTAGGGTCGTAACACGAAGTTCTTTACAGGCTGGAATGCCTTTACGATAATGTTAGGATGATATAGATGTTGACCACAGAGTTGGGTATATTATTATATTGGTAAAGGTCTTAATTATGTAGTTACAAAGTCGGGGGCAGGACCTCTTGTGTATATACTCTCTACGAGATTCGACGAGATAGATCGGATAGGGGCCATCCTCCAGTCAACAATAGGAGGTCCTTCTAGGCCGCAGATATGCTACTGAATCTTGTAATTGTTTGATTAATAATTTTTTGTGATTACTATTCAAGACGGTAGTGCCTACAAGATTAATAATCACCGCCCCAGATTTGAATATGTGATTACAAAAGAAGTCGATGTTTTACATTATTAATTCTGTTCTTAAATAGATCTAGACTAATGAATGAAGATTGAAGAATATAATAGGAATAGTGATTATAATTGAGAGTGAAATTACTCAGTGGCTTGCCTATCTCATTCTAGACCCGGGGCTTGACTGCAGCTGCGCATATAGAAATACAGAGAGTTGAGCAAACTACAGATAGAACATTTAGAGGCAGGAAATCTCCTGCTTTATATTCTAATAATAAGTGATATAGTTGTGTTCTGACTGATAAAACTGTATTTAAAATATTATATTCCTAGGACTGGGATTTCTGTCCTCCGCACTCCTGTACTAGAGTTTGCTATTCTCACTCAATATCAGAATCATATATCCTAAGTCATTTATTTTCTGCAGGGTTCAAGAGTCCATAAAATTAAACTTTATGCAGCCGACACTACTCAAAGCGGCGAAGCTTGGATCTTTGTAATACAGTAGTTCCATTCGTCTACTACACCGTACTGCAGGTAATCGTCCAAAGATATAAAAAGGCTGGAGCTTACGCGAGATCGAGAGTAACAGAAAGTCAGCGTGAACCAAACATACCGATTCTTCACCTTTCTACCCATATTCTTCTGTATATTCTAGGCACCTCAGTGGCCACAGAGGAACAAGAATCATGGTTTGGACATACCTTTTATTTCTAATGGTCCTGCCAACCAGCCTCGCCGCATCCATCGCGAATATCAATGCTGCTTATGGCGTCTCCCCGGCCCCCTTTTCTCTTAAAGTCTCGCCCAGATTCGAGTTGGAAACTCGCCAAAAGTTGGCGATGACTCGTTTTACAGACGATATCGGCTTGCCGCTCGCTGCTGATGGGCCTACGACCCATAATCAGACCACGGTTCGAGATTATTGGCTGTATGGGTATAAATGGAAGAAGGCCCAAGAAAAAATTAATAGCTTGTACGTCAAATGATCTGTTTCTGTATCCGCTCTTCCAAAACAGGCGGACTAATTATTAGGAGACAGTTTTACTCAATATACCACGACTGTTCAAACCCGGGATTCGAACTACACAGATCCTATCCCATTACATTTCGTCCACCATCGCTCACCACGACGGGACGCCATTCCACTGTTGTTCATCCATGGCTATCCAGGATCCTTCTTGGAGGTTGGACCCATCATCAACTCGCTGACTCACCCTCCAAACTCGTCTGTCCCAGCCTTTCACGTTGTCGCCCCGTCGATTCCTGGTTATGGCTTCTCACCAGCACCTGTAAAACCCGGGTTTGGTCCTCGCGAAGCAGGTCGCGCATTTAATGCCCTCATGCATCAGCTCAACTACACACAGTATGTGATTCAAGGGGGGGATTTGGGGGGCATCATTCTTCGCTATCAAGCCAATTCATACCCCGAATCCGTCGTCTCTGTTCTTGACAACTTCTGGACTCAAGAGCCTACAGCGGACGACTGGGCCCGTTTTAATCAGAAACAAACCACGGCCGAGGAAACCGCATATCTCAACGGCGTGAAAGGATTTCAGACCTATGCTTCTGGATATGTTGCCATTCAATCGACACGACCTCTACAGCTTGCAATTGCATTGACAGACAGTCCCATTGGCTTTGCCATGTGGATCTATGACTTTATGGCAGCCCATGGTGTTCACCCCTGGAGCCTGGAAGAAATCGTCACCTGGTCTATGATGTACCTGATTCAAGGACCTTATAATGGATTACGCTTCTACAAGGAGTTTCAGATAGAAGGCGCAATTGACGGCCCTGGTTTTGGCACCTTCCCCTACGTGCCTGTTCCCGTGGGTGTTACGCAGCGGACGCAGGACCTCGGCTGGAGTCTTCCCCTGGACTGGGCGAAGCGAGGTGGCAATGTCACGGCCTTGTATCGGCACGAGTTAGTGGGAGGTCATTTTCCCGCATACCAGACACCGGACAGCCTTGCGGAGGATATTTGGGATTTCTTTGGCAATCACAGTATTTCTGGTACAGGTATCTTCAAGGGCAAAGTTTTCTAAGATTACTTGACCTAGTAGAGGACCTTGACTTTATGGGGGGCGAGATTAAGAGTTACAGATTCTTCAATTGTAGCAGGGACTTAGTCGCGGATTTAGAATAATTGAATGATAGAACTCATAAATGTAGCAAGGTATAGGCCTATTATAATAAAATGCTACGAATCTACCCCATGTGCGTATAATTCCGAGCACCTTTGCCAGGCACGCGTCAACCTCTCCAATGTTAGAACGACTTGGCTTGTACAGTTAGTTTACTTGCTCTATTCAATCTGGCATGCCGTAGGGGTACCCCTTCAGCAATCTTGTGCTTTGTATGTGATGTAGACTTTGTCAACTCACCTAGTGGGCCGAATAAGAGCAAACATACACCGTCTTCAAGTATTGTCACAGCGGGTTGAGTAACACCGTTACTACTGAAAGTGGATGACACGCCTCTTCCGCGACAACCGGATTCAGTCAAGATCTGGCCAGCGGCTCCGGTCCAGTCACTTTTATCCGGTCGGCCATATTCACGAATAGCGTCCGTAAGGAGGCATTGCCAGCCTTAATTAGGGCTGTTTTATTCCAATTCATCTCGAGTTTGTAGATCGGCTGTCAAATTAATAACGGCTGTAGGTAGCTTAGCCATCTTGGCATTGTTCCAGGCCTGTAAAGACTGTTCAAAATAATCAGTTTACCAGGTCGGTTATCCTCTTCTGTATATGCCGGGACCCGCTTGACATATATCGTATAAGCTGGATGCGGGAAGACCGGGTGATTCCTATAGAGTTATCCAGGAACTGGCCTATCAAGATGGCCAAGTCCTGGAGGATCACCTGCCGGAGGTATAAGAGGAGGTTGGTAACTTCAGCAGCGGCCGGATCCTGAGTTTTTGATCCTGCCCACGGCCAAACCGACCCCGCTAGCGATCTAGCTCCGGTCAGATCATAGGTAGGAGGATGTTTAGCGGTACGATCTTGGCCCGCCGGACTTCGTAGAACTCATTGAGGGCGGATAGCCGGTCATAGGTCGCATAAATCTTCGGAGTAGGCAGTTCAGACAGCGGCTAGCGTGTTGGATCTGGACTTCACTAACACCCGTCAACTCGGCCGTTTGGGAATGGCTTGGTAGGAAGGTTTCATTTTTATAATAATGAAAGTGTTAGGAGTCACAGCATAAGAGAAGAGTGATGAGATCAAAGAAGTGAAACCAAGGGAACTCGAACTTCGCAGCTAGGTCATTAAAGGCCGTATTTACCTCCAACCTTTTTTTTTAACACAAAGGGAAACATCCCCTTTTGTAGCTGTGTTCACACCGCAATTATCTAGTTTGAACCTTGTTGGGTCTTTGCTGCTAGATAGCTCTTTGTTATCTGACAGAGAGACGGCCAACTCAAGAAAAGAGTCTAACGGGACCCCGAATTTTCTACTACCTATGGTCATATGTGATGGTTTGCTGATTTCACCAACTTGATATAGCTGTATGCTGCAAGCGGCAATCTTCCAAGATAGTATTATCAACCTACACTAAAATTTACTTAACCTCAGGTTAAAGTTTGCTCTGTATGTCTTCATCTACCTCGATGCCTAATATAATTAGAGTAAATACATGAGATAGGAAGCTTTCCAAATTATGTTCTCTTATATGTTTAGCATGAAGCGTAGGCATGTAATAAGGCAGGAGGTAGCTTTTGTAATTCCGTTTTCATTATACATTTAATATGTCTTATTTAATAAAATTACCGCAATGTGATTCTTTATTGCATAAACATCTGCTCCTTTATCTTTAGCCCCTGTTGCATAACTTAAGTTCGCATATATTTCTTTAATTTATTCTGTCTAATACTGTTAAAGATTATATCTTCTGCTACTTGCTGGTAGTATTACGCCTGTAACAAACCATCTCCATCGTTAAATAATGCTGCAAATTATAAGAGGGTTAAACAGACCGAAGAGGCATTCTGTTCCTCAATCAGTTCCAGATGCGAACTGCAGCACGTGGATGAGATATGGCATGAACTACGCTGAGCATACGAGGCTAAAAATACCCACAGCAGCCAGCCGCTTCTAAATTGGGCTGTCAGAAATTTTCAGCTCAAGCGAAATTTTCAGCTCAAGCAGATGAAAGCAATCATTACTCAAAGATGCTTTACATCTTGCGATTTCGCTCGCCCTTCTCATAAGGCTGTGCTGACAGATAGTAGGCTAGATGCTCATAGTATGGCTCACTGAAATGTCTACGCCTCGAAGTGCTCATAGTATGTCGTCGCCCTGTAGAACCGTCAAGTACTGGATTATCAACGGAGTGGCGGGTTACAAGTTATTAAGTATGGCGGAAGAACGAAAGATGCCGCGTATATGTTGATGCGCGTATATGTTGATGCCCGTGTACTGCATAGATGTGGTTCCTAGCCATATTTAAATTTTGGAAAATGTCGAGCCACATTACGATCCAAAACTTTGATGCCAACGGGCTTCACCAAGTATTCATCAGCACCAACATCCTCCGCGGTCGTTTTATCTGTCGGGCTATCTTGGCCGGTCACAATGAACAAAATACTTTGTCCCCAGTTGTTCTGTTTCTCCAGCTGGCGTATCTGTTGGGTGGCTTTAAAACCATCGCACACGGGCATTTGAAGGTCCATGAAGATCAGCTGGATCCCTGCTCCCTTGCCAGCAGTAGCTAAAGACTGTTGCCGCGAAAAAAGTTCCACAGCTTGCAGGCCGTCAGCCGCGCAGCAGTAGGGTAGTCCCCGTTTTGTGCAATACATCTGCAGAATGCGGAGATTGATGACATTATCGTCAACAAGTAGTGCCGCAGGCCGAGAGATTGTGAGGGCAGTGGGAATTGAACCAACATAATATGATTCCGCAGGAGGCGTTAATAAGCCAGGATTAGTTGCGCTACCCGTAGTTGGCTGAGCTGTCTGTCCGTTTACAGCGGTTGGGGGCTCAACCTCTTTCTCTGCGGTTGGGTCTGTTTTTATTTCCAGAGAATGGAGCGAAGAATCACTAGGGCGAGGCAGACATGCACTCGAGGTTTTCATCTCTAAAAGATATTTGTCTGCTTCTTCGAGTACTGACCTCATCGTCGAAGTTAAAAACGGCGCGCTGACATATATTACGTTCTTAGAAGTCTGATCCAACAAACTTTCCCTTTCTGAGGCTGGGACGAGACAGATGGCGATGTGTCCCACTGGAATCTGGGACAAATTTGAGCGGCGCTTCTCCAAGTCTGACCCGAAATCAAAAATGGCAAAGGATTGATCCAGGCTGACAGAGGATTCAAAGCCGTGCCAGGCCAGAAATCGAGTGAAGTGGTTGCACAACGATATGCTGTCTGAGCCGGACGCCATCCTGTAAAATTTAGAGGGCAAAGCCTTGAGTTTCTGAGCAAGGGGCTGTGATGCAAGGGGCAGGCGGACACACTCTATCTCCTGGAATATGGCTCTGAAATGCGACCCACGGTTGACCTGTGACGATATCAAGCTGACAGACCCGTGGAGCAGTGCTGCCAACCTGGATGCGAGGGTCAGGCCTAGCCCGGCACCCAATGAATGCATTTCAACCTTTTCATAAGGCTCAAATATACGTTCGTGGTGGTCAGGGTGAATGCCACGGCCGGTGTCCTCAACATCAACGATTAGCTGTTGGTGATCCGGCTGTATCGATATGGTTACAGTTATAATGCCTTCTGAAGTGTTTTGAATGGCGTTAATTATAAGTTGAAGCAAGCTATCACGAAGTAGGCCGAGGTCGGTCTGAAAGCTGACGCAATCCAGCGATGGGTCATGGTGAAAGAAAATAGAGGCCTTGTAACGAGTATCGTCTGAAGTTGCTTTGCGGATCTCATTTGCCAACTCTATCTCGAGCTCTTGAACGGTATGTATAGCATAGTGCCGATTCGTCATGGCGATGTCAGCCCACCGGTTCAGAGTGATCATGTTGTTGACTATGGACATCAAATCTCGTCCTGCCGACTTGATGGTTTTTAGATAGATGGCTGATCCCACAGGCTTGGCCATCGAGTTTGCTTCCAGCAATGATGCTGAATTTTGGCTTTCACGCGGCTTTTGCAACAGAAGCTCTTCGGCTAGCAGCTCTACAGAACCGAGGATGCCATGGATCGGGGTTCGAAGCTGGTGAGAAACTCCGCGAAGAAATTTTTCTTTTGCCCTCATTACTTCTGTTAGAAGGCGCCTGTGCCATATCTGAGAGATCATGGTTGCGCAAGTATGGACAAACCAGGAATCAATATCATCAAACACAAGTCGAAAGTCTTTGGATGCCACAACAAGCAGGGAAGGCCCCGCTAAGGTGTCGCATGAGGCAACAATAGCACGTACTACCCTAGTTGTCGGGAAAGGCTTTTGGTTTGAGTTATTAATGAAATCATCAAGGTAGTCTGTGTCCTCCCACAAGCCATCATCGAGGTCGGCTAGGGGTATAGGGTCATGATCTTCGATTTCGACACGGGAGTCCTTGGATGATTGTACAATAACTGCTGTATCTGGATACGTAGCCCTCAGTATCCGTAAAATCGGCTCCTCAGAAATTTTTTTGTCTACTTCAGCTTGTGCAGCGGAGATCAGTTCTGACATTCGGCGCCGTTCTCGCTGACGTCTCGCTCTCGCACATTGGACAATATCGGCGACAACCCAGTCAGCCAGGCGAGCGAGCGTCTGTTGTTGAGGCTTGGTCAAAGGCGCTTGGCTTGTTCTTGAAGTGACACAAAGCGACCCAAGGCTTACGCAGTCTCCCGACTCGTTTTGCAAGCGAAGTGGTGCTCCAGCGTATGCCCGGAGCCCGCCAGACTCAACGTACGGTGAATGTTTGAATCTCCAGTCTTCCATCATATTTGGCAATAGAAAAACATTCTTGTAAGAGTTAGTAAGACTCAACACGCCAGACATTGTCATTCACATACGCCGGGAGGCTGGGTAACCGTGTGCGCACACAGAGTTTCTCCGCGTGGAAGGATGGCCAGAGGAAGCCCTATGGATGCTAGGCGAATGTAGTAATTGACATCGAGAATGCCGATGACAACAAACTCCCAGCCAGTGGATTCCTGCGCTATATGTGCCTTTTCCTGAAGCCCGGAGAGGAACTCGGTCTCGTTGAGGATATCGCGAGTGTAGTACCAAAGCATGGACGACCTAAGCCTCTCATTCTCAGCTAGAAAGGCGCGCAGATATCGGTCGGAGATGCACATAGGCTTGTCGGGGATTGGTGATGGTGCAAATGCTTCCACTTTGGGAGGATAAAATGATTTTTCTATTTCCGGGGTCCATGCTCCAATTGGCCTGTCGACATTGTCCGGATCGTAGACAGGCCAAACGGTTCGCGGGCGAGCCGGTGGGAGTCCATGTCTTGACGATAGGATGGCGGCGTCTGCTTTCGGGAAGAACGGCTTTGGCCGCCCGTTAACAGAGGCCGTTGCCATAGGTGAACCGTAGAAACGCGATCCCAGCCAAGCAACCTATTGCTGTCCTCACTGCATCGCCAGTGGACGATGAATGCTTCGTGGTAGGAAGCAAGGCCTTGGAGATTCCGTTGTATGCCATACATGGTATGCACGTGAGGGAACTGGCCAGTCAATGCCGGCCGGAGCTTTTTGTCCTGGACAAATCCAGTTTGATTAATACAAGGTACGCTATAAAATGTCGCTTGCGGCATTGCGTAGTAGCTTGTCGACTACAGAGTAGTATACTACCTATATGTAGTAAGGTAGGCAAGTTAAGGTAGTAGCCTAGCGCTCCTATAGAGGATGGGGTACCTCGGATAAAATTTTACGGATCTTCTAAAAGGGAGATGCTGTGCAACACACCACTCTCTTTCGGGTGGTGGCGAGTCCAGTGGTTTCGACAAATACACAGCTGATGCCTTGAGTGCTTCGCCAACTGACGTCTTCATGAGGATTTCCTTAGCAGGACTTGTGGTTACATGAACGTACTCATTATGCTTTGAATCAGATATCAAGGCTTTTGGACTACCCACTTGACAGTAGCCCTAAGAACGCAATAACTAACAATAGGTACTTTGACAGCGAATGGGTCATGCGGCGGGCTGAAAACCTTCTCTGGTTGCCATCTGAATATCGGCCAAGCCATGCGGTAATCTATAAATCGCAAATTGCCATTGGCTATGAAACAGGAGATGTCATAATTCTCAATCTTCCAGTCGCCTACATAGGGAACAACGTGATATTTGGCAGAAATACAGAATATTCACAACTAGAACAGAAGCGCCTGTCGGCTATCACTCGTTGAGATTGGCACTCCTTTTAGCATAACAAAAAAAAAAAATATTGAGGGCTATTTAATGACATGGAATAACCCCCCCCCCAAAAAAAAAAAAAAAAAAAAAAGCAGTTTTACCAATTCAAGATTGAAGTGCAGGGAGCCTTCACAGATCTCGTCGAGCCCCGGTAATTTGAATAAAGCTTAAAGTTGATACTATTGCTCTTGGTAGGTTCAATCTAAACCAGACAGGGCTGGAGATGCGTGCATATATCGGATCAAATTTAAAGCCAAGAGTGATGAGTGCTCCTTCAATACAGAGACTGCTAACCTATATTCTTAACCTGAAAATTTAGTGTAAACCGATAGCATGTCTCCATAACTCGTGGTTCTGGCTTAATCCTAAGCATCACCCGTACTAGTCGCATGTGATGGAGAATATGTCGCGCTCATTCATGCCAATATGACTAGTGTCATAAATGGGATAAGGAACAATGGCAGGATAATGAGAGCATTTATCGAGGAAATTCTTATTTGAAAGGATAATACAATGCTACCTATAGTCAATGTACTGAGACTGCTACAGCAACATCTCATATCCGCGGCTCAAGAAGCGCCTAAATACTATATTTGTCGTATACATCTTAATGTATATGTTTCAATAGCTGCTCGATATGGACCTCTTGCAGAGTCATGATTTCATCAGCCGATGTGCAATGAATGAGTCCTCAAGCAATGATGACTCATATCGAGGCTGAGTGAATGAATCTATAAGGGAGACTAGGATTGCGTCCGTTACTGAAGATTATGATGCTAGAAAGCTTATGATTCCGCTTTTATTATCTGCAGACGTTTATGAATCCTGATAAGATGGGAGAATATATATCGTTGTGAAATGTTGATCGCTACAAACTTCATCTTTACATACTTCGCACTGGCTGGCGCTTTAACTCGCCATAATATTTAGATAAACATTCAAGTACCTATGAGCACCAACTTTGTCTAGCTCGACATTAGATATTAAGATAATGTCATAAAATTGCCAACGGGGACTAGGCGAAATGATCTTAAAAAAAGTAAAGGTGAATCTAGGTAATACTTTGGGATAATAAATAGAGGTATGCCATTTTTACTCTTCCAGATCCCGCGTAACTTCTGTCCATTGCGTAACTCTCCTTCTCATATCATCTTCTAATCTAGTAATGATAATAATAACTGTTTCACGGCGCGTCTTTTTTTCAGTAGCCTTTTCTACAAACGTCCAGAATGACTTTGTAGCCACAGCATTTGGGCCCACGTCGTGTGGATATCTTTCGCCATGTGCATCTTCAAAAGAAGTGACGAGAGGTTCATGGCTTTGTAATGACATGATCCAATTCCTGCGAGCTACGATGCAAGCCTTTTGAAATGCATCGTAGTCTAGATGCTGAGTGTTGATGCTGCGGATTCTTAGCTACAGGCAACCGATTGTAATATTTCGAAACATATTACCTCGCTGACAAGTCTTTCGCAAAGTTATCAACGAAGGCTTTGGATCCGACGTTATCATCATCCTGAAAGAACAGTAATCTAAATAATTCGTCAAAATAATTGAAAAGAGTTATTGATTCCATTTTGAGAGCTGTGATGTTAAAACCGGGTTTAACTGTAGATCTGACGCAACGGGAATGGTTGAATGCAATGGCTACTAGAATTGCAATATGCTCTCACTAGACGTACTAATCATGAAACTTTATATAGAGCCAGTCAGAAAGAGCGGTGAGAAATGATTCCACACCGAACGCGATGCACATGTAATCCGTGTAGTTCTAGGATGTCCCGAACCATCCAAGAGCTTCGTGTGTGGACGCCGCTTACCTTACAAGTGGAAGAATCGATCCGGTGGACACTAAACTTTTGCTCATGAAGAATACTCTCAAGGCTATGCATTGGTTCTACTCTTAGTGATCAACTTGAAAGCTATCAAAATGTGTGTATGTCCAAGACACTTGTCGCATTATAATTTCCATATAATTTGCGGCTTTAACGCTTTGACAAATTCAGTCATATAGTCCAAGTTCGTCTGTTTCTACGTAGACTTTTCTCTAGGGCGGAGAATGACTGCTTGTTTGTGGCTTGCAGCTAATTTACCTATCATTGGACAGAGAACTCTATTCTAAAAGTTGGTTACGAATGAAGAAGGTGGATGTTTCCTAATATGCTAAGGAAAATGGTGAGGGGGCTTCTTAGCGCTTAGTTTTTTATCACCCTTGTACTGATGCAAGCACATCCAACTTCTGGTGCCCCAGGAGCTAGTAGAGGAAGATGTTGACTATTATAAAGCGCTTGACAGAACCCCAAATTCTCCACTACCCATGGTCGTGTGTGCTTGGCCAGGAGCAATGAATGAATGATCCGCCATATTTTTGGACTTCTGCCATCTAGTCTGTTCTTCTGATTTAATCGAGTACTGCTCTTGCCTAGCGATCAACAGTTTTATGGGCTGAGGCTCTCAGCCTGTGTTAAGTGTGCACTGGAACTTCGTACACCTTGTCACAGATGATTAGGCTGTTGAATGGATTACTGAAGAGATCAGAAATGCATCGATACCGGTCAAGATATAGCTACATGTATTCACCCGCCCATTCAGCTACCTCTCAGCTATATATCGACGCTGTGAACATTTGACCAACAGGCAAACTAGCCGCAATTTCCCAGGCGCCCAATGCATTGAACCCACCTTAAGTACCTGATAACGCTGTTGGACAATATTAATTTTCAGATTTTCTTCGAAAGCCTTGGATTCATTCTCAGAGAGTTGTAGAACTGCGGCTAGATTTGCTGATATCTGCGGCAGGGCTGCTAGCTCATTGAATCGAGCAAGATCATCTTCAAAGGCCGCCTTAGGAGGAGCTTGTTCAGCAATACTGGCCTTGGTAGCGTAGCCCGAAGCGTCTCAACAGGGAAGAGTGCAATCCTTGCCGCTACATTGTCGACATGTTTGCGAAGACTGTTGGCAGTAGGATGGACAGTGTCGACTCAGCCAACACGAGCCTCTTCAGAAGCGCTGACCTGTGCGGCGGCGAGCGGGTTTTCTGAAGCACGCCCGGGTCTAATAAGTCTTATCAGCTGTTGGAGTCCACCAACATGAATCAAACCAACCGCTGCCTCAGCGGCCATCATTGTCTCTTATAATCCAATCTGATAGTTCAGCTGTACAAAATCGTCGATTGAGTTATATTATTGCTCATTTTAAGATTCATTCATTCAACGTCGCTTCTTTGCTGGATGCCTAGTCATTTAATTGGCCGCGGTTGAACAAATAGTTTTACAATGGGCTGGCTGATAGCGCCGACGCCGTTATGTCGTCTCTACAGATGGCCTTGGTTTTGTCTTGCGTAAGATGTTCTTTCTTTACCAGGAACATTTATGAATCTTGATCTACCGTATCTGGCAACCCTGGTTTAGCATGGTTTGTATCTCTATGGTTGGTTCTTACCAGCTGCAGTCTATGAGATCTAACCATGGATGCGGCGCGAATCGTTCCACCGAAGGGTTTTGTTTATTGAACCAACCTTCACAATTTTGTGAACATTTACTTTGTTAAAATACTGCACATTTGAACTACGTGACTGTTCTTTGAGAATCTCAAACTCGTTCCGAGCACCGTCTGGGTATCCTTGATTAATAAAAATATTGTTCAAGATCACGGGCGCGCATGAACAATGTCCTAATCTCAAATATGTTATAGCTAAGGCCCTCAACAAAGGGGATTTGAAATATAAATAAAACTTACTCTACCGCGGTGCAGTAGAGGAGTCAACATCACGGCTTACGGCATCACAATCTATTTCAGATTAGTTGTCATTCCTACAGATTGTTTAACGAAAGACGACCACGTATCTAGTTAAGCATTATTATAATTCCAACTACTCCATCACATCACCATGACTATCCAACGATCCAGAGTCAGCTATTACGATACCCTATGCCTAGTAGAATGGGCAGATATGGATGCTATCAAAGCAAGCTATACATGGCTTTCAACGATGTACCATCCAGACAAAAATCCAAATGATCCTCGTGCAGTTGATCAGCTTCGAAGGGTAGCACAGGCTCCGCACCTTGGTGAAAGTAATAAACACTAACAATTTATCTTAATATAGGTTGAGGCCGCCTATTTCACTCTCTCTGACCCTATGCGACGCTCAGCTTACGATCTCCAGCTAGTAGGAGAGATAGAGGCTATGTTATGCGAGTTGCGTGAGAGGAAGAGAATTTTCAAAAAAGATGTCCGCAATGAATTACAGAATCTAGCGCAACGCCTTATAGGCATAGAACAGTTGAAGAACCATGAGTCGCAAAATGAGAGAATAAGTGCGGGTGTGATGAGAGAGAATCAAGCATACCTATTGTCGCTTTGCCGAAGTCATCAGGAATTATTTGCGGAAAACCAAAAAAGATTCATCAATGATGTGGAAAACGAACTTAACAATCTTAGGGCGGAGATAAAGAAGAATGAGCATCGAAAGAATGTCTTGCAAGCAGGAGAGTGGAGGCGTCGACAAGCCTCTCGGGCCCGAACACAGCGATAGAAGGTGTAGTAGAGAGAGAAGGAGACGAAGAGGAGGGGGGTCTGGAAGATGACAAAGGTAACAAAAGGATGGAAGGCTGCGGGACAGCAAGACAAAATCACCAAAGATAATGTGTCGCGGAAGACGAGAGTGCGGTTGGAAATAGTAAGCGAGGCACAAATAAAGATAACATAAAAGGATAATATTTAAAGACAAAACTATAAATTCTGTTTAATCAATGGAGAAGCGGCCAATAGTTATTATATCCGCTTGCCTTTCGTTATTATAGTTGTTTGTGCTGCATATATTGTGTGTATCAATCTCATGAATAGATAAGGAGAGTGTACATCATTTCTTGGTAGCAAGTTTCAGCTCTTCTACAAGTGTGCTTAATTGAGGTGACACTGTATAGGTACTAAGTGAGATGATAGTAATTATATAATGTACAGTCATTAATGTGTTTTTTAGGAGGATATACGAAGTCATCAATGGCAATGAGGCTGGCGACGGTATGCTGGATGGGAGAGTGGCTAAGTATGGTAAAGTCTACAGCTGAGAGTTTAAAACATTTACAAAATGATCATGCCAAACAGGGTCCGTTGTGAAGCCCTTGAGGGTGTCCTAGTGCTACTCCGGATGGGCGACTGATAAAAGGCTGAAGTGGGCGTTCGCAGAGGTTATACTCCCTACCCAGGTCAAAAAAGCTGAAAATAATGGCCTCTTCGGAAGGGTGGTGCCGAGAAGCGTGTACTGGAATGCCGCAGCCGCCTTCCAAGGGCAGTGTCGAGAACCAGGCTGTAGCTGAGGCATCGGGCTATGAGAAGGTCTTCGTCAAGTTATTTGAATCCTTATTTTCGCCTAGCTGCGCTTAGACCTCTCCCTCTTAACCCTCCATAGCAGCAACACATTGCAGGACTACATCTAGGACCAGGCCGCCAGTTTGTACTTCGGCTTGCAACACATGTAACTTCCCAATAATTTTGCCATCATTCAGGACTTATAAAACTGAAGAGCAGCCAGGTCTCTCTCTGTTCACTAGACAAAATGCACTGGAAATTTTTCACAAGCCCTCCCACTCATCAAGATTCATTGAAGCAACTGAGGCTGTGATTTTTGCTCGTCAGCCACAGGCGTTTGGCGCCATGGTTCGGAGAGGCAGACACTAAAATAGCGGATTGGCTCTGCTCTATAAGGGAGTTTGATGATAGCCCCTATTTGAGAATTTTGACAAACTTTATTTCATGTGTCCATTTTTGTAACACCTGAAGAGCCACATGTTAGCCACAGTTGCCTGGCTCATTAGATCTAAAGTATGGCAATCAGACTGCTTCGACGTGTCACTTGCTCCTATCAGCGAGAATGTGAAAAGTTATATAGCTTCTGTCCATCTCCCCTTCAACTCAAATGTAATCCCTTTGAAATACGAGTCTCTGCACCAACTCAATCCATGCACAGACTACGTATGCGTTCAAAAGTTCATTTGATTAAACCCTCTGGTTAAATGAAGCAGAATAACAGTTGTCTTTTAGCACAACTGTCTTTAGCATCCACGGGTCGCCACCATGAGCACCTCAAAAATCATCTTAGCAATGCTTCTGCTTGCAATCAATTCGCGCCACGCCAGAGCGACGGAGTAACAGCCATTCGCCGATCTCGAAACAGGCGACAGTAGTCGGGGTTACGGACACGATGATTCTTTGCATGGGGGATGTACAGGCTCCTCAGAGCGCAATAAGCCGGCGATGGAAAAATGGGGTACATGTTTTCCGGCTGCTCGTGGCATGAGTTGTACGGGTGGCAATTGCATCAATGATAATGCCTGCCGCCCTTGCCTCTGCCTGCCGCCCTTGCCTCTGCCTGCCGCCGCCTTATGGCAGATATTTGTCTGATGGTTCCGGTATAGCTTGTGACAGTAGGCTTTGTAAGAATAGTGACGGGTGCGGTGTGGGATGTGTATGTATGTCTTAAAATTATGTAGATGAGGATAGCCTATTTTATTCTTCAATTCATCCTGTTACCTGAATTATCAATGTCAGTAGAAGATCCAAATCTAGGTGTGCCGTGGTAGACTGATAAAACAATTCTTGCGGCTAGTTCCATATCTCCCTCTTACAGTATGTCAGTCATCAAAAGATGCATTATGCCAGCTCTGTTACTATTGGATCTTGAGGTACCGTAAATGCTTAGTCATTACTCGTATTTACCTAATCTTCTGATGCGGAATACTTCCACCACGTAACTTAGTTGGGCTCCATTCTCACTCATATCGGCCCAACTAAGCAATCCGCAAAGACCAGACTACAAAGGCTTACTTGGGCCTTCAAAAATTCAGATGAATGCCAAATGATCCAAATGTCAGATTAATTCTATTGTGATTCTGTTTCATATCCTCTTTGGATCATCCATTCCCTGTTTATTACTGCTTTATAGGCTTAGCAGGGATTATCGCAAGATTCTCTCCGAATCCCTTCCGTCATTCATTTACTTCACATCCCGCCTACCAATTCATTACCCTTTCATAATGGATCACCACCGCGAAATCTCCTCAAACACATTCGGGAATGGTACTCATATCTACCAAGGCGATGTGAACTATAACCACTACGCCAGTGCCCATGCAGAAGCCACAAAGAGACATGGGGAGGATGACCTTCTAAAGCACCTGTATAAATCACCATACCAAGATCGAAAAACAGAAACCCACTCCGAGTTCCAGGTACATGTGACTGGTTTGTGTCGCACGAGCACTTTCAGACTTGGAACGAGAGCAATTCGTCTGGCATGCTTTGGGTTTCTGCAGATCCCGGATGCGGAAAATCGGTCTTAGTAAGACACCTTATCGACTCTGTTGTCCAGAGTTCCGATTCCAGAACGGTGTGCTATTTCTTCTTTAAGGATGACTTTCCAGATCAGAAGAACTTAATTAGCGCTCTTTGCTGCATCCTTCGTCAGATATTTATACAAAAGCCCATCTTGTTGTCTGATGAAATCCTGAAAAAATTTAACACTGGAGGAGAAACATTCAACACTTCATTCAGTGATCTTTGGCAAACTTTCATCCATATTGCAGAGGATGAAAATGCGGGCGAGATCGTTTGTCTTCTAGACGCAATTGACGAGTGCGAGAATCAAAGTGGCCAGGGAAGATCTGAGCTTCTCAAGGCACTATGTACACTATATGGAGCCAAACGGAGCTTTAATCTGAAATTTCTTCTCACCAGTCGACCTTACGCTGAAATTCATCGTGGCCTTCGACCTATTCAAATTCCGGGGCTGCCGGTTATTCACTTGAGTGGAGAAGACGAAAATGAGGTAAAGAAGATTTCTCAGGAGATCAATATTTATATCTACGCCAGAGTCCAGGATATAGGGAATCGTCTGCAGCTTACACAGATTGAGTGCAATCTCCTATTACAAGAGCTTATGCGCGTTCCTAATAGGACCTACTTATGGGTATATCTAACCCTGGATTTAATCGAAAAGAGCATCAGTGTCAACAAAATGATGATAACTGAGGCCACATCAAGTATACCTACAACAGTTGATGAGGCGTATGAGAGGATACTTTCTAAGAGCTTCAATACTATACAGGCTAAGAAAGTATTACAAATCATTGTCGCAGCAGTACGACCTTTGACTCTCCAGGAGATGAGCTTTGCACTGTCTCTCAACGAAAACCACCAATCCTATGATGACCTGGGTCTGTTACCTGATGATCGTCTTCGCGACGACCTACGAAATGTGTGCGGCCTTTGTGTCGTGATAGTTGACTCAAGAGTCTATCTACTTCATCAAACCGTGAAGGAATTCCTCATTAATAGGAATATCATACAATCGCACGAAAATGGTCATGACAATCATAAATGGAAGAACTCATTACTTCCACAAGAGTCTCACCGTGTTCTCGCCGAGATCTGCATCAGACACCTTCTCGCAGAACTGACGATGATATCTGACTCTCCACCCTGGCATACTTGGTGTAACATCTTTCTCGACTATTCTGCAAAAAATTGGGCCGCACATTTCCTTGAGAGCCCCACCGAAACACAGTTTATGATGACTGAAACGATACTTAAGATTTGTGATGTGGATTCGAGCTGTTACAAGGCGTGGTTTAACGTTTATTGGACCACCACAGCTACACATTTTCCCCAGGGATTTACCACCCTCATGGTCGCATCCTATTTCGGACTTAGCTTTGCAGTTCGGAGACTACTTGAAGTAGAAGATATCGAACTGGATGCGTTGGATCACACATACCGACGGTCAGCATTATCTTGGGCTGCAAGAAATGGCCTTCATACAGTTGCTAAGCTGTTACTCCGCGGCATTCGTCTTAAGCTATGGACTTTTAAATTACCGCTCAGGAAGAAAGCAAAAATCAACTTACAAGACATATATGGTCGAACCCCGCTAACATATGCCGTTTGGAATGGAGATATCACTCTAGTCCAGTTGCTAATCAAGGCGGGCGCGGGGGTGCACTTGAGAGATGAACTTGAAGGAACACCATTATCCTATGCCTTTTGCAACGGATGTGCTGATATAATTGATCTCCTTGCCAAGAAGAAACGTCGAGTCGATATTGAGAGTGATATTAACAGACTGCTACTTTCTGCTTCAATGAAGGGGCATGAAGAAGTGGTGTCGCTCCTACTCAAGACTAATAGAGCGGATATTGAAGCAAAGGATGTGAATGGCAAGACTCCTCTAATAATCGCTGTTAGCGAACGCCATCCCGCAATAGTGAAGTTGCTGCTTAAGGCAGGAGCGAATCTGAATACCCAGACAGCAGATGGCGAAACAGCTTTAATTCAGGCCTGTTGGTGGGGGCATAAGGTAATAGTGAATATGCTGCTTGAGGCAGGAGCAAATCACAATATCCAGACAGCAGATGGCGAGACAGCTCTAATTCGGGCCATTTCGAGAGGGCACGAGGCAATAGAGATGATACTGCTTAAAGCAGGAGCGAAATCTAGAGATCAGATGGTAAGACAGTCTGGGTAGAAGCTACTATGGGCATCAGTGAAGATATCTTAACTGCCACTGAGAGTAGAGGTACATTATAATATCAAAGAAGCTCTGATCTGATATACAGCTTTGATATATGATACGAAATAAGCTAATTCGTTGTTCGTGACCATACTGCCAGAAGGAGGGGGAGCCGATCATACAATAAAACCTCAGCCTTAGTGATGCAGCTTTAAAAATTGAAAAGTTGATAGTAGAGATATCACTAGAGGCAGAGAAGGGCCCGAATATACAAATATCGCCTGACCCTCGTAAAAGTTACGAGAAAGAGTTAAAAACTTTTATGGGAGCATCTGAGATGCAGCGATGTAGGAGAAAACGCTCTTTCTGCCCTTTTTAATTGGTTCTGTAAGAAGTCACAAGGTAATTTCGTGCATTATTCGAGACAAAAGCACACCCGAACTCATGGGCTGAGAGATAGTTAAAACCGACATCGTTTATGAAAGAGGAAAGAGCATTAGAGTTAAGACTCTAGACGGAGGCAAATCTAACAATAAAGTGTGAGCTGAATCGATGGCTGCAGCGTCGTATACTATGAATAGGCGAAGAATGAATAATGAACACTGACTTATGATTGATGAGATGTATGCAGATTTCATAGCTTTATTTCATATATTATATGGTAACATCTTATTTAAGAGCTCCCATTCAATTGAACTATATTCGGATCGTGCGGGGGTTATTTCGATTTTAAAACAGAGATCCAAGACGCTGAATTTGAGGGTAATGGAATATGAAAGAAGACTCAATGCTATGGTTTGCTGAGTTGATTTGCATCAAGTTGGCTGGAAATCTAGGTATGTGACATTGAGAGCTGCATATTTGTCAAAGCCACTAAAATTCGTAACCACTAACTCCCTTGCATAAATATAGTAATATAACCACACTAGGAAACGTTTTCAGGCTTATAAAAGTTTATCAATTATAGCTCTATACATTATTTTCCCCCTTTTCTCATCTGCGAATACACGAAACAGACATTAACCATTTTAATAACAACTGAAATTAACAATTTCTTCATTTATTGCATGCGCAATAATCTAAATGATATAATGTTAGGCTGTCCTCGAGCAAAAGATAGGTGCTTTGCGTTTGCAATACGGGAAACTTACTAGCCAGAGGCTAATTAGATCTCACAGTGATAACTACGGTGTATTAATTAGGGAGAGCGCCTGAACTACAGGAAAGTATCGTAAGGCATAATTTGTACCACTAACTGCGATTCAGAAGTAAAATCCTGAACTCCTGGACACGAACAAATGCTTCTAGTCCTAATAACAGATATTAGCAATAAAGGGGATGATATAGACGGACCATAGGCGCTTACATGAGGATAACAAGGAAGAGGTCAGTACTGGCCGCTATTCGCATCAGTACGGAGATGATGCCATCTATGGTAGCCAAAGCAGCCTTGGTGATGATTATGGAGCTTCTATTTGTTCTTATAGCGTCAGCATTATAATTAAGATTAGGAGGATGACAGCCACCGAACAGCCTCCGAATGCAGGGAGATAATCAATGCATTTCAAGTTCAAGAATATTCAATTCTTGTCAATGGCAGTGCAAAACGCAAGAGTGTATACAAGCCGTCACATATTTTGGGGGAAAAAAGTCAATTAACATAAGTTCGAAGTCATGGTGCGAGAACAGCAAGAACAGCACTCTTGAATTAGGCATACCTTGTTTACTAGATGAATTTAACAAACACAGCTTTTCTGACCAGTAAAAGGTATGCAGAAGGACCTGTGCGGCCAAATTTTATGTAGGCTTAAGGCATCAAAGACCGCTGTAGTGTTGTGATCGTTGTCTAACTAATGTGTAAGCAGATTTTAGAATTCAATTACATTTATTTTTGCTTGTGAATGGTACTGAATTTGATCAGACTCGTCGTGCAGTTAGTGATCTTGTTATACCCATGCCACCAATTCTGTGTGCACTAAATGTGAATGCATGCTATTAAATTTGGCGTGTGTTGGTTAGTTGGCTCCTTCAAGAATGGAGAAGCGTGAATAGGTAAACTCAATTCTGCCATTTCTCAACCAACATGCCGACTTGTTTTCATACGGTTTTATCTAAAATTTTCTTTGATATATCTCTCCGGCTATCAGTTTCTTCATTCATCAAACATGGGAGGAGATCTATCCCCTACATATATTTCTCAGCCTTCTTTGACGGAAGAGGAGGACGCCAACCTGGCCTTGCTTGAGAGGGTTTGAATGGTTACGTGATCTGTCTCCAATCAATTGCACGAACGACGATACTGTTCCATCGTTGACATCTCCACAGCAACATGCGATAACCTCCGAGCCTGGTGACAAGTCGGTTTGCTATCCCTATTTAGCCCTGCTGCCATCGGAAATCATCGAAAACGTCGTGAGCCGTTTGGATAATCGCACAGTTAAAAATCTGCGCCTGACTTGTCAGCGGTTTGCCGCCATTGCAGCACTGCGCATCAATAGAGTCTTCCTCTCCGCTAATCCACTAACATTCAAGTCTTTCGCGCTATTGCTGACCACGACGCTCTTCGTCATAGAATTGTCGAGATTATCTATGACGATGCGCGTCTGTGGCGCTCTGCCGTCGATGCTTATGATGCTCGGGAGCCCAGGGAGCCTGGCTCGGATTCCACACACATTCCAACTGATATGGGGAGGTTTCAGAGCGAGCGGGATGAGAATATTGAAGATTTGAGACAGCGCCGAAGGCGGGATGATGAGCGGTGATCCGAGCATGTTGCAACGGCGCGGCGCGTGCACAGCGAATTATCAGTAGAGAAGTCATGGACATACTACCAAGAACTATTACGCCAGCAAGAAGAAGTCATTACTGGCGGAGCTGATGCAGATGCTCTTCGATATGGCCTGCAACGGTTTCCATCGCTTCGGAAGGTCACCGTCACTCCTGCTACTCATGGGTGGCTGTTTACACCTCTGTATGAAACTCCTATGATTCGGGCTTTTCCCTACGGACTTAATTGCCCGATTCCGCGTGCTTAGCCATATGCGCGCGATAGCGCCATACATGCTGCGTCATGGGAGAATGAAAAGGCAAGATGGCGCGGTTTCAACATGGTTACAAAAATTCTGGCAGAGGGACAGCATAATATTTCAGAGTATGAAATCGATGGCCACTATCTTGGGACCGGGCTCAATTGTCGATTATTTGACAAGCGGTGCGAGGAATACGACAACTTTGTATCCGCCCATCGGCGGCCCAACCTCAAGAAGCTTCAATTATCCCTTTTTTTTGACGGACAAGACTATGAACATGTAGAGTGGTCGGCACTTCGCAACGGCCTGTTACGAAAGGCTCTGGCAGAAGCTAATACGCAGTTGGAGCATGTCAGCATGGCTACGGGGTGGTGTCCAAACTACCAGGAGGAACCACCAGGGCTGAATAGATTCATCCCTATTGATTGCTTGACAGAGTCACAGCATTTCGAATTGTGGCACATTGCGGTCAATTTAGCTGATCTTATATCAGCCATTACACAACTTCCAGAGGGACTGCGGTCTCTCCAGTTAAACTTTCTAAGCATTACACCCAGCAGTTATTGTGAGTTGCTCAATGAGATGCGCGACAAATTGCATTGGCGTAAGCAGCGCCCCCAAACTAGAGTGATTATTGGTGTACCTATCGACCATTATGTTCGAGGACGCGCGATTTGGATCGAGGAAGATATTTATATGCTTTTTAAAAGTGGTGTAAACCCTTTTGAGAACGAAGATGGCGAAATTTGGGACACGCCTCGTTTGGGGATCGGAATTGTACGTGACTCGTTTGATCCGGACTATGTGAGGCCCTGGGTGGACCACAATACCTACCAAGAATTGAGCTATTACAAGAAATAGCTTCGTCTCGAAAATTTCAGAATTGCGGTAGTATTTGTGGATGCATGTATGAGGGTAATTGGATTTAGTTGAATCGTTTCAATAGCATATTTTTTACGATTGAACTCCTACAACTGGATTACGCCAAACCCAAAGTTATCTGGAGACTTTTGTGCCATTCAATATACATGTTCGCTGCAGAACGAATCGAAACTGTACTCAAAGAATATAATCTGGGTGATCAAGAAAACTGATTGCTCTCACTGAGACCTATCATATTCAACATTCACCCATACCGACCTTACTACATGCATTATATTAATCAACGACTCGCAACTTCTTATTATTTTTGTGGCAATAAATTCGGCAAATATATCCTTAACTCTCCCTCCTAATTAATAGGAGGGGATGGAATCATCATGCTCTTTTGTGCCCAACAGTGAAAGAAGCCGTTGCTCATGAATCTCTGTTTGGGTACTTTGCTGAAGCCACTCGCTCTTTGGGGTGATTGTAAGTTTCCAAGGATCATTCTTGTTGACAATGAGACAAATTTCAGTAGATCTTCAGAAATATTTGATAGAACCCCAGCAATTCTTAATTGTTCTGTAAGCGTTTGGATGCTTCTCTGAACAAGTGTCTCTCTGGCGTTGATGTTAATTTGGTTGCTAGTTACGATTTCATCGTCACCATCATGATTATCGCCAATAAAGCGTCTCATAATTATCGGATCTGCTGCGAATGAGAATAAAAGGCTGTAAGGCCCCAGTACACTTTTAATAAGGCCCATCTCGATCTGCCACTGCTCATAGTTGTTCAACGCTCAATAATAGAAACTTCATCATAGGACCTGTAAGTGATAAGCAACATGTCATATAGATAAAGCCGATTTGATTCATATATCCTGGTCCTGGATTCCGAGTAGTACCAGTGCCCGGAAACTCATATATAGCAAGTGGGTTGAAGCTGTGATGACTCTGGTATATCCCGACCTCTAGAGTCGTCTCTTCGGTACCAGTCTGAGCTGTGCCGAATTGCTCAGTTCTGAGGCCTCGTAGTGCATGAATTATAGAACACTTACCACTTCCTGCTGGGCCTCAAATAGCCACATGCGTCGTATTCAAATGGAAGCCTTCTTCAGCTCTTTGGGTTTAGGTGACCTGTGTACTTCTCGGTGGCGCTTCGTCTTTATTCGGAACGGCCGAATCGTATAATCATTGGAACATGTGCATCAATGCAATGAATCCAACTGCAGCGTAAGAGAAATGAACGGCCTGGTTGGTTCGGGCACGTATGGTAAAAAATAAAATACAGTCAGTAGCGAAGTATATACATATTTAATCGCCCTTCTCATATAGCCTAAGTACCGATGATATAATGAATGTATTAACATACGTTGAACAGTATTGGAAAGCAAATTAGGAATGGTCGACTCACACGCGGCCTATAAAATTGGGTATAAGGAAACGTGATGATACCACCTTTGCCGTTTACTTCATAGCTAAATCAGTTAGATGGGCAGCAAGGCCGATTTAGGAGCGGCGCTATGCTTTTGCTAGAGCGCAAATGCAATATTGCAGAGGCCTCACCCCCTTATCGAGAAATGGGTGTACTGAGAGCAACACGGTATTCGACACACGTAGCCTGAATGTATAGCAACATGCGCCATCCATTTTCCCCCCCTCATGCTTGTTGTGCTTCAAATAATTATTCCAGATCTAAGAGTATAAAACGGTTCTTCTTAGAGCATTGCATAGAGTCATATATTGCTACCTACAAATGGCAAGATTAACATGATCCAACGGTGAAATAAGATTGTCTATATGAATAACTAGGGTATCAGGACTAAAGTCTCGCGACAAAGGAAAATTTGTACATGTGGCACTTTGCCTTTTCATACATTCCAAGTCTAGGTGGTGACAATCATGATGTCTGCTCTTCACTCTTACGGCGCAATTCCTCTTTGAAATCTCTCCGAAATTCTCGAGCATCATGCCGTACCTTTGTGCCAGCTTCACGTGCCTTATCTTTCAAGTCAACAAAAACTGAACCAAATGGGCGTTTAGTGTCATCTTCCGGCTCAGCTTTTGTCTCTCGAGGCCGGAAAAGATACCCTTTAACGGAGTCGCCGACTGAGAAAAGGCGCTTCACTTTCCTCGCTAGCTTTGCCCCTGCAGATAATTGTTGAGGCTTGGTGTCTCGCGAAGAGGTGGAAACGAAACTTTTGTTGCCTTCTTGTATCTCTGAAAGCCTATTGCTAGTGTTGAGATGGGATATCTCCGCCGGTTCGTCGGTAAGTTGAGCCAGAGGTGTCATTACATTCTCAATCAGCGCATCCGACGACGTTTCCGTCTCTTCAGGCGTTTTTCTGGCGTGCATAAGCTCTCCCAGTCTTATTACTGAGAAATCGCACATTTTTTTGACAACATGATCATATGCTTCTGATGACAACTTGTATTCTCCATCTTGCAAAATGTATGCGGGCATCTGAAGAAACTCCTCGACATGCATCACCGTCTCACGTACTGTTTCCCTCGGTGCGATGAACCACTCCCTGTGTCCACCTTGACATTTGAAACATTCTAAAACACGAATATTGGCATGCCGGAGTATGATTTGGGCAATGCGCTCCGCATGGGGGGCTCCGACGAATCTTTTCGTCTCATAAATAATATCCGTATTGATTCCGTAGCAGTTGTTGGGTTGGTGCAGTCTCTCTTCAGCACTCTTACTCGACCACCCAATCTTAAAGAGAGAAGCGTTCTCCTTATGTTGGAGAATATATACAACACCTTCTCTCATTTTATCTGCTGTGGGATGGCTGCTGATCACTTGGAATACTGGCGAGTGGTCTCGTATCGACCCGCTGCGCTGAATACTGGTAACACCAAGTCCTTTGATGATAGTGTCTTGTCTCTCGGAGATGTCTTCTTTTATACCAGCGGTAAATGCCAAGTCTCGCATTCTCTCGTCGCCATACTCTTGCTTGACATCGGGAAAGACGATTATATCTTGAACAACCTCTTCTGCAACAAGAACCTCTTCTGCAACAACAACCTCTTTAAGAACCTCTTGTTCAAGAACCTCTTTAGGAACAGGAGCCTCTTCATCAATATTTTCTTCTGCAATAACGTCTCCCTCAGGAATATCCTCAGTAATGGACTCTTCCTCGGTGACATCCTCAATGTCAAATCGGGAGCGTGTTCCATTGCGCAAAGGAGTATTAGGGAGAGAGCTCGCGAATGTTGTGTTGCTGGTAACAGAATGAGACTCAGCAATACTGTCAACGAAAGAGCTGCCATCATCTGATGTTGCACTGGCTGATGATGGTATGAATCGTGTAGGCGTCGAGGGTACAAGCTGTAGTGCAGCTGCAGTTATTGGTTGTATATTGGATGAATTGGTTGATGGCACAGATGGTGTAGGCCTTGGTCTTGAGGTCGACGAAAAGCCTTGCCGCACAGCTGGACGTTGTCTTGAAGTGGATCCATCGGTTATCCGTTCTGTCTTCCACTGGTCGAAAGCATCGAGGACTCTCTGACGATGCCACCTCTTGCAATGTGTATAAGTGATAAAAGTTTTCATTTTATCATGAAAACTCTCTGTATCAGGACATTCTGTCATGTCCTGGAATTCAGAAAGCAGACTAGGTGTATGCCATCTTTCCTCCTTTCTGCATGGAGGATTTCTGCACCTCCCACCATCAACTCTTTTTGCTCGACAGGTTTCGAAATCGGAATCTTGAGGATTCGGACACACGTCAGTGTATCGCTGTATCTCCTCAAGCTTCTGGAAGACAGGATTTTGCCTCATATTTCTGGAAGCCATCTTGTGTGGGTCTATTGCTTTGATCTTTTAAAAAGTATACTCCTTTGACGATTTTGTCTTGGTGTATAGGCATGCTCATTTATACCGTAGACTCTGATGAGAGCCATCAAGTATTAATGCGTAAGCGGGTGAGGCTGTGAAGTCGTATGGGGCGCTTGACGAAACTACAGATATGCATGTTGGTTCTGTTGTTCTAAACTATGTCACGAGCCCTGTCTCTTGGCGGGCAGAATTCGCAGAAGATGGGCTGTTTTTGCGACCAACATGCATATATTGGAAGCCACTAATCCAACTCGGCAGCTCGTTTTTCAAAAGCTGAATGCGGGACATGCAATCCATGTCACCCCTGAATCCCGAGTGGATGGATGACATGTGCTCGATGCGACGACTGATCGGTGATTAGAGACCCGATCGCTTAAATATGGAGAATTCTTAGACGATACACGGATTGCTCGGTTGCTTTTGGACTATGAAGGAGCAAGAAAATTTTAGGACGCATACTCGATATCGCGCACTAACTAAATAACACACCTCATGTTTGCCTGGTTACGCATTTTCCAGAAACAAAACGGGTTTCATTCGTTGATTAGATCGAGAAGTACGATGTACAAAGAATTTTGACATTGACCTGCTCAGTCGACTTAGTGAGCTCTGAAACTTCCCAGGAAGAGTGACATTCAATCTCCGCTCTTGCTCCGTCGACATACGAGTACCCTCCTGGTATGTTTATTTCCTAGGTATCCAGGGACAATGTGAAGCATTAGACGACCCTCTTAGGATTCTGCTACAAACCCATGTATCTCGCGGAAATAATAGAAGACGAAATAACTGGCCGCTTTAATACACCCTCTAGGGCTGTAGCTTCGGCCGCAGCCGAGAAGACCACCAAATGTTGCAGAAAGCCGGTTTTCCGTGTTCTCTGAGAAATGCTGTTGGTCCTGCGGTTCAAGCAGCCCCCAACGAGGAGAAGACCCACGCAAGATGCAACACGCTACTGCGCGTAAGCCACACAGACGCCATGGATTTTCAAAGCCAGGCACCTTCTGTAGCGACTTTGGTTAGCCTCATGCCCATCGCGGCATAGAACTGTAACCTCCTTGTTTAGTGCAGTCAAATGTTCCAACCGGGCCGGGCTGTGTAGGATGCTATTTTCGATCTCTCGCGACGGGCCATCTCCGCGGTCGCTTTAGCGCACACCCACTCTCGAGCTGTTATCGAGAAAACGAGGTCAGCCATTGGGCCGGCGCTTAGATGATGCAATTGTTTGGGAACTTGTGATAATTGAGCTGTCCTGTACTATGTAGAGAAAGCGGCTCTCCACTATTTTCCAGATACCAGAAGCATTGGTTTCTGAGTATCAATACAGAACATGCAGACGGATAGATTCGATGCGTTTCGGTCAATCCTGCTAGTACTTCCATCATATACTACAACCATGTTCTAATATAGGTTTCTGTGAATATGTGTATGAGAATTCTCGTCTCGCACATTGAGGTTGATTCGTGTCTGAATTGTCGACTTTCTCGCGTCACTGATGAAAGGGGCACAGGTTGGCACAGGTTGGCACATCAAACTGGAAGGGATAATATTCACAAAAATGAATCCAATTACGGCATGCAAGATTACAGGGATAAATCGATATATATTAGGCAACTAGATCAATATGTATCAAAAAGGGAGAAAGGTATTTAGTGGCCTATCGATACGCATTCGGGCTGATAGAATTGACACCTGTTAGCCATGGTCCCATTGCTGCGTAGCGAAATCAGGTACACAAAGCGCATCTTAAAAGAGGGAATACGTACAATAGGCTGGTAATCTGAAGCCAGATATAACGGATCATCAATATCCGCGATTTCGTCGAAAGTATTTATGGTATCGCCAGGCATCTCCCGCTCTGGTTGAGTCGGCTGCCCGGTCGGTTCTGTGCATCCAATAAACTCGTTCATAGCGGCTCGAGGTACTGTATCAGGCTCTGTGGCGGTACCCCAGTTAAGGCCCTTCTGTTCGACAGCCTGGGCAATTAAGTACTGTTTGACGTTCTTGGAAATTTCTGAAGGACCGGCGCTAGTCATCTGAGCTCGAATAGTGGGTTTCGAGAGGAAATAAGCCGCCAATCCGGCGACTTGTGCTGTTGCAGGAGAACATCCAGTAAAGCAGATGAAAGAACCATAGTCGGTAGTCCCACCACAGGCCTTCACGCCCATAGCATAAATACTGAGAATGTTGTTTCTAGAGGTGTCGAGTATGCTAGATCCCTTATTATCTTCCCCAATATATCTGGCGCCGTTAGCATCTGCATTGCCAACCACGGTAAGTCCAGTCTCGCTGCCTCCACGGGCCTGCGGTTCGAATGCTGCCAGGTCCTCTGTAATATCGTTGTGACCAGCCGCCACTGCAGTAACACCAGCTGGGTAAATGTACTCATTGAATAGCCAAGGAAACGGATTGATCTCTGGGCTTCCAACTACTTGATCCGAGTCCCAAAATAAGGTATTGATCTCAAAAGCTGCATGTTTATAACTCAGTTGGGTGGACAGGATACTCAAAGCAAGGTATACTTACCAATGGACATGGAGAACACAGCACGGCCCGACAGCCCTCTGTCAACCACATTATGGGCGCTATACGCGATCCCCTTCACCAGTTCCCACAGCGTAGTTCGCGGCCCAGTAAACCCTGAAACTTTCACAATAACCAGCTTGGCCATTTTGGCAACACCAAAATAGTAACCAGCAGCCAATGAGGCCATACGGGTACCGTGTCCTGTACTATCATCCCTCACATCGCTCCGAGCTGTACCTCCGGTTCTTGAGTTGAAGAAAGAGTCTAGATTTTGCACTGGCCTATAATCAAATTCCTGTAGCATATCAGAAACTGTCTTTTCAATGCGGAATGGGAGAAGTACTTGATTGGTAGGGGCAATCCCTTTATCTATAACGTAGATGTAAACTTGGTTATCTGGATCTTCTGCGGTTGCATTGTCATAGAGAAAGCCGTCGAAGTTCTGGACTGACTGAGCCGGAACTTGGTTTCTGGCCCAGGGCGATGAAAGCCATCCAAGATGATAATTATATGAGTTAGATTGTTCAAAATAAAATTCTGTAGCCACTGAAATACCTCTCTTTGTTATCGCCTCGGAGACGTTTGTATGTGAGAGATTTGAGAGAGTGTCCGGAGATACAGTTCCAATGGCGCCGTCGTCTTCAATTTCAGTTGGATCATCTATTTCTGCATTCAAGCTGACGCTTGCAACGTTCGGGCTAGCAAGCAACTTTCCAGCATCGCAGTTGTCTATCTCTACGAGCAATGCGAGGTAGCCAATGCTCGGGTAGCTGTCTTGATCCACTAAAGCTCCTTTGGGGAGACTATTGATAAGATCGTTGGCATCATCATCAGAGGTATTTTTCTGAGTGAGAACTACCATAGGCGTTGGGGACATTGTAGGACTGCATGTGGTTGTTGTCGATGTAGATGACGCAGTTGTGACTATAGTGCTTGTGGGCATACCTATGCTCGAGGATTGCGGCGGTGGAGGCGATGATGTTCCGATTGAAAGAAGAAGGAGGAGTGACAAGACTAAACACAGGAAAGTCAGACAAACCAGAATTCTTCTTATATAGATCGATAATCTTGGGGAAACAATGATAACTCACAGATTCCAGTAGCTGCACCGGCCCCTGCAGTGACGATTCCTGGAATACCAATTGTTTGAATCTGCTGCTAATTAGTTTTCTAATGCTATGAGCTTCAACAACACTTTTTTTGCATACTTGTGGGTCAATCGCAGCTAGATCTCCCGGAACATCTATCGTAGGAGCAGATGGGTTTGAGTCGATGCTAGCAACCTCTCTGTCAACGACCGTCTCAAGGCTGCCTAGGGTTTGATCTGCAAGACTGCCTGTGGTGAGAATATTTACAGTTAGCAAAATGAAGCAACTATTGTCATATGACGCCCCTAAAATTGCAATCCCGTTCACGATCTTTTCTTTCTTAATGGGGATGCTTACTAGCTTCGTCCGCTAACTGTAATTGATCCCTAGTTATCTAACAGTCTGAGGGTTAGATGAAAAGTTATCCAACAGACAAGATAATACCGAGATTGTTATGAGTCTTACCAGCGGTTCCAATTCTATATCATCGGCAGCAGCTATTCCGGCGTAGCGAGAAACCGTAGCCGCTGATGAGCCTATTTTTATGTCATTGTGGTTAGATCTTCTTTTCCAATGCACAGCTATGAAGCAAGGAATATGCTCTTACTTGCAGCAGATCGAGCGAGACGGAACGTATTCCCGTCAATTTTTAAGCTTTGAAAGATGTTCGATGGCACATCTCGGACCACCTTTGCATTTTTTGATGAACCTTGTGTTTGCAGTTGTTGGAGATCACTTCTATAGTCGTTGATAGCTTCAAGAGCCTCTCCTAGCGACGAATTTAACTGGAGAAAAGCGTTTTTTAACTGGACGAGGTCTGGGAAGAACCAAGAAGAGTCATTATAGGCCTGGACACGAGACATAGCGCCGCAGAGCTCTGTGCTATTTCCTGCGCAAACTTGATTACAGTCTTTGGACGAAGCTTCGGTCGCATTGTGCAAAGTGTTTCCGACATAGCATACGCTTTAAACAAAGCATTAATGGCTATTAGCTATATGAGTCTCATCTGGTGGGCAAGGGTGATCTGATTTGTAACATACCTTCCGTTCTCAAGACCGGCATATCTCCACGCTCCTTTCTGCGCAAATGCAACACATTTCTCAACTGTCATGCCAGTTGTACTATTATCTGTGCTCTCTCCGGCAACTAAGACTCTCGCAGACGGAGAATCTACAAAACATCCGATATTCGTGAAGGTTCCCACAGATGGCACTACGGTAGGGCTCACTGAGGTTGTGGGGACCGAGGAAGTTGATGTTACAGTTGTAAAGGCCGAAGCGGTTGATGCGATAACAACTGTGGATGAGTTTGTGCTGGCTATAGAAGAAATACTGGTTGATGAGACGCTGGATCTGGAGCTAGTTGTGGCAATAGTGCCAGTTGAGCTGATCGTGCTGGTCGATGACACGCCGGTTCCGGAGCCGATGGTAATGGACGAGATGGACGTAGTAGAACTTTGTATACTCGATGGCGGAAGGCAGGTATTTGTTCCGCACAGTTGACCTGAAGGACAAACGTTGCACGCAACACCGATGCTACATTGCACGCCGTTATTATTGCAACACACTGCATCCGAGACGTAACAGTTTCCATGGCTGCATTGGTTCAATGATGTTAGCATCACGAAATTCACGTGTCAAATGTTTTGTTAGACTCACCAACAGCTACCCCCATTACAACCGACAGCCTCGAAGGTGGTCGGGTTCAAAGAACAGAATTTTAGCCCTGTTGTTGCGCAAGCCAGAGTACCTTCGAAGTTGACACAGCCATACCCAACAGGGCAAATAACGTTGTTGGGGCACGCCGTTTGTATACAAAGAAACCCGCTTGGACAGGAGGGATCTTGAGAGGCTCGCCGAGAGAGTCCATGAGCTTCAACCCTTGCTCCCAAAGGTCTTACGATTCCATGTAGTGGAGGCAAGGCTGCTATTGGCGAGGCTTGAAGAAAGACGGTGACAATAACAGCCACTGCCGATATATGCGATAGTGGCCACATGATGGGCATTTGATATGAGACGAGAAATCTACCCCCAGTATCACGAGACTCTTAATACTAAACCAAGAGCGAGCCATTCGTTTATAAATGTTTTATCGGCTTGCACGTGTCTAGCATCCTTGTAAAGATTAGCCAATGGCTTTTAACAAAAAAAGGAGAATAGCCAAGAAGCCCTGCACTCATTACTATCAGAAGTTCCTACAAGGACAAATATGTGGAATCACAGGGTGCATCTACGTCGTAAATATCTACTAACTGTCGAGTAATGGATCATCTCGGGTCAAGACCGCTAACTAACTTATAGTACTGACTATAACAGCCGGCTTCACTACCTCACATCATACAATACAGTGGTATGGTTTTATCTTGTTATCAGCACTACTGCAGAAATACAAGTCTTGTTATCCTTGTTTCTCTGGGTCTCTATGCACTAGTGAACTGTGTTCAGTCTAATTACCGGGCTTGTCTCGGGCAAATCCTTGACTGCACCAATGATGTAGGCAGTAATAAGGTATTGTCGTAAACATAAACATAGAGTCCAGACTCTTCTCATCGAATAGTGCTTCGTATTATTCCTTGCACAATGTGGAATGTATTTTCATTGGAAAATATGCAAATCCCTATTTCAGAAGATATATGCCGTGTCACTTTATAGACTCATTTTCAGTTTATTTCTCCTGAAATTCCGATTCAAATTATCACATGAGGCATTAGAAGTGATAGATATTGAATGATATGTGTTGCCTCTGCTACGACTACGATTTTGAGGGCAAGATAAGCTTCTATTTAATGCTTTAAAATACCGTTCTTATATTTAATGATACTTAAATTCTTCATAACTTACTCCACACCGCAAATAAAAATCGCCACGACCACTCTATGCTAACAATTTGTGTTGAGTTTTATTTCTCTGGCTTTGTAATATCGATATAAGTGCTTTGGCGGAAAAAAAGGAGCAGCGCACGGACCATAATGATTGATTTAGGGAAACCCATTCGAGAATGTCAGCTAGTGCTGATAACTAGAGCGTGCCTAACTGATGAGGCGATATTAGTGAATACGGAATGGCTCGTGGTCTACATAGTAGATGGAGGCGAATATTGCATCTATCTTTGTTTACCTGTTTTTTTTTTAAAAAAAAAAAGAAAAAAAAGAAAAAGAAAAAAAGAAAAAGAAAAAAAAGAAAAAGAAAAAAAAAAAAAGAAAAAAAGAAATCCATCCGCTCTTATGACTAGGAAAGATTCAAGGCTGCAGTAGTGTTAGTTGACTGTTACATATATACGGTTATCTCGGCATCATTGTTATAGCCGATATCTCCAGGCGCAATGAATATAATACTACTTTGTATCTAGAAAATAATAAGACGACCAAACTAGGTAGTAACGGAAGTTCCCATAGAAAGGGGAAGGCGAAGCTATTCAAGGTGCCCACTATACTAAGAACACCACTCTGAAGGAAAAAACTACTATCTACTGTCTGCGGACGGGGTATTCACGCTATCTTACTTGGGGCATTCGAGCATCTAGATTTGAACTACTAGAAAATTTCCCACATGAACGTCCTTTTCTCTGCTACTAGCACCATAACCATGTCTCACAAAGTGCCCTAATATAAAGGGGTTAATATTCCCACCCACTTGAATTTGCATGCAAGAGACAAAGTATGGCTAGAGTCAAGATGTATTCCTTCGATTCAGGTTTCTTCTCACTCTTACTCACTATCCTCCCAAGTGTCGCCATTGCCGCCAATGATGTTGATGCTGGCTTCAATGCCTACGCGGCAGCTCAGGTGATGGTTAATAAGGCCTCACACTCCTGGGAATGGGGTACAGCTGCAGAAGCTCTATTAGAGCTGTATAATCCCGAACTTTCTGTCTTTGGATCGAACCCTTTCCCTAATGGCAAAGTACCTCAGGCTAGCCCTAATACTTTCGCTCTTGAATATGCGAGGGAGTTCATCAACCGCAACTCACAGGTTCTTGTCGACAATTCTGCGGTTGGTGATCCAGCATCATTAGGTGTCTCAGCGATTCTCCTTGGCCAGTCAGACAGCGTTTATATCGGGGCGGCCAACCGCCAGGCTGATTATATTCTTAACGATGCCCCAAGATGGAGCAATGGTGCGATTTCTCATCGGCCTGATGTTGCTGAGCTGTGGGCAGACAACATGGCCATGTCTTTCCCATTTTGTATGTCGCTTTTTCTTTTTCTCTTAGTATATGAAAGGTAATAGGACTAACTGAACTTGTCTTTCTAGTGGCTTATCTTGCTGTCCAGCAGAATAACGCCTCGCTTATGTCCGTCACAGTTCAGCAGTGTGGCCTACAACGTGATGTTCTTAAAGGAAATAATTTTAACTGGCAACACATTATCGGTCCGCAATCTCAAGATACAGGTCTTTGGTCAACAGGCAACGGCTGGGCCAGCTATGGCATGGTGCGAGTGCTACACACACTCCAAAAGTGGAGCGTTTCGGCCTCCATGACTTCACAAGCTACCCAACTCAAGGGGTGGATCAAGGAGATTCTCGACGGTGCTATTCAGTCAAGCTTGGACGGCGGCTTATTGCGTAACTATCTCAACGATGCCAGCTGGTTTGGAGAGATTTCCGGAACTGCAGCACTAACTGCTGTGGCATATCGCATGGCTGTCAACGATCCTTCTATGTTTCCGCAATCTTATATCACCTGGGCAGATTCAAATAGGATGGCCCTTGCAAAGAAGCAGAGTAGCACTGGCCTCTTTTCGCCAGCTGTCGACCCATACAACTGGCACGACAAGACCCAGTATACTACTGGATCACCTGAGGGCCAGGCATTTACAGTCCTTCTATACACAGCATACAGAGACTGCGTCAACGCGAAGGTTTGTCAAGCACCACCTCCATCTGCAACAACTATCTCGAACAGTGGTCTGGGGCCTATTGATATTTTAACTGTTCTTAATGCGCCTATGACGTTCAGTCAGATGCCAGATCCAACTGGAATTGCTTGTGGTGCTCCTCAGAGTTGTGATACTGATGGCTGTAATGGCACCTTCAGTGGGCTAGTAAAGAACCCGGTGTGTAAAGCCGGAATCAGACAGGGTTGCGAGTGCATACCTACAGACAATACATGCGGTCCGCACAAGAGCTGTGACTTGAATGGCTGTGCTGGCAAGTTTAACGGCTTGACCCAGTATCCTCAATGCACAGGCAACTTTGTAGGTTGTGAGTGCACACCAACAAATACCACATGCGGCGCACATCAAAGTTGCGATTTAAACGGCTGTGCTGGCAAGTTTAACGGATTGGAGCCCTACGCTCAATGCACTGGCAATTTCGTGGGATGTCAATGTACGCCAACGACAAACACTTGTGGTCCTCATCAAAGCTGTGATCTCAACGGATGTGCGGGTGAGTTCAGTTTGACCGACGGCAATGCCTACTGCACAAAGAATTTTGTCGGGTGCCAATGTACAGCGACATCAAATACCTGCGGAGCTCGACAGAGCTGCGACAACAATAACTGCCAAGGTGCATTCTCGGGTTCTGTACCTTATGCTCAATGTACCAACTTCTTCAAAGGCTGCCAGTGCACAGCAACATCTAAGACATGCGGATCGCCGCAGAGCTGTGGCCTTAATGGCTGCGGTGGTGCTTTCAGTCTGACAGATGGAAAGGCGTATTGCACTAAGAACTTCGTTGGCTGCGGATGCGTCGCGAATCCCGGAACATGCGGTGCTCCTCAGAGCTGTGATAACAACAACTGTGCCGGCAAATTCCCCGGAAACGTGCCGACACCCCAGTGTACCAATTTCTTTAAGGGCTGCCAGTGCAAGGCAACTTCGACGACATGCGGAGCGAAGCAAAGTTGTGATAATAACGGTTGCGCCGGTGCTTACGACTCAGCGGGCGTGGCTCGCTGCCAGGGTAACTTTCAAGGTTGTCCGTGCAATCCTACATCAGTAAGTCCTACTGGTTTCATATCTGATTATGTCTCCAGAATATCTAACAATCTTAGAATACCTGTGGCACACCCCAGAATTGTGATGCCAATGGTTGCAACGGTTCCTTTGACAGTAACTCCAATACGGCCCGATGTCGAGGCAAGTTTGCGGGATGTGTTTGCATCCCCGTTGCCGTAAGTGCCTTGCGCTTCAGATACGGCGATTGTATTTATCCATCATTGACACTGACTATGATCCAGTCTACCTGTGGCCAGGAGCAATCATGCGGTGCCAATGGCTGCAATGGCGCCATCAACTCTCAGGGCAACGCTGTCTGCACAGGAAACTTCTATGGCTGTTCATGCATCCCTGATATCATCTGGACTCCTCCACCTCCACCTCCACCACCTCCGCCATCAACATCAGAGTCCATCATCATGATCAGTCTGGCGTCTGAGATTGTTAATGATCAGGCTTCATTTTGGTGGAATATCTTCAACATCAATGGCATATTCCTCCCTGGTGGGCTGTGTCTTATCTCGCCCATCAAGATGAGTTCAGGGACTCAGCCATATCCTCAGAGTATGCCTACTTTCAACATTGACAAATTTACAGGCTGCAGCTACTCTGGTTCGAAATCATCCGTGGGAACGATGACGTGTGATGGCAATCCGTCCATTCAATGCTTTGCAGGGAACGGAAACACGGACTGCGGTGGTATTATTTACGAGTATGACGTTGAGTGTCATATAATAGGTTGATCAACATGGTATTTTGAGATAGATCAAGCATAGTATGCAGTGCCTTAGGCTTACATACCAAGCTTCAAGTAGCCTTGCGTCTACATGAATACATGGTATCCTTCTACAAACCACAGATCCTACTACGATAGATTAGGGTGGCTTTGAATAGACTATTGACAAAAATTCAAAGTATTTTCAACTTGTCCTATCAGCATTGTCGTTCTCGAGCACTACGCATTTAGCCTGTCTACGACAGCATTCAATGTTAGCAAGCCTTCTCGGTAAACAATCCAGAAGAAATGCACTAGTATGTTTTAGAATGCCCCCAATGGCATTACGAGTTGCTGTTCCTCTGTTTCTGTTTCAGTTGACGCATTACGCTCGATTTTGATAAGAATATTTTGGCAATTCGTAAAGCACCAGCCTTACCATTGTCCAAGATACCATTAATTTAACGAGAGCTTATGTATAACTAGGTCGTCTTTGTTAGTATATAGCAAGCTACGATGGATTGCGCGGATTTGGAAGTAGTCAAAAGCCGAAAGAATGGCATAAGTCTCAACCTTACTCCGGAATGGAGAAGCGCAGCCCTGACATTAAACTCCACAAAGGACGAAAAGATTTACATGAGGCGTTTATGGAGTTTCTTCAAAATGGACTTGTATGCATTTTTATGCCATCTACCTATTCTATATTGCGAGTTTTATAGAAAATCACCCAGACAATTCGGGATTTATCATCGAACGGAGTCCTCGAGTAAGCATTACCTTGACTGTAACTCCCCACCGGCTATACTTTTGGTGACCAAGTTGGAGAGGGCGCAGCATACATTGTGATATCGAGACGAGACAGCTCAAACCGAATGAGTAGGTGCTTTAGGGTATCTATGCATGTGGGAAGCGGCTCGCTACTCAAATTTTAGAGCAGCAGACGCTAAGACAGGCAGTCGGCGAGCCAAATACGGAATATGGGCGCAAAGATGGACGGACGGCGAGCCTAATAAGGAATGCATATGGGGAGATAACAAGACAACTCTTCGCACCTGACCTATTAATGGCCGCCTTTTCTCTGGGATTGTATAGGTTCAAAAGTTCCTTCATCCTAGCCCCGTCGCTGGCCTTCTTTGGTGGCACGCCTTTCTAAGGCCCTCTAGGCTGCGATTACAGGGGACATTAGCGTAGGGGATTGGCGAGGAGAGGCCCTGTCGGCGAGAGGTTCGCAGCATAGAGTCCCATAGATTGAATCACTTGCCAGGTATCGCTGCCAAGCGTTCCATCCTCATGAGGCTTGAGAATGCCGTTTCATTTTAATCGAGAAGAAAGACGGCTTCTTGTAAATCAAACAAAAACATTAACAGAGAGAGAGTGCTAATAGCGAATACTATTAGACTTTATCATGTAATTAATTTAATTGTTCGTTTACAGATGTGTCAGGTCGCAATCGCCAAGTTGGTTCGCAACTTGAGTTCAGCTCCCAAAGCAGTGAGCCAGCAGGACGATACTGCTATTTAATATAGCCCAATTCCCGAAATGCTCTGTCTAGAATCCCCCGAATAACTTCATTTTTGCGGATACTGTAATCGTTCATCGACTCATTACCCTTGCGAGCTGCCTCCGCCGCCTCTCTCTTCGCCTGGACATAGAGCTCTTGGTCCGCCGGCGTCTTCCGCAGCCAGTCCCGAAAGATCTTGTGTCTCACAGTTTCTGGGCAGTCCAGGCCAAAGACGTGAAGGTTGGTATGAGGCTCATAGGCACAGAAGAAGCGGTGCTCATGCCACGACGGCTCGCGGAGCAGGAAGTCAAACCCGATCGCCTGGAGCTGAGGAACGTACGCGGCCTCATCGAGCGGATCTTGGACTGTCAGATCGATGTCGATAATGGGCTTAGCAGCTAGGCCGGGGACGCTGGTTGACCCAACGTGCTCGATTTCGAGGGCGGTTGAGCCCAGGGCAGATGCGATGCTTTCTTTGAGCAGCTTGAATGACTGTGGCCAAGAGGCATCTGGCTCGACGATCTCGATCTTGGGCTTTACTCGACGATGTGCGATTCTTTGCACATCATCTACTTCGAAGTCATAGTTCTTGATAATAGCCTCGACTGATGGAGCCATTTTGGCTGGCTGACGATAGTCGATCCCCGCCTGAGAGAAATAGCAAGATGCTAAATAGATTGAAGTCTCCCTGAGAGTTTGGTTTATGGGTCCTTCATATATGTATGTATTCCTGCAGGTAATGGGGTCCGTCGGTATAGTAAGACCTCCACATCTAAAGCTGGAGGATCATCCCACTGACACCACCCACAGCGCTAAACACATGCTGCATACAGCAATCAATGCTAAGGACCTGGTTAGATCCAGTCTATAAATTACGACACTGTGTCTTGCCGTAGACATGGCTAGGGTGCACTGATTAACAACAGTTTGCAAGGAGACACTATTCCCTAATAGATGTTGGTTTAGGTTTACCATACATATTGATTTAACTGTTTCTATATATCTTAAATACAACTACCCGGAGAAACAAGGCTCCTTAAACCTTCCTCCAAGTCATACCTAGTCTCTGGAAGAAGGAGAAAAGAGTCTCTTCAGCGACATGTCCACGATAAGTGGACTGCCACAATGCAGCAAAAGAACCTGTCAAGGGAAAAAGTTACAGATATGTCCGCTAAAATAAAGCATGAAACTTACCCGCAGTTGGCCCCAGCTCACCAAAGCCTAGAAGTTCTAGCACCAACGGCGCCAACCTCACAAGCACACCAAAGGCAAACAGGGACAAAAGCACAGTGGCTGCGATCTCGACAGGATGCTCTTTGACGTATTCGAACAGATCGGGGAACGTAATCTCCGCAGCTTTGGAAGCTTGGTCATATGCTTCAATCATAGCTGGGCCCATCTTTTCGTGTCCATCTCTCAACGCCCCCTCCAACTTCTTCAGGATATTTTGCGCTAGCCATTCCGACCATCCAGTCGCAAAGACGGCGTCCTCGAGTTGTGAGGAAAGGAGCGCTCCGGATTTTTCTGCACAAAGGAGAATTTCGATAAAGTTCTCGGCAGTTTCTTCGATGGTGTAGCGGATGGGAGGATGAAGGGATGGCTTTTCTGTGACGATGCCATCAGTGCGATAGGGCGAAAGAGACGCCGCGTGGTCATCATCACAAAGACAGCAGAAGAAATCCATTTCGCTTTGATTAGATTATAATAATCGTGTAGATGATGTAGGAATAAAATGCTTGAAGGGAAAATATAAAAGGCTATATCCTTGGGGTGGTGAAGTGCAGCTGGGCACATGGAGGCAGCCTGACTGCACTTTATGCTCTTCTAGCTGATGCGGCTGTGCACACGCACGTGCTGGCGCAGCATCACTTTTGCTGTTGTTGACTCAAACAAAAACGCCTTGACTGGCGTTATTGCGAGCTGATTCAAGGGATGCAGGGAATTCTGCAGGCCGCCTTGGAGGCTGGCGGGTATGCGGGAGGCCGACAAACATGATGGCTGGAAAGTGGCTGACCGCTTGAGAGGCCGGAGAAGAGGGCCAACAGAACGCGAAGAGTGGAATCGAGAGGGATTTCTGAACGATGAGAGAAGCTTGAGGTATTCGTAATGGGCCATCTAATTTCATCGCTCAACTGCGAGCTGATGTTTAATTTTATGGCGAAGCGTGAAGGATTATGGCTGGAACTTGTGTTTCTCTTCATACATGTATTTACAGGTAGGTACATATGCATAACTGTTCCATCACCACGCCCTCATCCACCAACCCTGCATCAAAGCGGCCATTACCACTTCCCCCACACCGAGCATCGATAAGTCACTACAAATTATTATCAAACTTCAAATACTCTATCATTCCCCTTTGTCCAGAAGTTTTATTTTCTCATCTTATTTTTTCTTGCTCCACGTAGGATTCTATTCTAAGTCTTCCGGTGGCCCTGCCATGGTAACGTGCCAAACTCCAATTCCAACAACCAATCCGCCTGCAATAAAACCAACACCTCTGGTCTGCGGCTACCAATGGGATTTATGATGGCGACGGTGAAATGCACAAAAAAAGCCATTGTTTACGGCGAGTATTTCGTTCCTGAGAGAACAGATCCAGGGCACAACGGCGTACACGCAATCACCAATAGTGACCATTCCATTGGAGCCAGATCCAATAATCTCCGTGGAAAGGGGGGGTTGGGTTGGGTTGGGTTGTAATCACCCAGGCGAGAACGTGGATGTAGAACCTTTAAGAGCATTGTAGAGGTGCATCTGCAGGCCAGTCTTCACCATCACGCTTGCACATTGTTTAGCCAGATAATTTCAGGGCCCTTGGAAATTTTATGGCACAGTGTTTTAGCATCGACAACCGCATGGTAGGTAGATGTTGAGATTCTATTATCTAGTATCCTTCCTGCAAAAGGCAATAACTTCCATAGATCAATGGCCATATGTCTAAATGTCCTTAAATAAATGGAAAGTCTACACTAAATCCCACAAATAGTAATCATTAGATGGCAGTTGTGTTTCAATCTACTCCCCTTTTTTCATATTCGCGAGAATTGCATCCGCCATTCGCTGGCGAACGCGGTGTGGTATCTCATGCCCACAGTCTTCTAGAATGACAAGCGTTGCTCCTTCGACGTCATCTCTCAGAGCCTCTGCATGTTTTAGAGGGAAAATTTGGTCCTTCGCAGCATGAATAACAACGGTAGGGCATCGAATTTGCTTGAGCAACTCGCGCGGCCATCTCACACCTGACGCATCAGAATGATTATACTTGGTCCACATAGTCCCGCTCTCTTTCTCGCGATAATATGTAATCTCGGACTCTCGTCTAGATTCAGCCCTCTCCTCTTCTGTAGGCGGTTCAGTTGCCAAGGCAAGATCAAGTCGCATATATGATTCGATCCAGCTTTCGTCATCGTCTCGGTCGTCTGGAATCTCATATGCCTCAGCCAGCAGCCACTGCCCCTCCAAGTGTACTTGGGGCAACTTATCACTAGGAAGCTGTTGTCGCCCAACTGGACTGGTGAGTACAAGTGCAAGACTTCGGACAACATCAGGCATCCGACTAGCTGTTTGCCAAGCAAGAGTTCCACCCAAGCTAGTGCCCACGAGGTGAACATTTCCAAGTTCAAGGTGTTTAATGAGGCCCACGATATCATCAACCATATCATCTAGCGTATATACCGGCGCACCGTCAGTTGGCTTGACAAAAGATGTTGAGCGGCCTGTATCTCGATGATCAAATCGAATGAGGAAGTGTGGATGATCTGGAGGACTGAGAAGTCGCATAATCCCGTCTGTTTTCTGTGTCATGGCACCACTGTGCCCTGAGATGAGAAGTATTGCCGTGTCCGATGGGCTCCCGAATACCTGATAGCAGATCCGGCATCCGGATGGAAGCGATACAAAAAGTTCCTCAGACATTTCTTTAAAAAATATTGTTTAAACGAGAACTGATTGTCGTTGGTTGTCGTTATGGTGCCTGATATGAGTAGTGTTTATTCACCAGCCCGACTAGCCATTCTGGCGGAAGTCGAATCACCTGATGGCTATTTAGGAGCATCTCCCTTGTGCAGGGATGGAAGCAATGCGGGGTTCGACAATTTGCGTCGTAACCATCAGACGGATGGCCAATTGTGTTGGTCGCGTTGGCTCTGAAATTGCATTAGACATCATATCGTTATCTAATAAGCCCATCATGTCTTTCCAGCATTGAACATTTCGGCACTTCTGCACTTCTGCACATATCCGGACAGTGTTTCTTTCATTCTTCAAACAGACTATGCATAGTGATTAGCGGGCACAAGTGCTTATCGGAAGAAACGATCATCACCTTTGACCGAACCGCGCCCATGGGTTTACAGCATAATGAACAGACTTGACAACGGCTAAGCTATTGGTGAAAGCTACCGACTCGACTGGTCAATTCAAGTTGTTGTAGGGCAGCTCAATGAGTGAGCTATTATATATTTTGGGCTTGACATAGTTATTGACAAAGTTTATGAGAAGAAACAAGTAGACATAGGATGGTAGGAATTTGAGAACAAGCGATTGGGGAAGTCCGAAAGACAGATGAAATGTCAGACGTTGTCTCTATGCGCCTCCAATTAGCTCCAGCACGTAGCTCGACCAAGTCAATTCCTATATTTACATCTATTCATTTTGAAATCTTCACATTCCGCATTTTTTTTTTTTTTTTTTTTTTTTTTTTTTTTTAGATATTCAGAATACCTAAATGAAACGGGGAAGAAAAAACGAATTGAATCTACAAGTGAGTTTAACTGGAGTTGTTTATAGACTTGCCAGTGCCATCCATCGTCGTCGGCCCACATATTTGGCGGTCGCTACAATACAAAATGATTTTCGACTGATTTATCCCTTATGCCACTGGTTTCAATCGAAGTATCGTATGCCCTCTAGTTCTTCCGGCTCGGGTCACGAATTGAACCGACTCAGGCTTGACCCTCTATGCCATGATGTTTATTAGAAGAGAAATGCAACATATTTAAAATTGACCTATGTTGTCGAGTTACCTCATGGCATGCAAAGCTGCGCACAGTCAGCATTCTAAGCATCGTTTACTTCACACGACACGACGTCATTAATAGCAGTTTCGTTTGCTAAAAGTTTAATTTCCAGGCCCAGAACGTTCGATAATCACTATTGCTTAACGGAGCATATGGCTGCTGACTGCATCTGCTTATTCGATGGACTAAGAGTAGCTGAGGTCAGATGAAGAGGAATGCGGTGAGGACGACATTTATTTATTTGCACTAAACAACAGAAATACCTTCTCTCTTTTCTCTCTCGATCTTTACACGAATGTTTTGAATAATTTATTCCAATTCGGCTCTCTTTTCAGACTATAATCTTGTGGTCTTCATTTTGCATTCTTTACGGGAGTAAGTATGTCTTCAGTGGCCACCATAGACGCCGGCAGAAAAGCTGTGAGTTCATCTTATTGTTTCTCGATACAATATTAGAATAGACTCTAATAGCTGTAGGCCTTGATACTCCGTGATAAGCTAGGTGCCGACAAGGTTATCTTGCCTGATGATGCTTCCCCAGATTTAGGCAAATATGGCACATCTTTCTACTTCATCGCGCAGGCCGCTCAGATCGCTCCTGCATGTCGCATTCTCCCAGTAAATACTGCGGACGTCTCAGAAATTCTCAATGTTGTTCGGGAAACCGGGACAACATTTGCCGTTAAAGCCGGAGGTCATTGCTCATACCCTTCTGGGACAAATGCTGAAAACGGCATTACTATTGACCTAAGCCGTCTAAAGGACATCAAAATATCCGATAATCGAAAGTCTGTCACCGTTGGAGCTGGCTGCAGGTTTGGTGAAGTCTACCGCGAACTGGAGGCCCATGGGCTTGGGTGTGTCGGTGGCCGTGTTTCCAGCGTCGGTGTTAGCGGGCTTACCCTGGGAGGTATGAGTGTGCAGAATTTTCATTTGAGAGCAAACATTAGACACAATGCAGTAACTGAACCGTTATCTAGGTGGTATTTCTTTCTTCTCGACTGAGAGAGGGCTTGCTTGCGACAATGTCGTAAGTTACGAGGTAAGCTTTGCATCCACCATCCTTAATATGCTAAACAGTCGCTCACGGATCCCTTCCGAAGCTTGTAATTGCCAATGGTCAAGTTCTAAGCGTCACCAAAGTTTCCCATCCTGATCTTTTCTGGGGGATGAGAGGAGCTGGGATCACCTTTGGTATCGTCACTAGCTTTGAGCTGAAAACCTTTGACCTTGGAGAAATATGGGGTGGCTCCAGTACATTCGCCCATGAGAACGAGACTGCAGTCCTCGAAGCATTTGATAAGTTTGTACATGCGGACCAAGATCCCCTCGCTGAAGCATTTCTGGTAGTTGCCGATATGGCAAAGGATGGTAATAGTGTGTACACGATGGTCTTGTCTCACAGCAATCCGCAATCCGATACCTCGGTTTTCAATGATTTCAAGAATCTCACTCCTCTTGCCTCATCGACTCAGACTCGCACTTTGACAAATTTTTGCGACGAGTTGGATAGTCGAAATGAGTCAGGTTTCAGGTATTTGCTTCTTAGTAGATCAAATAAGGCCACTGGTGGACTTCTATCTGACGAAATCCTCTAGATACCGGACCAATTCACTATCTGTGAAATGCCATCTAACAACCCTGAAAGAGATTGCTGCTATTCATGAAGAATGTGTGCATCTCTTAAAGGATTGCGATGGCTTCGTACCCACACTACTATACCAGCCGTTGCTTGGGGCTATGCTTCCCAAGGACGATGTAAGCAATGCCCTGGGAATTAAACCAGAAGACACGCCCTTAATCGGTATGCTAAAAACGCCATATCTTACAATTAAACTAGGTTTTACTGACAAATATTGTGAACAGTCATTGCGCTTCTATGGAAGTGGACCGACATACAACATGATAAGCTAATTTCCCAAGTCGCTGATCAGTTTGTAGAAAAAGTTGAGAAGGCCACTCGGGCCTATGGCACATTCCACAGGTACCAGTATCTTAACTATGCAGCTAACTACCAGGATGTATACGGTGGTTATGGAGAAGAAAATAGGAAACGCCTTCTAGAGATCAGAGCAAAGTATGATCCGGAAGGGCTGATGTCAATTCTGCGTCCAGGGATCATCCAGTTGTCCGGTCAGCAGGAGATGTGAAAAACTTTAGCAATAAAAGTTCTTATTTTGAAGGATGTATTAATCTGGTAGACAAGACGACTCGGTTACTTCAATCAATACGGGTCATTAGCCAGCAAGATTCTCGGTGCGGCCCACATGAGTGAATCATTCCCACCTATAGCTGTTCACAATGTACTACACAAGATGAGCCATCTGAATCACGAGTATCTTGACTGGAACGCCAGCGCAAAATAGCTCATAGAAAACTGGAAACAAGGTTTCATTAACTTGGCATCTCAGTTGAAGGTATCCACCGGTTGAAACGAAACAAATGTGATCCAATTTAACAGCCATATTGAGGCCATAGAACTTTATTAGCCAAAGTTTTAAGCATATTTATTAGCCGTGGTTAAATTGGATCGGCTATATAAAAATAATATCTCCGTGTGCTATATATGGTAACATTTCCTCCGCGTATCACATAAGGTAGTATTACCTCCGCAAATTATACGAGATGTTACACTCGGATTCTCCGTCACCGGGTAAATATCCTATTTTAAATACCGTAGTAGTAAACACATGAAGATGAACTCGCCTTATTCCACCAATCGTAGATTTTGAGCTTCTCACTCTATACTTCTATAAGTATATAAGAAGCTGGCGATGCCAGTTATCTGATGGAGAATTGCTTATTATCATCAAGTTTTACTTCAGAATCTGAGCAGTGTAAATATGAAATCCTCCACAACGCACATTCTTACAGCCCTTGGCTGCCTTACCTGGGGTGTTCTTGGCCATGGACAAATCCAAAATTTCACTGTTAATGGCGTGTACAACCAGGGTTTTATCCGTATGTCTTCCTTCTCCTTGCAGCTTCCATCCGGCCGGGCAATTTCTAATGCATGTGCTCCAAACAGTCGATTATTACTATCAAAAGGTCAATACTGGCCATTTCCCTAACGTTGCAGGCTGGTAAGCTACAAGTCTAAGATTAATTCATTTATTGTTGTGGCAAACCTTTGAGTACGTTGCTTATACAAAAGTAGGTATGCTGAGGACCTAGATCTGGGTTTCGTCGCCCCTGACGCATATACCACGCCCGACATTGTCTGCCACAAGAACTCGGCTCCTGGTGCGGCCAGTGCCACTGTACCAGCTGGCGGTACCATCGTCTTTCAATGGGGCCCTGGCCCGTGGCCACATCCCTATGGCCCTATTCTTACCTACCTGGCTCAGTGCAGTGGGTCATGCACGACTGTGGACAAGACATCGCTACGCTGGGTCAAGATTCAAGAGCAGGGTATCAATTATAACACCCAAGTATGGGCACAGCAGGATCTTATCAACCAAGGCAGCAAGTGGACCGTGAAAATCCCATCCAGTCTCAAGCCTGGTAACTATGTGATCCGAAGTGAACTTCTTGCGTATGTTACTTCTTCTCGTTTGAACTTGCCTAATTGATAGTATTAAACTAACGTACACAGTGCCCATGGCGCCACGAGTTTAAATGGCATGCAAAACTATCCGCAGTGTATTAACATTGTCGTCACTGGATCTGGTACTAAATCGCTTCCTGCCGGAACCCCAGCAACGTCGCTCTATAAGCCAACTGATCCCGGCATTTTGTTTAATCCTTATACAACGATTAAAAGCTACACAATTCCTGGCCCAGCTCTGTGGGTAGGGTAGATGTAGGAAATATAATGTAACCCCCTGTAATGAGGTCTCAGATGCGGTTGGGCAGATATTCGCTACAGAAGCATATGCTGTGGAACTGCGTGTATATCTCTCTCCAAATTCAACTAGGCAGAAACCTCAAATAATCCATGATAGTTGCTTACCTATAAAATATTACCTCCAGTTGCAAGAGTCGATACCTCTGAAGAGAAATTCCTACTTAGATGCTTCCTTAAGCGCGGTAATGGCATTCCCCAGGAATGTTGCTCTCGCTAGGAATAACGCAAAATTGCGCTAATTTGTACAATGTATCCTCGGGCTAAAGCTGATACCCCACTTGCGCTAACATATCTGCACTACCATAGCAACCCATAGCATATTGTCATTATCTTACATATAGTTCTAAACGATTTAAAGAGTCCTGTACTTAATATAAAGGCTTGATTAGACAAAAAGAGAAAGTCACACACGAGCTTTAAAATTTCCAAGGACCAATTTAATACATAAATGAAGTATAGGTGAAAGCTGTGCCAGCACAATTCCGTAGTTAAAGCACTAGATTGTTATCTCTCAACAATCGAATCCTATAATAGCGCTTGCCTGCCGAGCATGCCGAAATAACCAGGGATCAGGGCATCCTGGCTGTGAGGGGATGCGGTACAATGCATGATATGTAGCTAATGATGTAGAATTTCGCTAAGTGAGGCTCAGATATGTAGCTAGTAGTGCGGCGGTAGTTTGGCAATATCTAATGGCTGTGGACTCACCACGTCAGTTGCAGTTCTTGTAACTATTGTGAACCTTCGTATGCATGACGTATCAACGCGTACACATTTGCGCATAATATGATGAATCAGGAAAAGGTATGACCTTCTCTTCCAGTGAAAAGATGGCCCCTTCACACACACACATCTATGCTAGTCCAGTGTTGGCCTAGAACTCCTCTTCCCACCCCCCAACTCTAGGAGGGTTTCCCCTCATGGTTGCCTTCACTAGCGGATAATGCGGAGTAAATAATACCTACTAAATAATTTTGAGGTGTCTTGAACGGTTAAATGCGTGATGCACAAGGCTGTGGGATTGGGGTCTCTTGGGTAGGACGTTGTTAGTTGGGAGATGTTTTACATGTTGGGCACAGATGGCTGGCCGAGGACTAGGGATTGGTCTCCGCAACACGTGAATGAACGTACACGCGGCTTAGATTGTGAATAATACGTTAACTCCCCACAACTCTACTATGGGTCGTGGCCTACCCCACACAACAGGCTCGGGGAAAAGTGGATTCTATATGGAAGAGACACTTGACATAATGAACTTGACTTTAATTGGCTAAGATAACCTATCGAGTGAACTGATAGCTGTGTTATTCCGTTCATGCGTCATGAGCATTACCCATCATCAGACCTATATAAATAAGAGAAATCTGCACAATCCCTGAATTGACGGCAGTGGATTGTAAGGAGGGGGGACCATAGGGGTAGCTTCAGCACAAGCCGCTGTAAACGTTAAATTTCAAATCTGGTCAAAAGAATGATCTCTCCTGCAGAGCTTCCCTTTGGCCATCAAGCACATTAGAGGTCTTGAATGGCGTTGTGAATGTGAAGGGTGTCGGCATAAGTCTTCATGTGGAGGATCTTGCCACTATTGTCAAACTGGAAGGTCATCACCGATTCATGGTTAAATGGCTTGCCTATCTACAATTTAGTAATCTGAGTTTAGTTTTTTTTGTAATCATGTAGCGACTCACCAGAGAGTGTTGTTGCAGTAGCCTTGAGCACAGCGGCAGCCCAGTCGCTCTGGGGGCCGCCTCCGATCACTTGAAGGACTTTGCAGTCGTGAGGCTTGGAATAGTCGATGATGTTGGGAATATCAGAGAGACCCCCATCGACGACCTCTGACTTGATTGTATCGGCGCCCTGAAGCTGGGTGGCGTGCTGGAAATCATGTCCGTTGATGTGGAACTCAACGTTGTCGTGGAAGTGGTTGGTGATAAGTCCATTTTTCTGGGCCTTTCCTCCAGTTCCTGCCTTCTCAGCAAGGTCTTGGGCAATGTGGGCCTCGAGGAGGCTTCGAATTTGTTCAACGGATGGAGCCATTGTAAGTATAGCTAATGTGCTTTGGAAATTGATATCAGAAAGATAAAAGCTGGTAGTTTGAGTTTGTGCTTGTCGATGAGATTTGAAAAAGAATGAGAACCTCAGAGATGGGGTGCATTTATATTGTTATGTGAGACTACATTTCAACTAAGTGTTAGACTAGACATGGCACCTAATGCTACATCCTTTGGAAAACAGTATCCCAGCCCTTCGACATCCACATGCCAGGTTGAACACTTTGGCCTTTCCGATGGCCGAGTGGGACCCGGCTCTCAGCAGCGTACAAGGGAGGGGTAAAAAGATGTGTATAGAATATGCCATCAGCAAATCCTGCAAACGTATCACTTTTCACTACAATATTAGTTACTTCTTTCCCTTCAGCTGTGAAAAAACTGCCGCGTCTTTCCGTATTGGTCACTGCAAGGCCCTTTTGTTTATCCTATGATGAAACTACACTTGATGCCAGGGTAAATTAGTTACCGCTGGCTCAATTGTGCTTTCTACATATTAGAAGCATCATTTTTTATTTCACTTACTAGCACAGCCATGATTTCGCCCTAAACTTCTCTCTGCAATGCTACGTAACAACAGGGCGAACAAGAGCTCCTAAGTGACTCTCATCCAATGAATCTTGAGCACTCCATCACACTTCCCTTAATCACATGTGCTCATCATACACATTCAGCCAGCCACGATTTCCAACTGTGAAAATGATTGGGTTAATCGGTGCCATCGTAGATATTATCATGACGTTTGTATTTACGGAACTTGTTCGAGACCGAAATGATAGGGTATTACAGTCCTTTTGTTTTCAGCCGCCTCTTTTCAGCTGTGATAATGTTCAGGATTCTTTCCGCATTAGTAGCTGTAAGCTCTTGTGTTCGTCCTATGTCGAAACTCCTTTGGTGCCGCAATGACGGCAGAACCGTTGTTGCCTAGTGTTAATGTGAGTCTACTAAGGAGAGTGTTCCCCACTGCTATCTCTAGGTGCAGAAGTCCTGATTTGCCAATTTAATAATGTAATCCAACTAGACATCACGGACAGCTGAAAGAGCTGCTAAGTAGAGATTGTGGGTAAAGTCTATCCTGAAAAAAGCTCGAGGCCAACAGGTTGTGTTAGAGTTTCGTCTGTACTGATGCGAGGAGCCACGCTATGATCCTTGCTCCATAAGTCAACGGCATGCAAGTCATTAGCTGGACCTACAATACAAGAGATAGGCTCTAGTAGCGTTGTCAAATACTAGTAGTACCACTGGAAGCTGGTTGCGGCTTATTTGAGCTACTGTAACGTATAAGAGATATGATAGGTTATGAACAGGGAGCTCTAGTAATAGTTAGCTTTGTATAGAAGCGGAGCGAGTACACGTAATTAAACTTCATATGTTGTGTTGCCTCTACATCTGAATGTTAAATCCACAACCCCTGTCCGAGTGGGAACAACCAGGGTAATCGGGGCATTGGTGTGCATTCGCCCTCTAAATAGACCAGACGCTGCAGCTGCGGCTCAGCAGTGCTACCACACGCAGCTTTACTAAACAAAGCTATAGTGAAGGCCTTTGCATGAGCTGCCTGTTCCAAATCAGCCAAAGGGAACAATCGTAGCCCCCCGTGGCCGACATATGCAGATGCAAGCTTCTCTCCCCAAGACTCTTAGCCGTTACAGAACTTTAGGGCGGAAAGCTTGAATGAGTGTGGTGGACGCACTAGCTGATGGAAGATACTATGATAGGCAGTTCCATATGCACACTGCCCGCACTTGACAGCGCACTAGCATGACAGGATCGTTTTATCTCCACAGCTAAAGTGAGGCTTAGATTCGAATTGAGTATAGTACAGGTTCAGGATTAATAAGTGGCGGCTAGTTCGGAAAGCAAACAAAGGCATTTGACGAAAAGAGGGTTCAACTACCTAGTCGACGATATCCAAATGAAATGCTTGAAGCTGATCTGAAAGCTTACGGACTAGAAAGCGACAAAGATCTGTGTAAGCCCAATTTCGAAATTCGCTCAAGCCAGTGATACCATACGTACCAGGAAAGCGACTCCAGCAGTTGTAAAGTCGCTGACCTAATCGTTGTGAATGGTGATGTAGTAGAATGATTAGTGATTGGAGTTGAACAGGAGACGTCCTAATTGCATACGTCATGTAGACTGTAACAATATAATGATTTGCTGCCATCTGGGCTGTCTTTGATGGAGGATATCAAATTTGACAAACGACGAAATGACTAACAGAGGGAAGGGGAATTAGAGCTGGGAATTCATATAATTTGAAGAAAATAATTTTATTAATTTCAAAGAACCGAGTTGATAACATTTCCTGCCACATAGCTCTCAAGTGTCTCTTTGATTCTCAGCTGTGAATTCTCCTGGCATGTACCACCATACCAAGCGACGTGTGGAGAGAGGGTCAGGTTGCTAGGACATTCTCGAAGAAGCTGGCAACCCTCTTTGGTCGCCGGCTCGTTTACAAAGACATCTGTGGCGGCAGCGAATATCCATTTTTCCCTGAGCGCCTTTAACAGCGCCGCTTCGTTCATGACGCCCCCCCGCGCCACGTTAACTACAATGCTATCCGGCCTCATAGTTCGGAGTTCGGGCTCGGAAATCATGTTTCTTGACTCCTCGTCGAGCGGACACGCGAGCATCAGTACCGTGCACGTCTTGATCACTTCCTCAAAAGGAAGCCTTCCAGCCCTCACCTGATCAGACGCAGCCGATTTCCGCTCAGCAATCAAGACAGACATCCCTAATGCCTGTCCTATCGACTCCGCAATTTTCCCTTCCAAGTAGTCTCGGTCAGTAATTCCTACGCTTGCAGTTCTCAGACATCTAACACTTACCTATGGCCCCGTACCCGACAATCCCCAATACTTCGTGCCTCAAAACCCGTGGCATTTGCGGGTACAGATGAAACACGTTCTTCTCTCTGGGCCAAGCCTCAGCTTCGAGTGTGATGCGGTGTAGGTCAACAACTTGACGCTTAGCAGCCATGTATAAGGCAAACGCGTGCTCAGCAACCGACTCTGCGTTTGCGCCAGGCGCATTACATACAGCGATGCCGCGCGCCCGGCACGCCTTCTTATCAGCTATGTCAGTGCCAGTGATCATGAAGGCCACGAGCTCGAGGCGCGGGCAGGCGGCGATGGTGCGGCTCGACACAGGCGCGCGCGATGTGATGATGATTGTGGCATCATGGACGCGCTCAATGATCAAGTCCTCACCAATGGTGTTATGATACTCGACATACTCGTGCGGGAAGTCGAACTTAGGGACTGGACATGTGTAGGCATCCAGGCAGACGACTTTATGGAGCTCCCCACCCCATCGGGGTTTGAGTGAGCCCACGTTTACCGTCGCTCTGGCAAAATGTTGACTCTCAACTTGATCGATGGCCATCAGCACAACAGTAGTTGGGTGAGCTAGTGGAAAGTTGCCTGACGGCGGAATCAACAGTCAAGGTAGGCTAATTCAGAAATGACTTCTCTGATTTATACTCGTCGAGTTTAGAAACGCCGCATTTTCGCCAACCAGCTTGACGGGAGCACACAAAGGCAGATATCAGTCGCAAAGGATAATTCGACGTAAATACAGATCGCCTACTTAGGCATACCTAACAAAGGACAGGCCCAGAATTCACTTTGGGGGCCAGGCTAATATTCTACTAAGATACATACCCCCGTCTACACTAATACCACCCCAAGGTGGTGTATAGCTGCTGCCTACAGAGGGGAAATCCTAGCTAGTAATAATTACTGCCATCCCATGGTAAACAATGGGAGGATTTATCGTACCCCGCGCAGAGCCCCTTATTTGACCACAATAGGTTTGGACGCGACGAGCAAGTGGCTAGCTGACGACGCCCCAGTAGCCCGGTAGCGTCTACTTTTAGTCCGTCGGCCATGGTCCACACCTCCCTCCTTAACGTTGTAGGGGTGGAGATGAGTAGTAAACAAAGTAACAAGAAAATGAGGCGACTGTACTCCATATTTAACCACAGGAATCTTAGGAAATGGTTGACTATACTAAATACAGTAATGAAGTTATATAGTAATACGATATAGCAATAGGACAGACTAATATGACACAATTATGGACCTTAGGACGGAGCTGAAACCTACAGGGAAATAATTATCAAACCAAGGCTAGAAATATCACCTGGGAGCTTGTCCCTAATAACAAGCGAGCAGGTTCTCATATAAAAGAGCATTTATATTTTACCTTATATAAATATCATGAGCTGTAGACGCAGTTATTCTTGTAATGGAAAATAATCATTAAGGACCTGTTGCTAAACTACCAATTACGAGGCTCAAAGAGGTCCATCTACTCAAAAGCATTGTGATATTACTTGCCTAAAATCACTGTGGCCATATCTACTCGACAGGCCTTTTATTTTATCTCCCTTAACTCAAAGTCATTGTGACTACAAAACTCGAGACAACCTATTAATCACAAACATTTGCCTTCATACATCCAGCATGGGGTCACTCGGGTCACTCAACCAGACGGATGGTCACGATCTGGCAATTGCACCATCCTTAGTATCTAGTGATTGTGACAAGAAATATGACGGCATTTTTGAACAAGCAACCCAGCGCTTCGGTTTGAACCGAAATAAAATTGAGAATATCCTGCCATGTACGCCCTTTCAACGCGACGTCATGGATTGTGCTGCCGATGATGGGAGGCGTGCTATTGGCCACGTCGTCTACGAAATCTCAAGTAATATTGATACTCAACGCTTGACCGCAGCTTGGAAAGAGGTTGTGCGCCAAACACCAGCCTTGAGGACTTGCCTATTTGCCTCCAAATTTGGAAGCTCCTTTCAGGTTGTGTTGACAGAAAGCTTCTTTTCGTGGATGCACTCGACATCGATCGGCATTAAGGAAGAGGTGGTGCAAGATGAGGCAGCTGCTGCTATGATGGGGCCGCGTAGCAATCGATATGTTGTTCTCGAGGACCCAACTACGAAGCAAAGACTGCTCATCTGGACATTTAGCCATGCCCTAGTGGACAAAACCCTACAGGAACGCATCCTTAGACGGGTTCATACAGCCTACGAGGGCAGAAAAATTCAATGCTCCAGCCGGATTGAATTGGCACCCAACCCTTCCACCAGGGACATGGAACGTGCTGCTCGGTTTTGGCAGCAACATTTTAATGGCTTGGATGCCACCGTATTTCCCCCTCTCCCTTCTCATATTGATGTGGCCTATCCCAATACACATGCAGAACACCGTATCTCATACCTGGGCCAAGAACAGAAGAAGTGGTCCAACACGGCTGTCTGTCGAGCCGCCCTCGCAGTTCTTCTATCTCGCTTCACACAATCTCCAGAGGCCATTTTTGGCGTTGTGACGGAGCAACCTCGCACACTCGAAGAGCAAGGCGGCCTAATTGATGGTCCAACGCGGACGGTAGTGCCCATACGCGTGCATTGCGCCTCTGATCAATCCGTGTCGGAGGTCATGGGGGCAATCACTGCACACGATCATGCTATGCGCGAGTTTGAACGGGCTGGTCTCGACAATATCCGCCGCACTGGAGATGATGGTTCCGCCGCTTGTGGATTCCAAACCGTGCTCCTGGTCACTGATGGTGGCGCTTCGCAGACGCCTAGTTATGGACTTCATCGAAGTGTAGAAGAATCAGACAGATTTGTGCCCTGCACCAATCGTGCTCTTCTACTAGACTGCCAGATGGCTAATGACTCGGCATTACTGGTCGCACGATATGATCAGAGTGTAATTGACCCACGCCAGATGCCTCGTTTTCTGAGACAGTTGGGAGGCTTGATCCGGCAGTTTCAGAGCTCTGCAGCCGATCTGCCTTTGATAGGACAGCTTGATGTTGTGACGCAAGAGGACAAAGCAGAGATCGAGAGTTGGAATTCCGAACGCCTGCAGATAAATGATGCCTTGATCCACGACGTGATATTCAGGTGGGCTGCTGATACTCCAGATAGAGCAGCAGTTTCCGCTTGGGATGGAGAATGGACTTATACCGAGCTGGACAGTGTATCCTTACGCCTCGCAGTACATATCCAATCTATAGAATTGGGCCAAGGGCTGAGGGTAATACCACTCTGCTTCGAGAAGTCGAAATGGGTCATCGCTGGAATACTTGCCGTACTTAAAGCTGGTCGGGCATTCGCGCTCATCGACCCACGCGATCCACCGGCCAGGATGGCTCAGGTCTGTCGACAAACTTCCGCCATGGTCGCTCTCACTTCCAAGCTTCACATCAACACCATCGGCGCCGTCGTTGATCGCTGCATTGTGATCGATGATGACTTTCTTCAGTCACTTTCCTGCGATGAAGACCAACTTAAACACACCGTGAAACCTCAAGACTTGGCCTATGCTATTTTTACTTCTGGCAGCACTGGAGAGCCAAAAGGCATTATGATTGAGCATCGGGCATTTTCATCTTGTGCTATCAAATTTGGCCCTACACTAGGGATCAACAACCACACGCGCGCTCTTCAATTCGCGTCATATGCGTTCGGTGCGTGTCTGGTGGAAACCATGACAACTCTGATACAAGGCGGCTGCGTTTGCATTCCTTCTGATGACGATCGTATGAATAATGTTCCAGATTTCATCACAAGGTGCCAAGTTAACTGGGCTATACTGGCTCCTTCGTATGTCGGAACATTTCAACCAGAAAATGTCCCTGGACTAAAAACATTGGTGGTGGTCGGAGAGCCAATATCAGCATCGATTCGGGATACCTGGGCCCATCGAGTTCAGCTCTTAAACGCCTACGGCCAGAGTGAGAGTTCGACTATATGCAGCGCTATACAAGTCAGTCCATTCTCACTTGAACCGAACAATGTCGGTCGGGCTATAGGCGCCCGCTCCTGGATCATCGAACCCAACGATCCTAATCACCTTGTTCCAATTGGGTGTGTTGGTGAGTTGGTAATTGAAAGTCCAGGGATTGCACGGGATTATATCATTGCTCTGCCGCCGGATAAGTCGCCCTTCTTTGTAACGACTCCGGCTTGGTATCCAACAAAACAGCTATCCAACAGTTTCAAATTCTATAGGACGGGTGATTTTGCGCGTTACAGCCCTGATGGCACCGTTATTTGCCTTGGGCGCAGAGATTCCCAGGTTAAGATCCGAGGACAGCGCGTAGAGGTCAGCGAAGTGGAAGCTGGTCTACGACTACAACTACCCGGTGACATCGTACCAGTGGCTGAAGCTGTCAAACACTCGGATTCGTCCAATAGCAAGGTCTTGATCGCCTTCTTGATAGGGTCGTCTATGGGCGGGGAGGATAGCGTCTACACCACATCGGGGGTAGACGCCCACATCTTGGATCACAGCGCTACCAAAGAAGTCAACGCGAAGTTGCAGCAGCTTCTTCCCCAGCCTTCCATTCCGTCCTACTATATTCGTATGAGGGATCTTCCCCGCACTGCCACAGGGAAAACAGACCGGAAAGCTCTTCGATCTATCGCCAGCAAGCTACTAGGCGAACTAGGTGAAAATGCGACATCTCAGCTGAGTGAGACGTTCGATTCATCGGCAGCTAGTATAGAGGGCAAGCTGAGAGATCTTTGGTTTCGAGGCTTAAATATCGATCCCGACTCTAAAAATGTGGGAGCAAGTTTCTTCGAGCTGGGCGGAGATTCTATCGCTGCGATAAAAATGGTAAATATGGCGAGGTTAGCTGGGATTGCCCTCAAAGTATCCGATATATTCCAGAACCCTACGCTTGCTGGTCTTGTAGATGTAATCCAGCAAGGCTCAGCCCCTTATAGTCCTATTCCAACCACAAGGTATGGCGGGCCTGTGGAACAGTCATTTGCTCAAGGCCGACTATGGTTCTTAGACCAACTGGAACTCGGTGCGTCGTGGTATCTCTTACCATATGCCGTACGCATGCGTGGGCCGCTGTACATCGATGCGCTTATTATCGCGTTGCGAGCCCTGGAACAACGGCACGAAACCCTGAGGACGACATTTGAGGAACAGGACGGTGTAGGGGTGCAAATTGTTCACACGAGCCTATTTCAGGAATTGAGGGTGATTGACATGCCAGACAACAAGAACGGAGGCTACCTCCAGTTGGTACAGCAAGATCAGACCACTCCATTTGATGTGGCATCCGAGGCAGGGTGGAGAGTATCACTGATACGGCTGGGAGAAGATGATCACGTCCTCTCTATAGTCATGCATCACATCATCTCTGACGGTTGGTCTACAGACATCCTACGCCACGAACTAAGCCTGTTCTATTCGGCCGCTCTCCAGGGGTGTGACCCTCTATCAGTGGTGAGCCCACTCCCAATCCACTACCGCGACTTTTCCGCATGGCAAAAGCAGGAGGAGCAGGTGACTGAACATCAGCGACAACTTGAGTACTGGACAAATCAGCTCGCAGACAGCTCTTCGGCCGAATTCCTAACTGACCTCCCACGTCCAACTATACTGTCCGGTGAAGCTGGCTTCGTGCCAGTCACCATCGATGGCGAGCTGTATAAGAAGCTCCGAGAATTCTGCAAAGCGCATCAAGCTACATCTTTCGCTGTGTTGCTGGCAGCCTTCCGCGCAGCCCATTATCGTCTAACTGGGAATGAAGACTCTATCATCGGCACTCCCATCGCTAACCGTAACCGACGGGAATTGGAGAATATAATTGGCTTCTTTGTCAACACCCAGTGTATGCGAATCACTGTTGACGGTGATGATACATTTGAAAGCATTGTGCGGCAAGTTCGGTCGACAGCGACTGCAGCATTTGAGCATCAAGATGTCCCCTTTGAGCGCGTCGTTTCAGCGCTGCTACCCGGCTCGAGAGACTTGTCCCGGAACCCGCTGGCACAGCTCATGTTTGCCGTTCATTCTCAAGATGACCTCGGCAAGTTTGAGTTGGAAGGCCTCGAAGCAGAACCCCTATTTAACAAGGTATACACCAGGTTCGACGTAGAGTTTCACCTATTCCAAGAGGCGAACAGACTAAGCGGCAACTTGGCCTTCGCAGCTGATCTATTCAAGCTTGAGAATATTCAGAACGTTGTCGCTGTCTTTTTCCAGATCCTACGTCAAGGCCTCGATCAGCCCCAGACTCCAGTTGCCGTTCTCCCGCTCACAGATGGGTTAATAGAGTTCCGTGATATGGGTCTGTTAAAAATAAAGAGGACCGAATACCCCCGAGAGTCGAGCGTAGTCGACGTCTTCCTCAATCAAGTGGCTGCCCACCCGCATTCTCTCGCTGTCGTTGACTCATCATCAAGCCTAACTTACGCTGAGTTGGATCGTCAGTCTGGTCAGCTCGCGACCTGGCTCCGCCAGCACAATATGCCGGCTGAGACACTGGTGGGAGTGTTTGCACCGCGGTCATGCCAGACAGTTGTTGCCTTCCTTGGCATCCTGAAGGCGAACCTCGCATATCTCCCGCTCGACGTTAAATCTCCTGCAGCTCGCTTGAAAGCGATTCTATCTACACTGCCCGGACGCAAGTTAATATTACTCAATTCTGACACGATCGCCCCAGAGATTGGGCTACCCGACGTGGAGACGGCGCGAATTAGCGACACTTTGGAACTTCGTGATATGGATGATCTGAATAGTTGTTCAGATGTGGCAGCGTCGGGGCCTTTGGCGACAAGTCTTGCATACGTGATCTTTACATCCGGATCAACTGGCAATCCTAAAGGCGTTATGATTGAGCACCGTAGTGTTGTTCGACTTGCGAAGGACAGCAATATTATATCCAAATTCCCACTGGCGGCAAAGGTGGCTCATATATCCAGCATCGCTTTCGACGCTGCTACTTGGGAGATCTTTACAGCGCTTCTGAATGGTGGAACACTGGTCTGTATTGACTATATGACCATTTTAGACAGCAAAGCATTCGAGACTGTCTTTACACAAGAACAAGTCAATGTGGTCCTGCTTACGCCTGCGTTGCTTAAGCAATGTCTGGCCAATATTCCTGCTACATTGGGCGGACTAGACGTCCTCGTTATCGGCGGAGATAGGCTTGATGGCCAAGATGCAATCGCAGCGCAAGCGCTTGTCCGGGCTGGTGTTTATAACGCTTACGGACCGACTGAGAATGGGGTTATCAGTACTGTTTACAACATCGTTGAAAATGACACATTTATCAACGGAGTTCCCATTGGTAGGGCCATCAGCAACTCAGGGGCCTACATCATGGATCCGCACCAACAGCTTGTCACTGCAGGCGTTATGGGAGAGCTTGTGGTAACCGGAGATGGGCTCGCTCGGGGATATACCGACCCAACATTGGACGCAGACCGCTTCGTCCAGATCAACATTGATGGCCAGGTGGTAAGAGCATATCGAACGGGTGACCGGGCGCGGTACCGGGCAGGGGATGGCCAGATCGAATTCTTCGGACGCACGGACCAGCAGGTCAAAATTCGAGGTCACCGTATTGAGCCAGCTGAGGTAGAGCGTGCTATCCTCAGTCAGGATGCCGTCCGTGATGCCATAGTCGTTATCCGGGAGCATGACGGTCAGGAGCCGGAAATGGTCGGTTTTGTCACAACTCATGGCGACCTCTCCGCTGAGAAGGAGGAGGCTGGAAGCCATGTCGAAGGTTGGGAAAATTTCTTTGAGAGTAATACCTATGCCGACATTAACACCATCAGCCAATCTGATGTTGGCACCGACTTTAAGGGCTGGACATCCATGTATGACGGCAGCGAGATCGACAAGTCTGAGATGAGAGAGTGGCTCGACGACACTGTACGCACTCTTCTTGATGGTCAGGCACCAGGCCATGTACTCGAGATAGGTACCGGAAGTGGCATGATCTTGTTCAATCTAGGAGATGGACTCCGAAGTTACGTCGGTCTTGAGCCATCCAGGGCGGCGGCTACGTTTGTTAACACCGCGATAAATTCCATCCCGGCTCTTGCTGGAATGGCCAAAGTACATGTCGGTACAGCAACAGACATAGGCCAGCTTAGTGGACTCTATCCAGACTTGGTAGTGCTTAATTCGGTCGTCCAGTATTTCCCTACGTCTGAGTATCTACTACAGGTTGTGGATACTCTGGTTCGGATCCCAGGCATTAAACGCTTGTTCTTTGGCGACATTCGATCTCACGCTACTAATAAGCAATTTCTTGCCGCCAGGGCATTACGTACGTTAGGCGACAAGTTGACTAAAGATGCGATGCGACAAAAGATGGCGGAAATGGAAGACCGTGAAGAAGAACTGCTTGTTGATCCGACGTTCTTCACGGCGTTACAAAACCGGTTTCCCAATCAGATCAAGCATGTTGAGATCCTCCCAAAGAAGATGCAGTCCACAAACGAGCTCAGTGCGTACCGGTATGCGGCTGTCGTACACGTTTGTAGCTCAGAAGAGCTTTCACGGCCAGTGTATTCGATCAATATTAACGACTGGACCGACTTTCAGGCATCACATATGGATCGTCATGCTCTTCTCTGCCTCCTGCAGAGTTCAGCAGACTCCTTGACAGTTGCTATCAGCAATATTCCTTATAGCAAGACGATTTTAGAGCGGCATTTAGTTGAGTCTCTGGATCACGAAGGTCAAGATAATGAGCAAAGCTTGTTGGAGGGGGCCGTTTGGGTCTCAGCTGTCCGCTCCAACGCCGAACGCTGCAGCTCCCTCTCGGTGACTGACCTTATACAGCTTGGCGAAGAGGCAGGCTTTCATGTAGAGGTCAGCGCGGCGCGACAGTGGTCGCAGAGAGGTGCGCTCGATGCTGTCTTCCACCATTTGCCAACTCAAAAGGAGGGCCATGCTCTGATCCGGTTCCCGACTGATATTGAGGTTCGAGAATCGGCCACCTTTACAAACCGGCCGCTACAGCGGCTGCAAAGTCGTCGGTTCGTATCACAGATCCGTGAGCAGCTGCAGTCCTTGCTCCCAGCGTACATGATTCCGTCCCGCATCATGGTGATAGACCAGATGCCTCTCAATGCCAATGGCAAGGTCGACCGGAAAGAGCTTGCCCAAAGGGCCAAAAGAGCAGTTCCAAAATCTCAAGTGGCACCAGAACAGGCAGTGCCACTCAACGAAATAGAAGCTATGCTTTGTGAGGAGTTTGCAGAAGTCTTTGGCATGGATGTCGGCACCACCGATCACTTCTTCAAGCTTGGCGGACACTCCCTCCTGGCTACGAAGCTCACAGCGCGTGTCAGCCGTCGGCTGAGTGCCCGAATGTCTGTGAAGGATGTATTTGACTACCCTGTTATTGCGGATCTTGCAGCCGTCATCCGCCAAGAACTGTCTTTACACAACCCCATCCCTACAACGCCCAATAGCAGCCATGGGGAGCAAGTTGTGTCCGCACGGGTGGCCCCACGAGATGAAATAGAAGCCGTACTATGTAGTGAGTTTTCAGATGTGCTCGGCATCGATGTTGGTATTACCGACAACTTCTTCGACCTTGGCGGACATTCTCTTATGGCTACCAAGCTCGCCTCGCGTATCGCCCGTCGACTGAATGCCCCCGTATCTGTCAAAGATATCTTCGATTATCCGGTTCCTATCCGTCTCGCGAGTAACATTCAACTTGCTCAATTGGAGAGCTACGAAGAGACAAGCGATATGCAAGCGGCTGCCAATGCTCCATTCCAGCTCCTTCCTTTGCAAGATCCGCAAACATTCATCCAACGTGAAATATGTCCTCAACTTCAATGTTCCCACGACGCAATTCTGGATGTCTATCCTGCTACTCAAATGCAGACATTCTTCCTCTTTGATCCTGCAACAGGACACCCACGGAATCCGACGCCGTTTTACATAGATTTCCCGACCGGTTCGGATTGTGCTAGCCTAACTAGGGCCTGTGCATCTCTAGTCGAGTATTTCGATATTTTCAGGACGGTGTTCTTAGTGGCTGCAGGCGCGCTATATCAAGTTGTCCTGAAACATCTGAATGTCGATATCGAGATAATCCAAACCGAGGAGAATGTCAACAGCGCGACTCGTGCATTCCTGGACTTGGATTTACAACAACCTCTCCGCTTAGGACAGCCATTAATACGCATTACTATTTTGAAGATGCAGGCATCAGCATTGCGAGTGATAGTTCGAATGTCTCATGCCCTGTATGACGGCTTGAGTTTAGAGCACATTGTGCGCTCTCTTCACGTTCTGTACAGCGGCGGCAATCTTCTAGCGCCGCCCAAATTTGCTCGATATATGCAACATATGGCAGACAGTCGTAAAGACGGTTACGATTTCTGGCGCTCTATTCTACAAAATTCGTCGATGACTGTCGTAAAAAGTATTCGCAGCAGTGCTCGTCAACAACAAGTTGCACCTGTTGGGAGCTATCATGCGTCCAAGGTCATTGCTGTTCCTCTCCAGGCTAAAACAGACAGTAGCATCACACAGGCAACGATTTTTACCACCGCCTGCGCTCTGACGCTGTCGAAAGAAACCGGATCAAGTGATGTCGTCTTCGGTCGAATAGTATCTGGGCGTCAAGGCTTACCGATCGCTTGCCAAAGCATCGTTGGTCCTTGTACTAATGAGGTACCAGTGCGCGTCCGCATAGATGAAGAGGCAAATCATAAAGAATTGCTACGCGAGATGCAAGAACAGTATCTAAACAGCTTGCCTTACGAGACTCTAGGGTTCGAAGAGCTCAAGAAAAATTGCACAGGCTGGTCAGAAGCAACTACAAACTACAGCTGTTGCATCGCATACCAGAACTTTGACTACCACCCTGGTAGTGAAATGGAAGAACAGCGGGTACAGATAGGGGTTCTGTCACGAGATTACGAAGCTGGGAATGACGCACCGATTCACGATCTGGTTATAGCAGGAGAGGCAGAGCCTGATGGGCCTTACCTGCATGTCACTGTCGCCGCGAATAGGCAAGTTTGTGAAGAAAGAATGGTGAAACGTGTACTCGAAGATGTTTGCGAAAGGATTCAGACTTTGAGTTTGGCTATGTGAGATATAAAGCTAGATACACTCGGCTCACTGGTGGTCGTTTTTGCAGCTAAAATGAAGGGTTTACCACAGGAGATTGTCAAATATAAAAGTTTTAATGTACAGAAATTTCTCTAAATTATATCTTTGTTGGCTCCATTGACCCAAGGCATCACGCCTCACAGTGTTGAGTTACGGTAGCAATCTAGCGCTAGCATGAGCGAAAACTCGATTTCATTGTGACGTGCAGCATGGAGCTCCGCTTTCCAAGACTCGCGCGACTCGCATTGAACTATGTGTAATCCTCAATCGAAATGTGTACCTAGGCAAGTACATGTGTAGCAAACTACCTAATGTGTAGACTTATTCTGTCCTACAAATCTATGATTATATGCTAAGTAGTTACAGAGAAATCTTATCTTGTCTTGACTAACATGAATCCGCTCCTTATAAAACTGCGCCTGTTTTATATCATTAGCTTGGCTTTTCCTTCGCTTGCAGATATCCCGGATTTCAGATTATGTGGCTCTTTCCACTCATATGTGCAGTGCCCACAAAGATGAGTAGTGATTTTACCTAGCTCTGGCACGGGAACACACTTTCTCCGAATTCTACAATCGTACGTGTAATGCCATTTGCGGCTTTAGGCGGAAACAGAGACGCCCCTTTGCCAGGATCTGGGTGCCAATTGACAGTTTCTTCCTATTGACGCCCTTGTCTACCCAGTTTATATTATCGCCCAATCAGCCGCTGTCTAGGATCTACTCATATATGCGGAGTAGCACCTGGAAAGTGAACTTGAATCAGCGGCGTATTTCCCTGCTATATTATTTATCAATACTTTAGTATCGATACTAAAGACGTAAAAAGCCGACGCTATGGAGTAAAGATGCCAATAAAAAATATCAACGTGGATAAACCCTGAGGCGACAACTAACTGTAAATTGATCGGGGATGCTCCTAGAATAATGACGTATGTGTGGCCAGATTCTAGCTTTTCCGGAGTTGCGACTACACAAGATAGGAAATCTAAAGAGAATGGTGCATGTGCTAAATCTATTTTACCAGATCTATTTATGGGCTTCCATCTCTGCTAATCTTATTCCCCTCGTCGCCCGAGAAGTATGAGCGTTTAGACAACAGTCAGCCAATGTGTTGGAATCCTATGCGACGTCACTTGGGCATCATCTAGCGCAGCCACAGAATTCTATCTTATATTCTCGTATGGAGGAGTACTTATTCATACCAATGCGATCTGATTTAAATCACCAAGATAATATTCTCATCTAGAAGCACGCAAAAGATATATCAGAACGGGAATCCTAATTAGCCGTCTGTTCACGCTGCCCTGAATTTTGTCAACGTGGTTGTATTACACTAAGCTTACACCATACACATTATGGCTGCCTATCTCACACAGCGCATCTCACACCCTCACATTGCACATCCTCACCATGGCATCACCGTTTCTCGCGCCGGCACTCCAGCTCCTGAGAAGAGGGCGAAATGCTCCGTACCGATCCCTAATGTTGCTGCCAAAGGCGTATCTTTCTTCACGCCCGAGCAAGATCCCGCTCCAGGCAGTGCTTCTCAAATTCAAGCGTCTGGAAAACCAGTGCCCAAGCTTTTTTCTCCTCTCAAGATTCGCGATATTCAAATGCCGAATCGCATTTGGGTGAGCCCCATGTGCCAGTACAGCGCGCATGAGGGGTTTCAAACACCGTGGCACATCACTCACTATGGAGGAATGGCTCAGCGCGGTGTAAGTCTCTCTCTCTGAATTAATATCACGCTTATTCAGTTCTTCTATTTTTTACCCAATGAAAATACAAATGTAAATATATGCTAAATGAATCAATAGCCCGGTCTTATAATGATTGAAGCTACTGCCGTGCAAGCCAATGGCCGTATCACTCCAGAAGACTCGGGTTTATGGCTTGACGCCCACATCGATACTCTAAAGAAGCATGTCGATTTTGCGCACAGTCAGAATGGCCTCATTGGCATACAACTTGGTCATGCAGGTCGTAAAGCCTCCACAGTTGCGCCTTGGCTCAGCTCCGGCGCAACGGCTACTGAAGAAGTCGGTGGCTGGCCGGCAGACGTTGTAGGACCCAGCAATGAGGCCTTCAGCGAACATTATCCAAAGCCGCGCTCTATGAGTCTTGCAGAAATTGAGCAGTTCAAGCACGACTTTCTCTCTGCTGTTCGCCGTGCCCTTCGCGCTGGTTTTGACGTTATTGAGCTGCATTTTGCGCATGGGTATCTCGTTTCAAGTTTTCTATCGCCGGCTGTGAACAAACGAATAGATCAATATGGCGGGAGTTTTGAGAATCGTGCTCGCCTAGCGCTCGAACTGGTGGAGGCGACGCGACAAGTTATCCCCAAGGGAATGCCTTTATTTGTGCGTATTAGCGCAACCGACTGGCTGGACACAAACCTAGACTGGAGAGGAGGGCCAAGTTGGAATGTCGACGAGAGCATCAAGCTGGCCAAGCTCTTTGCCCAACGTGGCGTTGACGTTCTAGATGTATCAAGCGGGGGCAATCACTCCCAGCAAAAGGTTGTCGGTGGGCCAGGATACCAGGCTCCGTTTGCAAAGAAGATCAAAGCCGCAGTAGGAGACACGATGCTTGTCAGCTCGGTGGGAAGCATCAAGACAGGAGAGTTGGCACAGAAACTAATTAAAGGAAGTGAGGATATCGAGGATACGCCACTGGACCTGATTGCTGCGGGCCGCATGTTCCAAAAGAATCCTGGGCTGGTGTGGGCGTGGGCAGATGACTTGGAAGTGTCTATCACTCTTGCGCATCAAATTGGATGGGGATTTGGAGGAAGAGCGCCGAAGAAGATCACCAAGTAGACTATTTCATAATTATTCTATGGTTGTATGTGATTTGGTTTCGAGTGGTTGAGGGATAAAGTATAGAGACCCTACATTTATGTAATTGTATCTCTAGCTCATTATCCAACTGAATAGTCTTGCGTCCTGTACAAATTTTCAACGGCTGGTCTTGGTTGATCCAGATGAATCTTCTTATTCCTATAATAGAGGGGAAAGAGAGGCAAGACGGACCCTAATCAATTTTCTGTTTCTCTCTTGAGTGTCCACGGATCCCAATCCATGACATCTTCGTCGGAATCACCATATTCGCTTGGAATTGAGGATCCTTCCCTATGACTATTTTCAGCAACCCATGAATCGTTTGCACGCTCTGACCTGCCAACTGAGCTTGAACTTGCCCCCAAACCCACCGTAAGGCTAGAATTCGAACTCATCCCGTTATCTTTGAATGAAAATTGGGATCTGTTTTCCTTCCGAGGGATGAGATTCTTTGTGCAGCGTACAACCCATGGCACGCGTAGCTTAACCTGTTGCGTGCCAGGTTCAGAATCGGCACTCACACGCCTCGAATTTGAAGTATTCTCCGACATGTGTACTCCTATCTGCCGCATGTCAAGTGTAGAATCGAGGTTCCCGCTCTTCGGCCCTGGTATACTCTCTGGCGCTTTCTCGTATTCCTTCTCAGCGTTTTTTATATCATTCCCTGGGCTGCATACATCAAACGCGCCCAGTGCACAAAGATTACGCGGGAAGCCGCTGATCTCAAGTGGGGTGGTGAAAAGTTCTTGAGAGACGCCGTATACGTGGGAATTATCCGAATGCAAGCAAAGGCATATGTTTGTCTGACTGGAAAGATCAATCGCTTCAATGGAGATTTCTCGAAGGGGGGTGAAGATCCCACGGCTAGCCATATTCTCGATCGTGGTGATAGAGAAGGACTCCTTGTAGTATTTCTGCAACCTTGATCCGTAATTCTCTTTTATCAAGAATGATGGTACAAATCGCTGTGAGCAGTATCGAAGCAGTATCTTTCCTAGTCCTTGAATGTCGCGCACGTCATGAAACCGACAGTGGATTCGACCTATGTCGTATCAGGGTCAGTATACCGCAGAGAAAATGATCATGTGCATAACTGAAATGAGTGACTGTGCAGCTCATAGAAGAATAGGAGAGATAGTTGTTCGTGCGGTAACTGTGGGGAAGAAATAACACTGCAAAGATTTGCCTTGTTCACCTTTACATTGAAATCGACCAGTTTCCGTGTTTCGAAAAGCTGGGCCGACAGTCTCAAAATAGAAACAACTCGCAATTAATTTTTCTGCGACCTTCTGTATTTCACGTCGAGTCTCCTGGACCATGAGTTTTGCAAGATGCTCCATACCGTCCATTGCCTTTACATCGTCAAGGGCTGGCAGTTCGTTCGCAAAGTGAACATTTAGGCGAATATTGCGATTTTCGTCTCCATATCTCATCTTGTCTCCTGCTGATTTGTTCTGGCTGGAGTAACTTCTCCAAATCTCCTCACAATCTAGCTGCTTTTCAATAATTTTGTTAGCTGTTCGCCATAAATATCCAAGCCCTGCCACTGCTCGCCGCGGCCTAGGTCTGCGGTTAAAGAAGCCATCCGAGGTGCTTATCTCCATTGTTTCGGGTGGGCTAGATGAATCTTCAGCGGTTCTAAAGCCACTACCAATTGAAAGGACGATATCAGGGGGCCAGTCTTTAACATCTTCCCAAAGCAGCCGTCGCTCTTGATCCGCAATGAATACTGGACAGTGGTGATGGATTGCTCCGTCCGTATAGGCGCGCATCGTTTCGCCTTGAATAAACGGTTTAAAATATGGCGGAGCCGCTGAGGTGGCTCTAGCAGCCTCCCAAACTTTAAGCTCTTGCGTTGGGTCTTGTGGTCGTATAAATACGTATGGCACTAATGTCTTTAGATCAGCAAATATTTACGCGGAGAGTTATCGTAATACTTACGCTTTTCCGATCTACATTCTGTATTATAGTTGGATAGAACGGCTGCTCGATCTTCTCTTGCGAGCGTTGTTGTAACCGCAACGCGTATTGACGTTGATCTTGTGTGCAGGGCTCTCCCATAAAGCAAAGAATTATTACCAAAAGCTGACCGTAAAGCGCTTTCAATCGCCTTTGATCTGTATAACCCTTTACCAGTTATGGCAGTAAATGTATTGAATAATCTTGGAGCGCGTTTCGTAAAAGCCTGTTTGCAAAGGCCTTTGAACTGCGACGTGCACTCAGAGACGGGCCAATTTTTGACACCCAAGCCTAGAGCAAGAATGCCACCGGCACTACAGCTTGTTAGTTGAGCGAGTATAGTAAAGATAAAATAAAAGATAAAATCGGTATGTAACAAACCTTGTCCCAACAATGAGATCAAAAAAGCTCTGGATTGGAAGGTGATCTCCAAGCTCCATCTCAATTTCGCGAAGGATAACGAGCTCGATAATCCCTCTTACGCCACCTCCGTACATTTGATTAGCGTTTTAACAACCGCCAAAAAGAGTGTTACAATGTACCCATCTAAACAAAGGACTCTCACACCAGCCTCCTCTGGCTTGTATTCAATCTGTATTGGAGAATGCCAATTGCTGGTAGTTGGATGAAGAGGGCAGCGATATAAATTGACCAAGCCTTGCCCTTTGCAGTCTCCGAAACACTTGACGCATGCCTTGCAGATTATGTGGCCGCAAGGCAATATGTTCTCCGGTATTTTCCCAATGCAGCAAACGCAAGTTAAATGACTTCGGAATCTTGAAGCGGACGGGACTTTGTAGTAAAAGGTCTCCATAACACTGCGGTGCATCCTTGGGATGAAACTGCACTCATCTTTCTCCGCACTGTTAACCTTCGCCTCAAGGCTCTCAATAACCTTCTGAATATCAGCAATCCACTGATCAAAAGATTCAAGGTAATTGAATGATGATTGATAGCCCCCTCGCGCAAAAATGACTCCTTTGCGAGTTTGGTGCCCCTTTTCATGTGATAATTTAGTATTCACACAAGAATTACCGTCTTTTTTGAACGAGCAACGCAACCATTTGTCGCAAAACTCTGAAACAGCATCACTGAGTGGAGCTTTGTACGTGTCTTGAAGAAGACTCGAGAAGGTTCCTACGCTGTGTCAGATTGGGGCATCCTATATGATGGAAGAAAGGAAAGTTTCTGAATTCCGAGTATTCATACCTTGTGTTTTGTCTCTAGTGGCTGCGAGCATAACACACGAAGCAATGGGTTCTGCAAGACGATAAAAGAGCCCAGACATAGGGATACCAGTTGTCTCCCATTGATCGTACATGAACAGAATGAAGTTGAGTACATGTCCGCCAAAGTCTTGCGGTGGAGACAAATCACGGCGTGCCTCTGTCACAAAATCAAATGGCTCGTCTAGATCTTGGGTGAAGTGGTCATAGGCTGCGTTGACATATCTTGGTAGCCTTTCTGCATTGAGTAACATTCTTGTCCTCTTCTTGATGTCATGGGACTCTGCGCATTTGCTAGAGATGTTATCATAGAGCTTTATAAGCTGCGCATCAATTTGCATATAATGGCCCTTGCGGGGAATTTTGAGGACTGTGACTGATAGGTAGTAATAGTTGAGAAGATCTTTGGTCGTCTTAATGCTTCTCGACAGCTTGAGGCTGGAACAAATGTTCTGTAGGTACGGTACATTATTGACCGAATCTTTGTAGTCCTCGAGTAGCTTATCAGTCGCAAATTCCGGTTCCCACTGTCTGTCGTCCGTAGTCATTTCGGCCGCATTAAGGACAATAATAACATGTGGCCTGCTGGGTTGGTTTACAGACTTGCTAATTGAAACAGCCGCCCACTCTACTAGTAGATGTAAGACATCTTCAAAGATTCTTTTGTTGTCAATGGTTAATTGATTAGTCAAATTCCCATCGGCATTAAAGCTGCATGCACACTTACCTAGCTTCACGGAGTACGAAAACAATAACATCCGAGAAAGTATATAGAATTCTTGGGAAGAGGCTCTTGACGGCAAACTCTCGCGAATTTTTCTTTGGTTCATTTCCCCAAGAAAGTCTTTTTATGATTCTGTCTTTGACAAGATTTCGGGCTTTTTTCGCACTCTCTGAATCATCTGTAGAGCAGAATTCTATCCCTCTCGGGGTGTTTTCTCCACCAGTCATGCCTTCTGAATCAGCAAACAGTATCGGGCTCTGATCATAATAAGTTGCGGGATCTGCATATAAGTGTACATCGCCTGTCGTAGGTAAATTATCGTCGACGAGCCCTGGGACAGGCTTGAGGTTTATATGATCTTTAGGAAGCTTAGCCTGAGCCTGGGCACGGTCCATGAGCATCTTGATGACTGTACTCTTTCCGGCTCCTGTACATTACGCAGAAGTATGTCAGCCAATTGAACTATATGGTCTGGGTACTAAATTAAGATTAGAATAAGTTGTAGATAGAGGGAAATCCTACCCGTATGTCCTATAAATGAAACGAGATGAGGAAACCGTTCCTTAAATACCCCAACTTGGCTCTCGTGCAAGATATCAAGAAGCCGTCTTGAAGAATGAAAGACGGATTCACTATTCCTTTTTTCCACTCCAAACCATGTTGTATTGGTATCATAGTTGTGCTGTATTTGTTGGTCGTTCGGGCTAGGCTGCTCGAAGATTTGGTTCAGTCGTTGAGCAACTTCATCATCAACCTTCTCATGTGGGCGGCCATTCGCTAGTGTTTTATTTGGCTAATGAATTACAATTCACTTGTCAGTCATTTTCTGCAAAGTTAAGGATATAGACGGCGTACAATAATAGCCAGTCTCAGATAAATGGGAGCTTTTAATCTCGATAGGGGTGATCGTAGAAAACAAACAAATACTAACTTTATGGGGCCGTTGCATAGACCAGCACCCATCGCAGAATAGATCAATACATTCAATGCATCTCCAAACTCTCCCAGTGCTTTCGCAAATGCAACATATTTGCGGTTCCAGGGCCGACATGGATTGTCGTTATATCAATGGCTGGGGCCCTGATGGCTGTAATGGTGACACCAGATGCTCTAAGCTGCGGATAGTTGATAAATGACTTTTATATTTTATCAGAGTCAGCAATAACAACCAGTTGTAGAGAGCTTTTCCAAAGGTAACAATAAACTGTCAGATTTAAAAGAATACGGAGTAGTAGTACGCTGCAGTCTTTTGATTTTGTTGTATAGAAAGGGAGTCAGCATGCGATGGGACGCAGAGTGAGGGGGGGAAGAATAATGTGTGGAACGGTGTGGGGCCACATTTTTACCAACAGAATCAGCTACCTCTCTAGGGCGCACGGTATGATGATTCTTCCCATTTGAACGCGAGAGTTGGTAGGTTGGGCCGAAAGAAGGACCCTGGTGATGATTGACACGTCAGTCAAAATGAAGGGCTTTAATGTAGGATGAACAAACTAATGATGTGCAGGGTAATACCATCAGGTCTTAATTTGATTAGGCATTACCGCAGAAAGCCATAGGCAGTGGACACCGAAGTCGTGACATTATTCGTCGAGGGGGCTTGGATTGCGAGGAAGACTTTGATCACGAGTAGCATAGATTTACACTGAAGTCTATAAGCAACCCTTTCACGCATTCCGAGATAAATAGACAAATAAATGTATTATTGTCAGGCTGGTTCTCCAGCACTGCCACACTGGTGCCTTTCCAGATGAGGGAGCCATACTCTATCTAATTGCGGCCCAAGAGGTTTGCATTAGACGTCCAACCCATTTACTTCGTGGTATCAAACTTTTAATTTTCACTCTTCGTTCTATGTTATTTCTGCCCGCCATATCACTAAATCGTCAAGTTAGACCCGCAAACGTTGATTTTATTGTGTGGCCTGAGCCCACTTCATTACTTGTGATAGGAAATCAAATGTTTATATTCTTCTATAGACCAGATTGTATAACAGTAGGCGCTTAACATATTTTATGTATTTAAGATGGGAATATACTATGTGGGGTTCAAAAAGAATACAAAGTACCATTCCCTAGAGGCGTTCGGCAAAGTGATACGATTATGCATGGCATCAATCTCGGGAACAAGGCTGGTAATAGGTCCATATGGGGCTTATAAGCAGATGGTGAGTTATTATGTATGAGATATTGAAATGCAGTGGTTTGCCCTCAGGCAGATTCAAAGCATGATAGATGTTCGGTGAAAGAGATGTGGAAAGATGATCGAAGGCATTCAAAGATAGAATCCAAAAGCTCGTGTCTCTATCGATAGAGAATTCCAAGATCATTAATAGATCCGATTTGCCCGCAAAACACTCACGCATGGTCATGCCTGGGTGGCCCTCTGCCTTCTTAAAAGAGGGCACGTTGTTAATTGGTCAGATTCCTCACCGAAAAGGGTGCATGCTTATCCATGAAGTTCAGCCGCAATTTATGTCATTGTGCCACGTCACTCATTGCCAAGGCACCCTACATCGCAGGGTAGCAATCTATCAGTTGTATTGAAAGTAGGCTGTCAGTGGTGTGCATATTATTGTAAATCATTTACATTATTTAATTGGTGCATAACGATTATTTCTACCTTGATCGGAGAACATCTCTAATACCTGACTTGAATAATTTGCATACATTAGCAACAGCGCTTAGCATTACCGCACCAGACTAGTATCATTTAGCTTCTACTTGTAACTATTGGATAGTCCACGAATTAATGTTTTCTTCACGACGCTCCGAACGTTTTAGAGTAAGGACTGGGTTTGTAGTAGATGAAGGATGTGGAGAGATCCTACGTTATATACCATCATGTCTTTTCCTAACTAGTACACCCAGTTAAGAAATTTCTGATGTTTTTGCAAAACGACCTCATCGGTTGCCCTCTTCGGGTGGTTCGTTTAGAAGAAAACTGACAATGCTAAGAAGGTAAACTCTCTGTTATATACTACAAGGGGGGGGGGGAGGGAGACTAGCTGTAAACAAAAGCAAACAAAAAAGTCGGCTTAACCAAGGAGTAGTCACACAAACCCAAATAACATTAAACTCAACACCTCCCCCCAAGCCCAACTCCCCATCTAATCAAAGCCATCACAACTTCCTCCTGACCCAATTCTCATTTCAATATTTCCCTGAAGACTCCTACTTTGGGGCGGAATAGTTTTGTGGTAAATCCAATCAGGAACGTTAAAAGTATGTAAGATTTAGCCTTATAGGTAGTTACAGGTTAGACCATATGAACAATATAGCTACACTTCCTTCTGCGCTGATTAATAATACAGAGCTTGCTGCCACCAAGTACAACGCTCGTTAGCTACAGTATCCTGTGCCGGCAGAAAGCCATCGGCCCTCATATCCAGTACAGATGAATTAGAGCCATACTGAGTCCAGAGCGGTAGGTTCCCCTGATTTGGATTTCCCGTCTTCACAAAGTTGGTTATATAGTTTTGAAACATCTTTGCGAGAGTAGAATTTATCGGTACCCCGTTGTCCAAGCTCAAAGAACTGTTGGTAAAATACACTGTAAAGCGTACATTATTTAGGATCCTACTCTATGATAGCAGTAAAGGTCAAAAACAGGACTTACAGTATGGGCTATCTGCCCCATGTAGTGCTGGCCAAACGTTGAATAAGTACGAATACGTCTGATTCATAAATGCGAGATCCAGGTATCGCGTATTGCAGGTGAAAGCGAACTCGCTAAAGATGAGGTCAACTCTTTGGATTTGATTTGTATATCCGAGAGTTCCATTAAATATAGGTGGATATAGAACGTCGCTCACATAATCCATGTTGTCTTGTGGTGTAGATGGGAAAATGGACTTGAAGTAGTTGCCAAAGTCGCCGTTACTCTGGATGTAGGGACTTGAGAATGTAAGCCCTTCGTCCGCGGAGTGACCAACCATTACCTGTAACCTCTTGTTAAATTGGCCAGTCAGGAGAAGTTCACCTGGAAGGCGGGGCACGAGTTTCCCGTCCACGACAGGACCATAGCTGAAGAGCCCGTAGGCCGAGGTCGCCACAACAAGGTAGTTGGTGTAGTATAAGTCGGCTTCAGAGAGACCGCGGAGCTGACTCAAGCTGGTAATGTTTTTCCCCGTAATTTGCGATGCGGATGCAAGAGTTTTGGTATACAACGCTTTTTGCTGTACACTACCTGGCATAGGTTGAAACCCCGGGCTCTGCGCGATGGCCCGCTGAAATGGGACTCCTTCCTTGAGTCCACCATATGATGTGATATGGTGCATAACCGAAGCGCCGCCTGCAGACTCACCAACAATCGTGACCTGATCTTTGTCGCCGCCGAAGAGGTGGATATACTTCTGTACCCAATGAAGAGCTAGTTCTTGGTCGTATAAACCTGCATTTGCAGTTCCATTTGCTGCAACCTCATGCCCAGATAAAAAGCCCTGAAGACATTAGTTTCGCAGCTCATCTTGGTGAGAGTGAAGTGAATACTAACATAGACACCTAAGCGGTAGTTGAATGTGACATAGATTATATTATCGTCACTACTGGCTAAGAGACCGGCTGGGTGTCCTTGAGAATTCTTATCGCCAAACACAAATCCACCACCAAAGATATTAACGTAGACAGGAACTACATGTAATTAGTCACTGAAATTGATGTACAGTTTGGGCATGATTCCTCCGTTGCACCTACCTAAGCTGTTGCTCCGGCGATTAGAATAAACTCTTGTCGGAACAATTACATCGAGGAATAGGCAATCCTCTGACGTCCGTGGATCGGGTGATGGAAAGTCCAATTTATGCAATGTGGAAGGGTCAGGGAGAGGTTGGCTCGTAATATTTGTCAATGGCCGACCAGACAAAACTGCTGTGACCACTTGCGGCGCCTTTATTTCTAGCCATACTGTAATTGTAAGCCATGAGCTTCTGAATATGCCGATTCACCTACATGAAGAGGCTTGAGGACATATAACACCTCGCCGGCCCAAGTTTAACTTTCTGTCCCTCACCGTCGGGAGCGTCGGCTTAGTGAAGCGCAGATCACCAACTGGGGGTGCGCCGTATCTAATGTTGCTGAAATTATAATATTGAGATCCAAAGGCCTCCAATTTCTGTCAGCAGGGGTCTCATATCTTGACTTATGGGTGCCGCGATCACCTCATTGAAAGTGCCTTGATGCACAGCATACCCTAGGTCGACAATTGGCGGGTGAACTGCAGATGCAGCAGGGTGTTTGGCAAATCCACAGGTAACTGTGAGCAGTAGAATAATGAAAAGATTCAACATGCTTAGTATAAAAGCCTTCTATTATACGGAGAATAATGGCAGGGTGAGAGTCGGGAAAGCCCAGAATATATTCTGGAAAATTATTGAATTGGAGCGATGGAGGTGCTGTCTTCTCAGATGTTATCAACCTACCGAGCCGTACTTATAGCTACTTTTTCAACCACTTCCCCAGCCGTAGGTTGTATATTCAAACCAACCCGCGATGTTACCAGGCTCTACGATTGAAATTAATCCTGCGGAAGCGGACACATTTGATCCCGCTTCCGGTGGCTTGGTATGGAGCACTTCTTCCCCTGCCCTCGTCTCCTTCCAGTGATATAGCTCACTAAATGCCGAGAGAACGTAATTTCACCCTTGTATTTCATATTCTTTCTACTACAGTCCCTCCCACTGTGGGTTTGAGTTGACTTGTGCCGCCAGCCGGGTGTAATTGCACCCGGTTCCGTCCGACTTATTTGTCTGTAGGCTACTTATCCCTCTCCGACATGTGGGACGCCTCCGTCAAACTGATCCCATAGGAGGATAGTATCTAGGCTACCTCCATGAACGTGCATAGCCAAGTCTACCGCAGCAGACCGCTTTCTAACTTCTGCGTCGTACCAAACCTTGCCTAGTTTGAGACTCTTGACAGATCTCATCAAGTGGCATGGTGACATCTCTTTCCCACCAAGAGCTACTATAGCCGACTCCATACGATAAATCATTTCATCAATGACTGCTGGCATGTTTACAGTTTGTCTTGCTTGAGACACGTCCCAATCCTCGGCTTCAAAAACGCAGAGTTTGACCATCACCAGGAGAGCTCGTGTCAGTTGCCCGAAGTGGACCAGTGTCAAGGTGTGGTACATAGATGGTGTTAATAACAACCAGATATGACAGAAGCTTTTTGTAGCTGACAAACACGCAGATAAGATGTTCATCCGCTCAAAATTCATAGGCTCTTCCACTGAGAATGCCATATGTAAGCCGACTTGATAAAGTTGAATCTCTGCGGTATGGTAATGCAAGAGAAGTGACTCTACAAACACTCATGCATTAGTATTTGGCCAATGGGTGCGAGGGTAGCGGACACTTACTATCCTGACGGAGAGTCATCGGAAGAGCCGACTCGTATTCTCGTAGTGCTTTCTGAAACATCTTCACGTACATCCTTGCTTGGCCTTTTTGGGACAGAATGCTTTCTGAGCTGCTGGAGTGTGCGTCTTGCATTATCTTTTGAAGTTTGACCATTTGAACAAGGGCCGAATCCGTATTACATTCATTTGATGTTGTCAATTTCTGTACACAGTCGTCTATATGGCTTGTATACCTCATAGGATCAAGTTTGGAGGATGACACAGTAAGCTGCTCCTATGTTAGTTGCATGCAACAAGGGTGAAATCTCCAAGCAGCCACGTACGCTCGAAGATAGGTAGAAGCACCCTAAAATAATTCTGCAGCTGGTATATGACAGTGGGGCTGGCTGAGGTGCACATTGCTCTGGATGCTTAATTTCAAAAAGGAGTGCATCTTGGGACTCTCTTGCTGGTGACGCCCTATTTAAGCCTAAATCATTCAAAACCGCCATCGCTAGCTGCATCAGCAAAGCAGTTTGAAAAGGCCCTGACCTATGATAATGGTACCTTGCAATATAATTAGCCTCTTGCACCAAGTGAGCTTCGCAAGTGAGTTGTCATGCGTGCACGTCGTTGGCCTACCATGTAATGTATACTAGTAAACCTTGAAGTAGGTCAATACTCCTCTCTCCTTTGAGAATCAAGTGGTCACTAATATATTTCATAATATCTTTTTCAAGGTAATGTTGCTGTGAAGGATTGTCGTACGATGCAGAGAAGAGTATGGCTCGAAGTAGGAAAGGACAATCATAATACAAGTCTTCCGCTGTCTTCTCCTCAGATATGAATATAAACGGGCTGTAGAAGGCGAGAGCATTGCGGTAAAACTCCACTAGCTTATTTGCCTGACCATTTTTAAGCACTTGGTCGACAATGGAGCTAGACACAAGAACCGCAGCCTCCGAAGGGCATGCGCATTGACAATCGGATCTCGTAGATATGGACTTGGTAGAGCTCTCAGACGGCCCCACCGTCGGCGCGCTGGCGTTGTATGAAGCATTTGGTAGTATCCCAGAGGCCGATGCTGATTCCGCTACATTCAAAGGCAGCTGATGGGACGTACCGATAATTGATATCAGCCCATCTAGCTTCTTCTCTATCTGAACCACCTGTCTATGGTCCTAGTCAGCAGCCAACTAGAACAAACTCAAGTAGAGAGCATACGCAGCCCGCGAGTTCTTTGCTTGTCGGTTCAGGACCTGAAAACTGCAATCCTTCTTCAGACGATCACACCTGTAAGCGTCAGTGCCAAGGTAGCAAACACCCAGCAGTGAACCTCAAACCTCTCGCATTTAAACGTGTTGACCCATGTGCACTTAGCTTTGGCCACACTGCAGTTCCTGCAGGCTCTGCGTACTGGGCTGGAACTCGACATCCTGCTACTGGCAAAGAACAGGCATTCGATAGTTGAACGTTCTGACAAGTGCTCAGTGGGGATGAATCTTTGAACCTTTCAGTTTATGAATGTGGAATACCCGGGGCCGGAAACGGACTATGCTCCCGCCGTCGGAAACCGGCTTACATTCACGCCGCTCATTTACGCTGCCCATGACAGCCAAGAGTCTTAGGCAATCTCACCACAAGCGAAGCCTGAGTGAGCGGTTTTGGCGGGTCTGAGGTGTCTTGGCAACTTGGATCGGCTGCCGTTTGACCCAAACAAAGCGGCCGCTTCATCTACCCAAAGCGGCCGCTTGATCGGACCAGTGATCAATATTTGTCACGGGCTAAATTTGTATTACTGAGGCACTTCGGCAGGCACAAGTCCGGGGTAAGCACCGTGATTCGATAGGCATACCGAAGCCGTATCAAACCCGTCGACCAATTTGAGACAAGGTTCTTGCCCATGATTATTTCATCCCGCCCTTGGGAGCCCGGTTGACGATATATGGCCAATTTGCTCTCTGCACTCCGCCAACGAACTAGATTCCGATACTTCCAGTCTTAGTAAATATTCGTTGTTCCTTCTTGGGCCTGGTAGTCTAGTAAAGAGAGATCAGCGGATTTGCTCAATATTTCTTTGCAGACGGCCACTCTCATTGTCGTTCGGCTTGTTCCAGCTTTTTGCTTATAATCCAACACTCTCTAGTAGCTATGGCTACAGCATGGTTAACTCAGATGCGACCCCCTCAGCCAAAATTCACAGAGGCAAACGTCGAAAACTTGTCCGGAAAGGCAAGCTACTCTCTCCCCCTTCCAGTAAATCCTGGATTTTTAACAGTGCGCCTTGTCGCAATTTCTAACTCAGGATTAATAGGTCTACATTGTGACTGGTGGAAACGCCGGCGTCGGCAAGGAACTCGTTGCCATGCTACATGCAAAGCATGCAACAGTGTACGTTGCAGCTCGCAGCGAGGAGAGAGCTGCAGCAGCCATCGAGTCCATTCGCAGCGCAAATCCTTCTTCGACTGGGCACCTGAAGTTTCTGAAACTGGATCTTGCGGATCTCGTGTCTGTATCGAATGCAGCAAAATCGTTCCTTGAGTCGGCCAAAAGTCTTGATGTTCTATTCAACAATGCTGGCGTCATGCACCCACCTGAAGGTTCCAAGACAAAACAGGGCTATGAGCTACAGCTAGGTGTTCATAATATTGGAGCTGTCCACTTCACAGAGCTACTCACACCACTTCTTGCAAAGACGGCATCTAGCTACTCCGCTGTTGGCAAGGAGGGATGTGTCAGGGTAATTTGGGTCAGTTCGCTTACTGCGGAAAGGTCCCCTTTAGGTGGTGTTGATCTTACGAATATGGATTATTCAAAGAGGGATGAAAGCAAGTACACTAAATATAGTGTGAGCAAAGCCGGAGTTTACTATCAAGGTACTGAATATGCTAAAAGGCATAAGCATGAGGGTATCATCAGCCTGGTGAGCTCAGTTGATCCCGTTTCCCCGCCGCAGCTAACTCAACGCGATGTACAGCCTTTGAATCCCGGAAATCTCAAGTCGGACCTTCAGAGACACCACCCAGGCCTTGCCTTCAAGGTTATAAGCGCTGCAATTCTATATCCAGCTACCAATGGAGCATATACGGAGTTATTTGGTGGGCTCTCTCCTGATATAACTTTAGCCGAATCAGGAACTTATAGTAGTAAACCATAAAATTCCCTCCTGATATTATCAGCTAACGATATTATTAGTTATTCCTTGGGGTCGATTTGCTAAAATTCGATCTGATCTTGACGAGGGATCCCGGAGCATTTCAGAAGGCGGGACTGGAATAGCTGAGAAGTGGTATGACTGGTGCCTGGAACAAGCAAAGCCATATATTTAAGAAAAAAAGATGGAATCTAATACCCTGACTCACTCACTCAATATATTACGTCCAGTAGGGGCTCCCCCAATAGGCCAACTATAAATTTGAGTTACATGGACGTTTCCCATGTTATCCATTTCCCTCATCATAGCACATATTTTAGCACAATCTAGCTTCGGCTCTCTTTGTTGGTGTCCTGTCTTACTACTATTTCTCATATATTACATATTTATTGCCCACAGGCTAGTTTACAGTCATTCCTCCACTTCAATGCCCTCTCTGTAACAGCAGAAGCTGTACCGCTCGAAGTGGTAAGGTGAAAGCTGGTGTTAGGTAAAAAGGTAAATAGAAATTACTTATTGATAAGGTGCTAAAATTGAACAAGTAGTTGCTTGAGGTATGTATACTAATCATATATTCGTCGACTATCCTTATTTGTCAGCACCTTCATCCTAGAAGCCACATTGTGTTGCACTCCTTGCTGATCATGGTTAAATGAGCTGACCCATCATCGATTCCCCGTTAGATTCAAGAATAATATCGCCACGAATGACTGCGACTCATTCGCGGATCGCTTGTCATGCCTGTCGCCGTGGCAAGAGGCGCTGTGATAAAGTCTTTCCAGCATGTCAGCTGTGCATCCGCAAGGACACGCACTGCAGCTACCCAAAACCCCCAGCGAAGCGCTCGTATACACCCGAAATTGTCTGGAACGACGAGCCATTGCCAGACGACTCGTCTTTCTCTGACCACCACCAACTCCCACAGCCTGAGCAAACAGCGGATGTGGAGTCTACCTTTGATACAGTGAGGGCAGTTCAATTCCTAGCTCCTAGAGTATTTCGTGACATCAAGCTGGAAATCCCCCGTCTCGAAATTCCGGTCCCTGGTGACGTTGCAGCCTACGTTGGAGACTCTCAGCAGGTTCGCGATATAGCTGCCGTGTTGTTTTCTAACAATGCTTCGTGGCTACCAATAGTTTGCCGGAAACACTTTTTCAGCTCTTTACTTAACCCCCTCTCTCCCCGGCAAGCCGATGGCAGTTTGTTGGTTCTGTGCGTGAAGCTGTATTGTACCACGGCAATTCATGGTAGTGGCAGCCCAAGGACAGCACTCTATAGGACAGCTAAAAGATACCACTCTGAGATAGAGGCGGCGGGGATCATGTCGCTACAGGTTCTCCAAGCAACAATTTTCGTTGCACTGTACGAAATAGGGCATGCAATTTATCCCGCCGCATATTTGACCGTCGGCGCCTGTGCTAGATATGGCATTGCGCTGGGCCTGGATCAGTTGATGACGAACAACAGCGGCTTTGATAGATCCTGGATGGAAGTAGAGGAGAAGAGGAGAAGCTGGTGGGCAGTATTGGCTTTAGATCGGTAAGTTGGCCGTTATCAGTGGCGTATTCTGCAATTGTCTATCTGAAACCACCGTTTGTCGAGATCTTTGCTAATCGAAAAATGAAGCTTTTTAAACTTTGGAGACCCTTCCAGGCGTCTGGCCACGAATGATCCCAAGATCAATTACTATCTTCCAGTTGACGATCAAGCTTTCGCAGAAGGCGTATGACCATGCTTGCCGATACAAAACAAAGAACAGGCTGTGGCTAATACTTTTATTCCTCCTAGAACACAACACCCAAAGATGCTATTCCGATATCGGCTGCATTCCATCTCAAGACTGGTAGCTTTGCTCGGCTTGCCCAAGCTACATACCTGACAAGCGAAGCCCTCCGACTAGCAGCATCTGTCGAATCATCCAAGGCAAATAGTGCGACATGTTTAACAGGAGATACAGCACAATTGCGTCGTACTCTCGAGGCACAGGTGAACGCTGCTGAGCAAGAACATTCTGCTCGCAAATTGTCGTTCTGTTGTCAAACAATGTTTTCTTACTGGTAAGCGGATATTTGAAGAGCCTGCTTTCAGACATTAACTTCTGTAGCGGAATCTTTTTACTCCAAGATCAGTACTGGCAACGACTGCGTATCAGTTCCACGAGAGAGGCGGATAACCATACATTTCCTGAAACCTGGCGCGCTCTGGAAGTTCTAGGTCGTTCCGCATCTGTCCTTCGAAAGGCCTTTGAGAGTGGAGGGTGTTTGGAAGATGGCCTGCCCATTTTCTTCATGCAAACTTTATATCAAGCCGCAATGCTGGCGATGGAATTGGATCAAGGTAATCCAGACAAGGAAGTTCAGGAGAAGATTGAGTCCTTCAGATGGCTTTTACAATACCTTAAATCGCGCTGGAAAGTGGCTGGTAAGTCTCAGTGCAAAAAATGTTCAAAACAGCGGCCCTAACTTCAAAATATCAGAAATATACTTAGACATTTTGGATGCAAAGAAGGCATTTCATGACTTCAATAGCATAAGTAAGCAATGTGACTAAAGTCCCGCCAGTTTTCCACCTCGTTGCAAACTCTTGATCAGTTTGGTGCTGGGGAACTACTGGCCTCTAACAGTGAGCGTTATGTTCAAGTTTGTTTGCGGGCTCCTATAGGTAGATTTGAGACTCAATAGCGTATCAAACGTCGTTTTTGCGTTCGGTGAACTCATGTCGTATTTACTCCAACTTCCTGTCTTACCTTTGATAACCAGCTTTGTACCCACATTACTTCTGAGCGTTACATAGTCACAATTTGTGCTAGGTAGGATGAGACTTAATGTCCTCATGACCGGACCGAAAGATTCGTGGGTCAGACGAAGGGGGGAATGTACATTGGGAATATTACACTGGGCAGTGGCACTGAGATACTCAGAGTAATACTTCTTAGCATGAGATTGACATACATAGTGGCTACTTCAGGTCTCGTGGAGTGCGGGCTTACGACCTGTACGCGTGGGACTTGCAGAAACAGGTTTAGTATGGCAACCTGGAATCTTTACCCCCCCCCCCCCCCCCCCCCCCAACACTGCGCAGCGTAAGAAGTCCCCAGCGCCTCAATATCAAGTTTATAAAGGATTTATTTGGAATCAGTATCTGGAGTCTTTCTTGATTACCGACTATATTCTCTCAAAAGCGGCCTTTCATTACACAGCGTGTGTCCACCACCTTCGATACCCGAGCCATACCGTTGGCATGCGACCTTAGTTGACTAATATTAATTAAATTGTATCATCCCAGACACAAGCAAATTGATGTTCTAGAATCTAAAGATTAATAATTTCACTACTAAGGGGTTACCGAATGGGAGTATATAATGCCGACTGGAGAACCATCAATCTTTAATGCAATCAGTAGCTGGACACAGCTCATCATTGCCCATCATGTCTTCCAACAGGTCAGCCATCACTCTCACATAACAAAAATGATCTTTCTGTGAACACCTACTAAATTTTTACCTAGTCTCCTTCAAAGCATTGTCGATGCCAATGGTGGCCTAGAATACTGGAAATCGGTCCAATCCCTTTCTGTAGAATTCGAGTTTTTGGGGCCGGCATTAGAGAGCAAGGGGCTTCCAGGGCCCTATAAGGCGGAGATTACAGTTGATACAAAATCCCAAAAGGTCATCTTCAAGCAATTCGGCGATTTCCACGGCTCGTGGTCCCCTACGCGAACTGAAGTTGGAAAAGTCGGTCAGCAGGCCCTCGATGTTCGAGAGAATCCCAAAGCCGCTTTCAGCACTCATACCTCTGAATCGAAATGGGACATTCACAATCTCTTTTGGTTCGTAGGCTATGCGTTCTGGAACTATTTCAACTTTCCATTTTACCTTGAGCAAAACCCGGAGATCAAAACTCGCGAGCTAGAACCACTTATTCGCGAGAATGGCGAGAAATGGCCTGTTTTGGAAGTCGTATTCCCTGATGGATACCCGACCCACACCAAAATCCAGCGTTTCGATTTGGACCATCAGTATCGACTGAGGCGAATGCGCTACTCTGTGGATGTTTTTAAGAATGATGACCTCCCAGCTTGGCATAACTGCTTTAATCATGCTGTCGCTGGGAAAATCAGCTATCCAACTTTACGGGTTGTGAATATATCTGTCCCAGAATTTTCATTCTTTTCCCCTTTTATGTTGAGGGATGTCAAGCTGGAAGTCAATCACTCCTGATTCGAGGGAGCGGCGTCGTACCATCGGGGGTGGGAATTGCCAAGCGGAGGAAGGTGTCCAGTTTAGTCTCAGTCTAGAATAAATGTGGACAAAGATTTATTTTGCTCAAGAGTCGAAAATAATGGTTTCGTATCGCATCACAGCCGCAACACGATGAGCCATATCCACCAGTCGGCTTGATGATGGCGAGAAACTGCCGCCAACTTACCTGACATGGGTACCCATCTTTAAACCCCTATCAACATCATTTCCCAGTTAACATATTAGAAACCCAAAAGTTCTTTTCTGGGCGCATAGAACACTAGATATGGCTATTGGAGATCTACATCCTCTCATTCATCGTCAGGGTTCCGCCAAAATAATCAGGAGAGAGACCAGGTCAGATTCCCGATTAAGAACTCCAGGCAGATGACAACCCTTGCGGTACCATTATTAATCTTGTGATTATAAGAAGTACAGCATATAAAGTCGGTGGGGCGAACGCAATCGTTGCAACGCAGATGACGCTAAGAAGCAATGAAGAATCTTGATCCTGCGGACTGGTGCGGACTGGTGCGGATGGCTGCGGATGGCTGCGGACGCGGCTAAACCATCAAGATTTCGAAGCTAACCTCAAGTCAAACGCGAGAAATACGGCCATCTTCTGAATCACTAATCAAGAATGGAGTATCCGCCAAAAACGGTAGGGGCCCTTGTATCGCCAGGTGTAAGAACACCTGCTAACACGGACATTCTTTCCAACATTTTGGACTTCCTATTGCTACGGATGGGTCTCAGTAGAATCCTTAAGCATTAAGTTTGTACGTTTATCTCATCACTATGTAGACTATAGAATAAATAAGAAGCGCCCCTACTACAACATATCTAGTCATGGGAGAGCAGCGATCAGAATCTCTCCAAAGCATACCATAATGCAATATTGAACAGACGCTCAAAACGAAATGGCCAAAAATTCCGACCTCGGAGCTTTGAGAAATGGCCCAGACGCCAGCCCAATGATGAATAGTGACACAGAAACGGCCATCGCGGAGCAAAACGAGGTCAAGAAATCGCAGCCCACAGCCCGAGACAATATCCTCGCTTTCTGTATCGTTTTCTGCCAGTTAGTTCAAGTAATTAAATAAATCCTTCCATACCGAGTTTTTGGAGCCCAGAATCCAGCTAAAGAATGACAACAGGCCATACCATATGGCGCTGGACTTATAGCCGCCATTGACATCCCAAAAGCCTTGGAAGCACCAGAAAACAAGAGCGTATGGATCGCAGCATCATACCCGTACGTGCTTCCTCTATATTCAGCAATACAATGTACTAACAAGGCAGACTAACCCAAGGAGCATTCGTCCTCATCGGTGGCCGCATCGCCGCCGTCCACGGCCACAAAAACACCATGCTCGTCGGCGCCTGCATCTATGTATTATTCCATCTCATCACTGGATTCATGCGATCAGCAGACACCGTCATCGTTATGCGCGCCCTCAGCGGCATCGGTGGCGGAATCATGGTCCCTAACCTCATCGCCATGCTAACCATTGCATTCCCGCCGGGTTTAATGCGAAATGTCTGGGTCGGCATGTTTGGTGCCATGGGACGGGTAGGTGCAGCTGGTGGAACTGTGTTCCCTGGCTTTTTTGGACAGTTGACAAGATGGTGGTGGTTGTTCTTCTTCTTGTAAGTCCTTGTGGATTCAACCTGATCATAACGTAGTATGCTGATATACAACTAATAGGGCCATATTTGGTGCTGTCGTTTTCGGTGCCACCTCGTTCATCTTGCCTCCTGACGGCGAGCCAATGGATGCAAATGGTACAGTTGACTATGTCGGGGCGTATTTCGGAGTCACTGGTCTCGTCTTGTTTAACTTCGTCTGGACGTGAGTTACTCAGAAAACAGCCCCTATACTGTCACTAAGGTTGTTTTAACATGGCAAATAGACAAGCCGCTGTTGTTGGTTGGGAAGAACCCTATGTGTATGCTCTTCTTATCGTTTCCATTCTGCACTTCGCCCTCTTTCTCATCTGGGAAGGTAAGTTTGCTAAAGAGCCCATCCTTCCCCTTGATATCTGGGGCTCTCCGTCATTTGGGCCAATGGTATTGTCCGCCTTTATGTCTTTCATGGGGGTTGGTATCTTCCTCTACTACGTCCAAGTGTGGAATATTGAGATCCGTCACTATTCCAACCTCCTCACTGCAGCAGCCAACTCCGCCTTTGCTATCGTTGGAACCTGTGGCTGTTTCGTCAGTGCAGTTGCCGTGCGATATCTCCCTGCGCAAGCAGTAATGGCAACGGGTGCAGTGGCAGCGGTGGTCGCTGGCATCATCTTTGCTACAACGCCAGCACAACAAACATACTGGGCTCAGTGCTTCCCCGCATTCATAATCATGGGATTCAGCCCCGATTTCATCTTTACAGCCACACAAATCATTACCAGTAATAGTGTCTGGCGGAAGCACCAGGGAATTGCTGGATCGTTAATGGGAACCATCCAGATGTACGGCCTTAGTACAGGACTGGGATTTGCAGGAACTGTTGAGCGATATACAAACGATGGGGGCCGCGACCAAGTTGGAGGTATTCGACATGCTCTCTACCTTACCATCGGAATGGCAGCTGCTTCTGTGCTGATATCTCTGTTTCTGATTCGGATCCCAAAAGATCAACGTGAAGGGTGGGATAGGGAGGATGAAGCAGCAGCTCAGACTTAGCTTTCGACATCACCCTTTCATTCCTGGCGAGGGAAATTGGCATCACTATTTCATGTATAATAAAATGCTCTCTGTATTTTGATAGAGGACATAGAAATAAACTCTATAAGGTTGTGAAAGTGCATTAACAATCAGGCACACTAACGGGAATGTGAAGAGGAACGCTGGTGGCTAAGCCGCTCAAACTCGTCTCCTTGAACTCATTTCTCATACCTTGGGCCGTCACGCGCATGGCCCGAATGGCATCATCAAGGCTGACCTTTTGTGTGCCAGTCTCACCACTGAGAGCGAGGTTGGCACTGGAAATGGCTTTGATGGCGCCTAGAGCATTACGCTCGATGCAAGGTGCTTGTACCAACCCGCCAATTGGATCGCAAGTCAAACCCAGGTTATGCTCAATGCCAATCTCAGCTGCCTGCTCAATTTTCTGAGGGCTCGCGCCCATACAAGCTGCGAATGCTCCGGCTGCCATGGAACACGCCACGCCCACCTCGGCCATGCACCCGCCCTCTGCAGCAGAAATGGTGGCACCGCGTTTATAAAGCATACCGATGGCAGCAGCTGTCAAGAGAAAGGATAGAATGTCACGCTCTGGGTCATCACTGACGAACTCTATAGTGTACTTGAGCACTGCGGGAATAATGCCTGCCGCACCGTTTGTTGGGGCGGTAACAATGCGTCCACCAGCCGCATTAGTCTCGTTAACTGCCATGGCATACACAGTTAAGTAGTCCACTAGAGAATCTCATGTTAGCCTTTCTCAAAGGATAATACTATTTGGCCTGGATAATACTTACTTGCAGGGAACGTGGTACGTCGTCGCGGCGATGGTAGTACTGGGTGATTAAAGGAGCCATGTGTTCGTAGAGGCATGCTTCTCCTGGTAGCGATGCTCTTTCGTCCTGACGAAGGCGGTGCTGAGGTCGTAGTCAAGGTTGAGCTCCCTGATGCATCTGAACTTGATGGCAATGCTTTGTCTTCAGATGGTAGCTGAGCTTGAACTGTCTCGGTGCCCTGGGTGGCGTGAGAAGGATACAGTCCTCTTGTGAGTCGTCTATATAATGCTGGTGCTCGTCTATGCAATTTAAGACTGCCCGGAAGTGTTGAATCTGGTGGTGCTTGGACACCTTCAAGGATACTATTGTCCATGACCTCCCAGATACGGAACACTTTGTCGCGAATTTGTTCATCCGTGTAGCCGTGGCTCTTTTCGTTTTCATACACCAGTTGTGCAATCGTCAAGTTGTGCTTATCACACAAAGCTAGCAGACTTTTTGCATCTCTGAAAGGGTATCGAGGTTGATGACCGTGCGCACTGCCTGATTCTGGGGCATCTTCTGCTGACGATGTGACAGGTGGTGCATGGCCGCCCTCAAAGCCAGATGTAAGCAGAGCCGACGACTGTTCCGCAGTGTCTTCCAGTTGTTTGATCTCTGGTCCAGTTCTTCGATCTCCTGCTGCATCCTCTCGCCTGATTTCCTTGTAGTACATGTTCTCCGCAAGGTCAAGTGGGTGTCCGGTATTGCCATCTGCCTGTTGCTGATGGACCTCGGACAACCCGAGGCCAGCATCTTGAGCCGACGATGATCCTGATGAATCCGGCTTGTTGATTGACAAGGCTCCGTTGACAACAAACCCGCCACCAACACTGAACATGTCATTGGTCGCCAGCATGTAGCCTTCCTTGTCAAACACCATAAGACGCATGCCGTTGCTATGCTGAGGGAGCTTTCTCGTCCACTCCCACTTGAAGTCGCGCTCGTAGTCGAAGGCAATCTCCTTGCCCACGCCATTTCCGAGTTGCTGACCCAAGAACAGCTTCTTCTCTGCCTTGATCTGCTCAAAGCGCTTGGGCACGTAGTCTGTATCGACTGTCTCCACGTTGGCACTCTCAAGGCCAAGCAAAAGAGCAGATGGCGTCATATGGCCCTCGCCAGTGAGAGCAAGACTGCCATAGAGAGCTACGCGTATTCTGTCGACTTTTTCGAGCAGGCCAGCTGCATGTAAGTCTGAGACGAAAATATTGCCTGCCCGCATGGGTCCAACAGTGTGGGATGATGAGGGGCCGATGCCAATGGAGAAGAGGTCAAAGGTTGAGATAACGGCATGCTCATGATCGGCTTCACTGTAAGTTCCAGTTTTTGAGTCATCGTCGAAGCTGTTTGGCCGCAATGCGGTGCTGCTGAAACTCCGAGATATTGGTAGACTGCGCGGTGAGCAGCTAAGCAGTTGACTCTTGGCCTTGAGGAGATTGCCGTTTGCAAGTGTGCGGAGATGCCACCGGGATGAGGCCAAGGAAGGCCACAAGGCCCGTCCGGCGGCGCTCCGCGAGAGCCCAAGCTGTTGAATCGCAGCTCGGTGGTGCATCCTGGAGTTCCGATTTGCTGCAGCTCCAGGTAACGAGCCGTGATGTTGACAGAGGCCAGTTCTGGGTCGCGTTGTTGGAAAGCTTGGGCCGTCGATCCAATCGCAGTCGCTGCCTTTGTGCCGGGGATTGCCGATAAAGGCCGCGATAACAAGTCATTAGAAATAGCAATTGAAAGGCTCCATAGTCTACAGACTTTGTGGCATGGCTTTTTATGCTTTATGATGCTCAATTATATAATAGCCCAAGAGTCTAGGCTCAAAGATATGCCGAATTGAGAACACTCAAAAGGTACTTGTACAAGGAGAAAGGACATGTCGCAAACGGTTGGGGAGTCTCACGTGACTGCGTGTGTGATACATTGATTAGCTCAGTCTACCGAGTATTAATTAGGCTCGGAGGACACAGTATGATATACAAAGCAGTATAAATTTCACTGACCCAAATACACTCTCCTACTTACTCGTATGCCAAAGAACAGTTCATTGGTCTTTGGGGAAATCAGTGTGTACAACCAGGGTTTCATTCGGCTGAACAAGGGGGCGCGGACTAGTGCGGATTCATAGCCACAGAGCAACCGTGCTTCATTTGCTCATCACAGTCTCGGACTATCATTTTGCGGGTTCATGGTCCACTCAGCTTACAAACTGAAACGGCATGATTGGATTGAGAGAATTGATAATTTGGTACTAAGAGAATTTTATACACGGTGGTGACGCCAAGGCAATGTCTCGCTTGCAGCAAAATTGCCCAGCCAGAGCCACTAATATAGTCTTGCGTTTTACAGCCGCAACCAGATCATGCAGGTACAGGCCGGATTGTTATACACGTTTACGGAGTACACTACCACAAAATCGATGATAGAAACGACCAAAAAGAAAATCAACATACAACAGCTGGTATTCAATAGTGGTTAACCTGACTCTGGGAGAGCGGGCGGGATACCAAATTCTCTAATATCTACGTTATAATATGTGGTTGGGGTTTGCTTCCATCTGACTTATAACCTTCAATGGGGTGCCAAAGTGTCGACGCACCCTATAATAGCCCGCAAAACACAGCATTTCTTACTATTAAAAAAAGCTATATATAAGTATTGAAGAGTCAAGGTTGAAGTTTTTTCTGTATAACTCTGCGGCAATATAACGCAAAACATTACCACATGCAACCATTGTGTAATAGAATTATAGGTCAGAGACCTTATAAGCTGTTGTAAAGGGCAGTGCTAGCCTAGGCTCTTCTGTAAGGAGAATTCCTACCCGCTGGAACCACCCTTCAGTCAACTGGGACATGGCTACTAATTAATCACAAGTCCTCATCAAATTACTCGGCTGTATGGTGGTGTTTTTGACTCTTTATTTGATGCTCTGGTCTTTGCTGAAGCCCATCGGGCTAATCGCGATTGTCACTGCTGTTCCAGCAAACACGTACTTATGGCAAAGGATGGTGTTTATTAGAGAGCCTCGGCTACTGATATGGACCAAATATAACCACTCGCATCCAGGTTTCGAGGCTAGTTCGGTTCCTCATAGTCCTGAGATGGCGGGATCAAGCCCGGACGACATACAAGCTTCCTTGCAAGGTCTTGTGCATACGCGCACATTGTCAATGTCGGGTTCCAACTTCCTGACGTGGGGAAAACCGCCCCACCCGTAACAAACTAAACGTACATTGTTAGTTGAGGCTTATAACGAGAACAAATGGGTATACTCACTACATTAGCAATCCCATGTGGTCGGTATAAGCTGTCCAACGAGCCACCGTTCTGCTTGCTTCCAACAAAAGACGTGCTTCCCTCATGTACCACTCCGGGCGCACGAACCGATTCCGTGGAGGGTTTCTTTGCGACCCATTTATTAGCTCTGTCGTCCCAGTATTCAATAGCTTTCGGCTGATTGCCAGAAAGGGCTTCAATTGTTTGGTATATTGCCTCGTCCATAGTATCCCACATCTTTTTATCATTTGGGCATAATGTATATTGTACGGTGACATTGGAGGCAGGATCAGGCGTGTTGTTCAGTTTGACCCAATTCTTGCTATTGTCTTCATCCAGCTCACCCAATCCCGAGCAGACTGTCATTTCATATTAGTATAACCACTAAAGAAGATTTCAGGCAACTACACGTGCTTACCAAACACAATATGCTTCTTGGAGCCCTTGAGCTGCTCATCCGTGGCGGCTGCGGCATAGTCAGGACATTCCCGCCCTGCGTCCTCGGCGTCAGCTTCTGGATCGGGACTATGAATTGCAGAAATCCCAATATGGTACTGGCGATGTGTATTCGGATCTTTTCCAGCAAGATATGTGCAAGCAAGCTGGAGAGATTTATCCCCATTCCAGTGGATAGCTTCACGTGGAATACGTGCTGTAATGTTTGACCGGACATGACCTGTCAGGCGTTTGCCAACATTGCCTTTTGAGGGGCGACACTCCTCGAATGAGTTGAGAAGTAATGTGGCATTAGGAACGGCCTGTGATGGATGTCAATATTTTGTTTTTTTACGACTATAATGGGGGTAGTGTCCAAGCAACTTACTCCAGCACATAAAACTACTTTTGTATCGTCGTCAGTCCACGAGAGCACACCCCGACTGGTTTCGATAGCTCGGACGACTCCTCCCACCTCGTCCTTCTTAAGTCCGGTGACGGTACAATTGATCATTAGCTCTAATGGCCGTCCTTCTCCCGCCTCAGCATGTTTGCGCTGACTTTCGTGCAGCGCAATTAGTGGGCCAGGAACGGAAAACTTGTTGAAGCGCATGGTGGATGTGTGCGACTTAGGACCAACAGCCAAGGGAGCTGGCACGACAGTATCAGCAGTGGGGATTTGACTTAGTCTCTTCTTGAGAAGCTCATCAATGGCCATCTGCATTTCACAGTAAATGCCGTCTCTTATCTTGTCAGCTGGTATCACATTAAGCAACTTCTCAGCAGAATGCCAGAAACCCTTCTCATGGGACGCATCAATCATGGATTTTGGGAAGTCCCTCATTAAGTCTTCAGTAGGTTGTGGGGCGTAGGCAGACCAAAAGGTGCTCCTCCCGCCGAAAAATGGGCATGATCCATGGAGGTAACCAAGCTCCTTCGTCTTGAACGTCTCTGTAGAAAGTGTCCAAGGATAGGTTTCCGATGGGCCTCCTAGCACCGTCTTAAATGGAAGAGGGAGATTTTGAAAGTGGGTTGTAAGCCAAATGTCTATTAGCAGTTAGTATCAACAACGTTTCGAGACGCACTTAGTAGCACATACCACCTCTTTCAATGCACAGAATTCGCTTCTTCTTATCATGCTTCAGTACCTCATCAATGAAGGCAAGTGCGGTGAAACCGGATCCAATCACAATGTAGTCAAACTTGCCAAAGGAAAGTATATTTTCCCAGGTATGATTACTAGAGTCGCGTTAGTATCGGCGAACCGAGCACACGGCCAGAGAGTGATGACAACCCGACAAAGTAGTCCTGAACCATGACAGATGTAGCAGATGGATTCTGCTCACCAGGAACAGGGAATCCCCATAAGTTAGCCTGCTTTGGCTTTTGAGCAGGGTCAAGAGGTTCTTCGCCAGTTCCATTGTGAGGGCTAGGGTTTGTATGTGATAGGATCTGGTCTCTGAGCGTCATGGTGAACGAAATAATATTGTAATAGTACCAAGATCAATAGATTTTTTTAATGAGAACAATTGTTTCTCTGAATATGATTGTCCGTTGAGTTATGAGAAAACACTAACCGTTGGGGAACTATGGACACCTTTATATCACAGCTCTCAGTCATATTCAAAACTCTACTTTAATATATGATTCTCCAATAATTTGGAGCTCTATCTGTCTTGTTTTGGGATGATATGTGACATGTGATTGACTTTTCAACACTGCAGCCTACAACTCATGATCACGAATTGATTCGACCACAGCCGTCTGAACTTCTAGAGGGCGACCCTACCACGAATGATTTGCAAAGTCATTGGCTGCGTTTCGGAGGCGGAGCCTGCAGGCGGCTTGAAGAGGCGCTCGGAAAGCAGCTGAGTTTGTTGTCATTTTGGTGGCAGATGTGCCCAAAGTGCATCTCTTCCCTTTGAACCCCATGCATTCCAACCAATAGCGCCAATTCAGCTGAGCTCTCTTCCAATCGCTTTCTGTCGGACCCCAGTCTCAGCTCCCCACGATGAGCCGCGCCACCACCTCTTTTGCTGCTCTTCTGCATTCCGATCAATAGTTTTGCGGTCGCAGCTGCAGCAGCTGAAACTCCACTAGTTAGTACTATCTATCAATCTATGAGCTCTCTTATTGCATCTCTGAGAGGAAAAGACGGTGGTCAATGGCAGCAAAGGGAGGAAGGTAGGGGCTGCCAATCACCCTCCAAGTCACCGAGCTGAACATGAATGGGAAACCGATGTAGTATTATGTATACAGGGATGCCACCCGCTTCTCATTGTTTCCCACTGAATGACAGTTCAACAAACACCTGGATTTAGCTGTCCTGTTGAATAACACAGCAGCACAACCACACACCACAAACCACAAACCACAAACTACCATCACCACCAACCCATCACTTTGAAGTCTGTAAATCAGAGCCACAACCCACGCCACAACCAGTGGGGTGCGTCAAGCAGAGATGCTCCTACTAGTGGCATTTACGTCTCTTGTCGCTGGGGTTGCCGCCAAATGCCGGGGACTGTCGGACAATTATCCCGCTAACCTAAACGCCCAATTACGCTATAGTATTATTGACTACGGAGTGGATAATACGTTGACATATATAACCTTAAGTAAACATAAAGATGTACCATCTTAGATAAATATAATAACCTAAAGCAGAAACTACTGCTATTCTTTTTATGACATAAGCCCTTAGGGATACTGCCTACTAACAGCTACTCGCTAGTATTACAGGAGAATAACTGTAACGATGCGCGGTCATGCGGAGCCGAGCACCGGAAAATTATTTCAATGGTCTTATTTTATCACAAAAGAGATACCTTTGTACCTATGTAAATATTATATACATGTATCTAACCCCGCACCAGAGCCTAATCTGCCTTGCGCCTTATGTGATGGTAGTGATCACCATGTTTCGCGTCGAGGATTTGGCGAGCGATTTCTTTCCTCGTTGTATTTTCCGACAAGAGGGTGTCAAACGCAAACGAAAACTGCTATTGACTTGCCTATCGAATTAATAATCCTACGTATCCTTTTCGTCCTATTCTACAAGCAGCACTTCCGAGTGTCGAAAATCTTCGAAGCCGAAAGCCTATATCTCCCAATAACAAATGTGATGGAGCTCATACGATCTGAGCATGTCCTTCTTCTAGCTGGCATCGCTGCCATCATATTCCTATGGTTGTGGCTATCAGCAGGAAACAAACAATCGTCTATCCCACCGAATAGCGCCCGCAGATCCCTGACCTTCAGGATTTCCAGCATACCTCGAGGGGTGGACAGGGAAAAGTTCCGAGACATCTTGACCAGGCTGCCCACCACAAACAGTGCTCGCGAGCTTAAATGGACTTTACTTGGGTTCTCGTACTCACCTTCTGCGGCCCCGAGCCAGGCTCAGCGATATGCGGTAGCCACTGCCACCTTCGCGAATGCCCCAACCTTGAGCGAGCTTGAGAAATCTATCAAGCGTGAAATTGGCATCGATGCCAGCCGCTTGAAGGTCGACTCGGATTTTTTCGGTCTAACACCACTCGCTGATCCTTCACAGGATGTCGCTGTAGAGTAGGTCAATTGTTGCTCTCTCAATTTCTCAAGTCATGACGCTAAATGCTGGCATCCTTTCAGCATTATTGCAGTAACCGGACTTGCCGGTCATGCATTTGGATCCTGGAAATCAAAAAACAAACCAGACATGTGGCTGCGTGATTTCCTTCCAGAAGCCGTTCCAAATGCACGCATTCTAACGTACGGCTATGATACCAAACTACCTGGGAGCCAGTCTGAAGCATCTATTCCTGACCTCTCAAGGAGGCTACTTGAGTCGATTAAGACGATCCGATCTGGACACGCAGTAAGCGCCTAATCCAACAGAAACTTTAAGACTAAAGCTTAAAAACATAGAAAAATCGGCCCCTCATTCTTATGGGACATAGCCTCGGTGGTCTTGTTGTGAAAGAGGTATGATGAAATGTCTACTGAAACATCACTCAACTAGACTTCTTTATACTGTGAGAAGTTTGCAACTAACTACTAATGCAGGCCATTGCTGAAGCATTTGAAGGGAGTGAAGATGACCAGGCCATCTTTAGGTCCTGCTATGCTCTTATGCTCTTTGCCGTTCCCAACAGAGGTCTTGATAACTCAAACTTGATGTACATGGTTAGAGGACAGCCTAACGAAGATTTGGTAAAAGATCTGAAGCAGTCATCTCGATTTTTAAATATGCTTGGCCAGAGGTTCAACAAATATTTCACGCTTGACGATTCGAAGATAATATGCATATACGAAACGAGAATGACCCCGACAATTCAGGTATGTTATTATCTAAATTTACATTTAATTACATTAAATATCACTGACTTTTCTATGAAGTGGTGCTCGGAGACCGCGTCATGGGAAAGGACCGGTTCTAAAGTCATGATGGTTCCATTCACATCTGCTATTCATGCCGGCCCAAATGAGAAAGTCTATGATCAAATACCAATAGAGGCAGATCATTCCGAAATCGTCAAATTCAGCGACATATCCAACCCTGACTATCTCATGATGGAATCAAGAATAAGAGAATTGGTGGCTAAAGCACCAGGCATCATTCAAGAGCGTTTTGCAAAGCTCGGGAGAAGTGAGTGACTTTACAAGTAGACAATAGATCATGTATTAAAACAGTTATACAGAACTTTCAGACTCGGAGAAACGTTACATTGAGGCCCTCAAGGCTCCCGATTACGCTGCATTCAGAAACCACAAAGTTGATAATCCAACACCCGGCACACTTGGCTGGATATTGAAAAATGAACTGCTCCACTTATGGCTAACAACCAACGAGTCATCAGTCTTGTGGGTAAAGGGTTCACCAGGCCAAGGGAAAACAATTCTCGCCAAATTTCTCCTGACGCACATAGAAGATTTGTCTCTTAACTCCCACCGTCGTACAACGGTCATATATTTCTTTTTCTATGACCAGGACGATAACTGCCGGACTGTTGGCGCTGCTTTAAGGTCACTCATCACGCAATTGCTTTCAGTAAAAGATGCGTTCCAAATCATTTCCGACAAATTCGATATCGAAACCTCCACTATAACTGATGAATCGACGTGGGCCATTCTGAAAGAGCTGCTTCAATCTCCTGTCTTTGGTACTATATACTGCGTGATTGATGCCCTAGATGAGTGTCGGGATCATGAGTCGAGACACAGATTACTTGAGTTATTCAAGGCACTCGTTCAGCCACCGATTATGAGAAGAAGAGAAAAGTTTCCGCCTCTCAAGGCCTTCTTAACAAGCCGCCCGACAGTGGATCTAGGTCGGAGTCTAAAGCCATTTCCGTCCATTCACCTGAAAGCCAGTTCTGATGATATCAAGACATTCACTCTCAGCAAGATTCATCCTCTAGAGCTGGCCACTGAACTCGAGTGTAGAGTGATCGAGTTGTTGAGCAGCCGTGTGGAGCAGACTTTCTTGTGGATATCGATCGTCTTGAAGAAATTAAAAGCAGCGACTACCTTGCTATCGCAGGCAGACATAGAGCAAATCATTAATGAGAGCCCGTCAGACCTAACGGACCTCTATGAAAGCATTATAGGTCAGATTATGCAAAGCAACGATATAGCAGCGCAAAAGCTCCTGATATGGACAGTTTTCGGTCGACGAGCCTTGACTTTGAATGAGCTCGAAGAAGCTCTTGCCATCCAAGAGAATTCCAAGAGTAAGGAATCCATTAGGAAATACAGGATACCTCTCACTGAGAGCGCCATCACTAGTGCTGCCGGGGTAATTCTGGACATCATTGCCGGGAAAGTCTATTTAATACACCAATCAGCGAAAGAATTTCTTCTCAATAGTGAATATCTAGCTACAGCTGAGTTTTGCAGAGGTCTGCGTCCTAGCATGTATTTGGCGAAGACCTGTATGACATACTTGTGTTTCACGGATTTTATTGAAACAGGTCCTTGTCGGGATCCCGCGCTGCTAGATGAAAGGAATCGTCATCATCCGTTTTTTCGTTACGCCGCGCGCAATTGGCACCGCCATATTGGGGTCGAAGACGATATCAAAAACTTCACCGGCATCATCTGCCAGTTGACTAAGCCAGGTTCCTCAGGACTCCTAGCATGGGGAGAAGCAGCGGGAATAGCCAATTTTGACAAAGCAGTAGATGCATGGGATATTGCAACGAAGGCCGACATTCCATGGTTAGCCGAGTTTCAGTCCAAAGATATTGTGGTCACAGAGGAGATGATTGAGAAGGCAGCCAGTCAGGGCGTGGCAGGGTATAGCAACTTGAAGACGCTCATTAAAAAACATGGCATTCATTTTACCGAAGCAGCTATTTGCGCAGCTGCCAAATACTTCGACCAAGGAGTGGTTCGCATTATGCTAGACAGAGACACTAGCCTAGGCATCACTCCGGCATTAATAAGAGCAGCGGCAACCAATGAGAAGAATGGCAGGGCCATGATAGACTTACTATTGGAAGCAGAATCTCAAGGAAGCTTTATGATCACAGCAGAGTTAGTAAAACTAGCAGCAAGGAACCGTGAGAGCGGCAGAGATGTCATTGAGTTGATGCTGCACAATGCCAACACAAACATCTCGGAAGGCGCAGTCGCAGAAATAGCGCTTAGATTCAGTGTCGAAACTATGATGCTTTTACTGAATTCGAGAGAAGACGTCAAGATCACCGAGATGGTAATTGATGCCGCAATAAGAAGAGAGCACAACAGAGAGGAAATGGTATCTCTCTTGCTAGAGCAGCGAGTTCAAGACATCCAGATCACAGAAAAGATTGCTAAGACTATTGCGGAAGAGTTTGATGAAAAGATGATGATATCTCTTCTTGAGAATGGAGGCCAAGACTTCCAGATCACAGAGGAGGTCATCAAAGCTGCAGCACGAAATAGGAAGAATTGCAAGCAAGTGATGGCATTGCTCTTTAACCAGCGAGGAGATGAGATCGCTATTACAGAGGAGGTTGTTAAGGCTGCAACAAGAAGATCTGATGCTAGGGAAATGATAACATTTCTCCTTAACCGAAAAGATGGAATCGCCATTACAGAGGTTATTAAGGCTGCAGTAAGAATATATGATGCTAAGGAAATGATGACATTGCTCCTTAACCACCGAAAATACGAGATCGCTATTACAGAGGAGATTGTTAAGGTTGCAGTAGGAAGACATGATGCTAAGGACATAATAACATTGCTCCTTAACCACCGAGGTGGTCAGATCGCTATTACAGAGGAGGTTGTTAAGGCTGCAGCAGGAGGTACTTATGGTAAGGAAGTAATGATATTACTCCTTAACCACCGAGGAGATAAGATCGCTATTACAGAAGAGGTTGTTAAGGCTGCTGCAGGAGGTTATGATAGCAAGGAAGTGATGACATTGCTCCTTGAAAAGCGAGGAGACGAGATTACAATTACAGAGGAGGTTGTTAAGGCTGCTGCAGGAGGTTATGATGGCAAGGAAGTGATGACATTGCTCTTTGACAAGCGCGGAGATGAGATTGCTGTTACAGAGGAGGTTCTTAAGGCCGCAGCCGGAGGTCCTTATGGTGAAGAAGTGATGACATTGCTCTTTGACAAGCGTGGAGACGAGATTACAATTACAGAGGAGGTTGTTAAGGCTGCTGCAGGAGGTTATGATGGCAAGGAAGTGATGGCATTGCTCTTTAACCAGCGAGGAGACGAGATCGCTGTTACAGAGGAGGTTTTTAAGGCTGCAGCCGGGGGCCCTTGCGGTAAGGGAGTGATGGCATTACTCCTTAGCCGGCGCGGAGTCGAGATTACCGTTACAGAGAAGGTCGTTAAGGCTGCGGCAGGAAATGGATGGAATGGTAAAGAAGTGATGGCGTTACTCCTTAGCCGGCGTGGAGACGAGATTACCATTACAGAGGAGGTCATTAAGGTTGCGGCAGGAAATAAACTGAATGGCAAGGAAGTGATGGCATTACTCCATAATCATCGAGGAAAACGGAGTCATTCAACTCCAAATATGGAACCCTAAGATACCGAAAATGAAAGAGCCTGAACCTCGATAAAGACTTGACGGGACCCCGAATCCTCCACTACCTACGTTCGTATGTGTCTGATGATAGAGACAAGTTGCCTTATATCGATAGCTGAGGGAACCATGGAGCACAGCAGCTCTGATCAACGATTTAACAAATGGATCTTCTTCACTTCTTTCTTTCTTTCTTTCTTACTTTCTTTTCTTTTTACTAAATATATTGCTGGAATTCATTGGCACGGGGTTGGAGAGGGAGGGAAGTTAAGAGAGTGACATTTTTGGAAAGAAAACAAGTGTTGAAACGTCAAATCCAGCGATATGAAGGCCCAAGTAAATAGCTAGATGCCTATCCTTCATAGTTAAATTCTGTAGTTGCATTCATCACCGTCAGAATGTATCCAAGTCGAAGCGTATGACCGCTTGTAGCGAACAACGAATATATCTTAATGATGTTCTTTATCTATCGCCCATTTAGAGCTAGTTCAGATTTTCTCATCAAGTCGTAGTTGCCGTGATCTCCTTGCATCTGTGAAAACACTGACTGGTAATTATTTTTATCTGCTATGATTTCTCATGATCCCCGGTCAATTCTGGAATCTCGGATTCCACGTCAATACCAAAAGGCACGCTCCAAAGGTGATTCGCCATGTCAAATTTGCTCCTAATATCTTGGGCAATAAACTGTCCGCCCTGTGTTCGAAACAGACGGACTTGCACGATATATCCAGTTACCAACAGGCGTCGTGTAGTTTGAGGTAGCACGATTGCGTCTGAATGGGACGCTATGAATTCTGATAGTGGCAAGTGCCGGTTGCCTTCATCGACTTGAAAAACTGCGCATTCTAGGACGCGCCGTGGGCTATCAACGCCAAGCTCTTTCTGCCTCCAGATGACTTTGCCGAGCATCGACACCCAGCACCATGTGGGAAAACCGCCTTTTCTCCTTCTCTCACACCCAGAAGACAGTTTTTGCTATGCTAGACTGCCTGCAAACGCAGCATTGGGACTTAGATTGTTAGTTTTCTGAGCATCGACGCTACTGTCGTCTATTCCTAGTGCAGTGGCCTTATAATAGGCGTCCCACCAATTTCTTATCGGAAAGGATTTCCCCAAAAGGACCTCCACGGTTGACGATTGAGGACGCCTCGGAAAGCGTCCAATATATCTTCCTCGTGAGTCAAGTCACGTTAGCTGAACACCTCCATCTGTGCCTCGAACGTGTTTCCTGTGCCAGAATTTCACGCTCTCCTTGCGTCATGGCGCTGGAAGAGATCTGCCCCTATTACCGCTGACATATTTATGATGGTTTAATCATTTACCAGTGGCACCGTTGAGTTGTTGAGAGACTCAGAAGTGCACATGGTTCTGCAGATGAGATAGATTTGTTGTTTCGTAATGACCAGGCAACAGCGGGAGAGAAGTCCCTCTTGGTACGTCCATGCACGTGTCAACCAAAGAGAGTCGGCAAGGACCATCAATGTAGGAACCATACTCAATATAACCAATGTGCCGTCTTACGATAGGGACCATGGCTGATTCTCTCGTGGAACGGTTGATACTCCTAGGGGGCGCTCAGAGCTACTTGAACATGAGGCAAAAATGATGGTGGCCGTTACATTTTCAGAGATATCGTCCATTTGTGCCACTTGACGTGATACATCAGCCGGACCTTGCTGGTTAATACAGTACTTGTCAACCCACAAATAATTGATGCAAATACCAAAAGTGAAGACGATGGCATCTGATATAAGCTTGGGAAAAGAGCTAGCGTCATCCTTGAGCTGGCCTGGAGCCCCCCAAACGTCGCTGAGAACAAAAAAAATCTGTCCTTGCCATTTCATGGAGCAATTTTGCCAGAATCGCAGTCTATAACATTAATATTGTTCGCAGAGGGCCTGTAAGTCTGCTGAGGGTCATTTCACGGCTACTTTTCAAGCTCAAAGAAATGGAAGAGAAGATGGCGTGTAAACGGTTTTCTTAGTTTGTTTTAGTGCACTAGGCCTTTTTTCTGACATTATAATCTTGATTATAATCTTGCGTTCAACAGTTTAACATTGCAAACAACGATATATTCGACCTAACTAGTTCTACTAGAGCAGCAGAGGACCTACATTGTAATTATGGCGTGAACCTTGTGTGGCCTTCGTACTGATAGAATCGAAGCTTTAAGAGGTTACAAATATTACGAAGTGATGTAGATCTAAAAACGGACCCATGAGACTCAGTTAATACAGTATTTTTTTTGTCAGGTCTCTTACAAATCTTCATGTCGCATTCTGCTCTGCTGTCAGCAGCCTCTCTTAATGGTTATAATCTTTGTCTCGGACAATTCGTGGCTTGATTTCATGATTGCTACGTCCAGCTTATATACTCATGGCGTTAGTAATCATAACACGAAGTAGCAATAAAAATACCCCTTAAGCAGGTTGTTATTGAATAATATATGACTATAATGATCAGTCCTTGGGCCTTAGGGTGTGTAACATTCTTTCTGTGATGAATATTGACTTGAATGCCGGGCACTAAATATTGCCAAGAAGAAGCTTCCTTATAAAGTGTTCATCACGACTCCGAATTTAATGTCACGCGTGATATTATCATGTCCATAAGAGGCAAGCGTAATTGGTGAAGATTAAGAATCTCCATGAATTTGATGAGCACGCCGAACAATTCCAACTCTTCTATATTACCAAATTCCAACCAATTAATTATAAACAATTAGGTAGAATAGATCTCTATAACTACGTCAAACCCCTGTCCGTATCAGACAGGATTAGGCGATAACACAGCCTCGGTGTCTGTCGTCCGCGAGATTGTAACACCCTTTTGTTCTTCTACCCCAAAGTTATTGTTCAATTCCTCCCGTAGTTTAATCTCCTTCGCTATAAAACTGACCAAGAATCCCAATGCAGCAAATGCAATTCCAACAAGCCAAACTGTCCGCATCGCTCCGGTGAAAACTTTGACCACCTCTGCGCGAAGTGCCGGGTCTTCAATGCTGAGTAGAAAAGCACCTGTGGCATGCTGATATGCGCTGTCTCCTGACAGATTCCCAGCGATTTCTGCGTTGGTAATGGTGCTCGCGAGACGACTACACTCATTATTAAACACGGCACTCGGGATAGTGACACCCCAGATGCAGCCGAAGTAGCGAGCAAAGCTCCAAATGCCGGTAGCCGTGGCGACATAGCTTTCATCCAGAGGTGCCTGGACCGCAGGCAGGAGCACACCACCAAGCATGCCACTGCCGACGGCGTTTAGAAGCTGTATGCATACCCACGCGGCGTCGCTTGAATTGGCATCAAGGATGCTGAGCAGCCCAAACGAGACAGTAGTAACAGCGAATCCGACCAAGTGGAGAGGCTTGTAGCGGCCAAACTTGGAGAGCAGGACGCCTCCCAGAACCGCGAAGACAAGCCCGCCTGCCACATTGGGCAATGTATTTATTCCGGAGCGTAGAGGTGACAAACCCTTAATGGCCTGGAAGTATATCGGCAGAAAGTAGTATACCCAATAGGCGACGACCGCGTGGATAAAGGTCAGCACAAGAGCGGCTGCTGAGGTGCGGTTTGACACGATCTGCCGCGGGAAGGAGGGCTCTGGACAGAGTCGCGGAGTCCACTCGAAAGCGGCGAAGAGCAACACGCCTACAAGGCCCAGGACGAGGGGCACAACAATGTGGTAGGTGCTCCAACTGTAGATGGTGCCGCCCCAAGTAAGCGCAATCAGGGCGGAGACGATTGCGGCTACAAAAATTGCATTACCAGAGATGTCGATGCGCCTGAAACGAGCCGACCAGCTCATGTCGCGCTCGTACTTGACGCGGAGGAACACAAACAGGATCCCGAAAGAGACTAGAGCATGGTCAGTTAAGAGAAACTGGAACTAAGTCGCATTCGACGGGAAACAGAGAAGAGGGACTGGTCTTACCAACGCCGATGGGCACGTTGATGTAGAAACACCATCGCCAGGAAGCATGATCGGTGATTAAGCCACCCAGAAATGGACCCAGGGTCGCTCCAACAATAGTGCCAATGCCCACAATGCCCATATATTGGCCACGCTCCCGGAGCGGAACAATGTCGGTCACAATAGTCTCTATCAGGAGGTTGATACATCCGCCGCCAAGCCCCTGAATAGTGCGGGCCGCTATCAGCATGTTCATCGAGGAGGCACCACCGCTGAGGCCACCCCCTAGTGTGAAGAGGGCAACGGCTCCCAGAAGGAGATGGCGACGACCCATGATGTTACTTGCTTGCCCGGCAAGAGGAAGTATGGCTACCTGCGCCAGGAGATAGGCGTTGGGGACCCAAATGTAGGTATCACCACCACCCAGAGCGTTTGTGATGGTGGGCAGCGCGCTCGTTATGATGGTACCCTCGATTGCGGACATCAGTCCCGTGATGCTCAATGCGATAATGATAGCCCAGAACCTCCATGTCCGGTGGCCCGCTGACCGAGGCTCGTTGTCTTGCGCTGGTATGGGCGGTGGGACAAGGTTGGGTTCTTCGTTAGTTAACTCATGTATAGAGGTGTTTTGGGGTCGGACTGGGGCCTGCAAATTGCCCAACTCGCAGGTTTCGTCCATGTTGAGCTTGGGCGTAACAGACACTGCAGTGTTTGGATGCTTGAGCTGTAGCCAGAGTAAAGATTGGAGGGAGCTGCTTGTTGGATATATGCAGCTCAAGTACTATATTGCGCTAGTGCGTTTGTAGTTGCAAAGATAGAATTAATCGACTACGCTTTATAATAGACAGTCGATTAAGCCATCACAGCCGAAACCAATCCTCATGGTATCTAATGAGATAATTTAATTTTCTCGTCATTGTCCCAATCTTCCAAAAGCAATGCAATTGAAAATCGTTGTAACTGTTGGAACTGCCGTAGCATGAGTGGACCCGGTGTGTGACTCGACCCGGTGAGTGACTCAAATCCCCTACCGGATCCTACAATACAACCAACATTTGAATGCGAGGTATAGGAGTAGCTTCGTTTTCTCTCCCCAAGAGTACGGCCAGGCCGCAGAAATGCTGCTTACATGTACTCACCTTTGACGGTCATTTAATTTAACACAGCCAGTGTATTTGCCCTATGCGATGCCAGCCGTGTAACATTAATTTCTTTTTTTTTCGGCGATCATCTCAAATCTATAAGTATTTAATAACGTAATTACTGGGCACTTTCTCTTTTCACTCTATTATCAACATCCTCATCTGAACAGCCCGTGACAAAGGTCTCGCGGATTACATAAATATTTGCATAGTCAACTTGAAACTGTCTTCTTCTGGGTCACTTTCTAGCGTGACATATTTAGAATGGATGAACTACCATGGACCGTTGAACAAATCCTCGCTACTGGCATCATGGACTCGGAGTTCGAAACCGCTTGGAAAGCCAATGGCTCGCCGCCAGGACATATTCCTAGCGATATTCCCACATTCCAGAAAACCGTTCAGGCAACCCTACCCAGTGCTCAGCGAATGCTCGCAGCGAGCCGACCGACGAACATTGTTGAGAGAGAATACAATATACCAGTCGACGACACCTTTTCATCTCGCACAATCGTCTGCCAGTCCGCTTTGTCTAATACCATTCCATCCCCTATTGTGATTCTTATTCATGGCGGCGGCCACTGCGTTGGATATCCGGAGATGGAGCTTACCACCGCTCGGGAATTGGTATTGGCACATAACGCCACTTGCATTTTGCCGTCCTACCGCCTTGCACCAGATTATCCTTTCCCTACCGACGTTAACGATATATTCGCAGTGGTGCAGTATATCGCATGCAAGGCAGCTGAGAAAGACAGAGTCATTCTACCTGCAAATGCCGACCCGAAGAAGGGTTTCATTATTGGGGGGCTTTCAGCAGGGGCAGCCATCAGCAATAAGGTGGCACAACTTGCTCGGGATCTAGAGCCTCCACTTACTGGGCAGTTTCTAGCGTGTGGGATTTATATCGACCCTGGTAGTGTTCCCGATCAGTACAAGGAACTCTATCTCTCCATGGAACAAAACAAGTATGCCCCAATCTTTGACACAGCATCTCTGAAACAATACATGAACGCGTACAATGGGGACAAGTCATCGCCACTCAGCAATCCATTTTCTATCAGCCAACAATCTCACCCCAACGTCGGTGTAACTGGACATAAATTCCTGCCGCCTGTCTATTTCCAAGTCGCCGGGATGGATCCTGCTCGGGACGACAGTCTTATTTACGAGCGTATTCTGAGGGAAGAGTGCGGAGTACCTACAAGAATAGATACATATTGCGGTGTTCCTCATGGATTTTGGACAATGTATCCAGATCTAGCAGCTACCCGAAGACGAATGCGAGACACTGTAGATGGCATCGGTTGGTTATTAGGGATAAACAACTAGTTAGTTAGTTCTAAATTCAATTTAGTTATCAATCTCAGATATAACTCTCCAAAAGGTAAATAGCAGAATTACTAGTTGCAAGGTAGTATTAATATGTCAATAAACCTGGCCAATGCGGCCAATTACATGGCATGTCGCCAACTCTGCTCCATCAAGGCTTGCGGCCTGGATCGTCGAACAACCATGCCCTCTCTCTTATAATATTTGCTTCACACAACTGTCACTACTGAGTAAATCCGTCAGTGCGTCCATGCAGTCTTCGTTCGTGGCTTCGGCGACCCTCAAGCGATGGCTTAGACTCAATCTTGCCAATACTCCAAGCATTGCACTACACTTCAACCCATGCCGTAACGCTACCGTGCTGAATCAGCAGGCTCTCTACATGAGTGAGGGATGCCTGGTTTGTCGTTATTTTCAGCTAATTAGTCAAGGTAGATCCATATCGACATCTGATGAGGACGGCGAATCCAATACTAGCTTGATCATCTAAGCTGTAAGTAGAATATTAGCTGTATATATAGAGTCTCAACTATGTAACCATGGAATTCGGGATCACAGCATTCTCAGCGCGTGGTAACTTGGATGTGGATGATTCCTAGGAAAGTAGGTAGAAACTATGGGGCCTATATACCACCCGACAGATGAAATGATACTAGGCGCATGTTGGAGAATAATTGCCCTGAATCAAACTTTCAAAACCAGCGAAATGATCTTTTTTTTTTTTTCACTTGAATGCAACAAAGAGAATATTCGGTCATTGGACTCTTAAGTGCTGTCATATCTACATTGATTGGTGTTGAAGTGTGGAGTTTAACGAGTTTGAGCCCCTGCATAGTCTAAATCTCCGCTTCTTTACGACCTCTCAGAGACATATTGGGGTAGGCCGTCCCAACTTGTGAGCCAATGACAGGGTAGCTGTTCTCTTAGGCTTTTTGATGCGACCAATTCTGCGCCAATTTCCCGATAGGCATATCATGGTCGGAGAAAGACAAGTTGTGATTATCAGCTTGACTAAGCCAGGAGTAGCCGGAAAGCAGATAGATGTTCTTATTCATAGTTAGATCACCCAAGTTGCCCCATATGCACACCACTGTCCGAATTCATACCTAGACACTTTGCTTACTACAAGTATGTGGCAAAAGTTACAAACAAGGGCCTTCGAGTTACAAATAGTGGCCAAAAGTCTGCGAACACATTACAGTGCACCACCCAACTCCACCAAAAATCTATATTATAAATAACCACATAATATTATTAACATAAGTTAAAGTGTAATAATAAAAATAATTTATAATAAATAATTTATTAATAATTTATAATATAGATATATATATATATATATATTTAGTTTAGTGTAGATTTTTAAAGCATTTTACCCTTAAAAATTAAAGTAAAATAATATCATAGTTTTATCACTGAAGATAATATCTATTATTACTACTGTATTTCCCACTGTAACCCACTATAAATATATATTTTATAAGTGTAAAACTATATAAAATATACAGTATAATTACAATATTTTTAGGCATATATAAAATATAATAGTATTTTAGTAATATATTTTAAAGAGATGTTTTAATTAATTTTTAGGATTTTTTCTATATTTTTAAAGTGGACTGATTTCTTGGTGTAAATACATAGTAAAAATAACGTCGTGTTCGCAGACTTTTGGCCTTAAGTGCACTACCAGCTCGGGAAACAAGACATATTCCAGAATTAACGTAGTGTCCACCTACTCCGTACATCCGACATAAGCTACAGTAACTCATTATGACAGTACTAGTATTAGTGATTTCTAGGGCTAGCGCTCACTTAAATCGGCCCGAGCCACGGGCGGAAACCCCCTTTCCCGTACGATATACATACGATACGGTGTAGGTGAAGCTTCACGTTATTTCACCTGGATGCGAACAGCAAGAGACATGGATATGAATATCTTAGGTAACATTCTATCTGCCTTTACTCCGTATCTCATTGAAGGTGCTAAGGCAGGATTTATGTACCTTTCTGACATCTAGCCAATCAAAAGGTAAGAAAATCCAGCGTACATTGCTCGTGCGCTAAAATGCGTGAAGGAATAAGTCCCCTGTATCTCACATACGAGTAAACTTATGAATACTTTAGACCTAGCAGCATCCCGCTTATAACAGGGAATTTTAGCGCTAAGTCTGTTGCAAGTTAAGTCTAGAAAGGTACCGTCTTGCTGACAAGAAAGTACAAAAATCCTGCCGTAGCACCTTCAATGAGATATGAGTATGTCTCTGGCGGTCCCCGAGAAGGGAGGGGCGAGGTGAGAAATTGTTTACGAATACTTAAAGGCAACTTGATCCTGCTGTGGTAGGATGTGATTCTACACATTCACCACATCATCTCTGCACTACTTGATATATCCATCATGCGGATCACAAGGCTAACCTTTACGGCAGCACACTTACTTATTCCTGCCGCTGCCAGTGGCTCAACGTTTAACTGCCAGCCTGGGCAGTCTTGCTGGCCCACCATCTCGGAGTGGCAGGCTTTCAATCGAAGCGTCTCAGGATCTCTAAGAGTCACAGTCCCAATTGGTAGCGTCTGCTTCCCTAGCTCGCCTAATTTCGACGATGACGCGTGTGCTACCGTCAAGGCAAACTATATGAATGGCACCTTTCGGGAATCATCTAATGGAGCGCTGCAAAATACGGAGTGGGAGGCATGTGGCTCCGCAAATTGCTACCCTGGGGTCTTCGCACCACAGGGCCAGACATGCTCCCTAGGAAGACTCTCTCCGCTACAGGTGAATGTCCAAAACAGTCAAGATATTACAACTACTTTGGCGTTTGTTCGGAAATACGGCATTCGAATGGTGGTCAAGAATACTGGACATGACTTTCTTGGTCGGAGCAGTGCAGCAAATACCCTTCTCCTCAGCACTCATAATTTGAAGAATATGGCATTCAAATCCTCCTTCACTCTCAAAAATTGCCCTGCTGCAAGCAGTAAGCACAATATTGGCATTATAGGAGCTGGCGTTATTGCAGAGGAAGCTGTGGACTTTTTCGACCAGCACAATATGATGGTTACCATTGGCGGCTGCTCTACCGTGGGCATCGCTGGAGGATTTGGTCAAGGCGCAGGCCACGGTCCTCTAACACCCACTTATGGACTGATGGTAGATCAGGCGGTTGAGTTTGACGTTGTCACAGCTGACGGAGTTTTCCGGACCATCAACGAATGCAATGACCCGGATCTCTTCTGGGCAATGCGAGGTGGTGGTGGACAGTCATATGCTATCCTCGTCAACTACAAGTTCCAGCTGTATCCCGAGACACAATGGGCCGTATGGCGCCTAGAAGCGACCTTCAATGATACCGATCCAGACTACACAAAGAGCACAGTCTTGCGTGACGTTCTTACAGAGCTGGCTAAGGAGCAGACCAACTGGTCAAAGCATCACGTTGCTAGTTACCGCTCCGTTTCAGCGGCTAGTTTCAGATTCCTCGAGGTTCTACCTGTTGGCCAAGACCCCCTGGGGACGATAAAGCAACTTACATCGAAGTACAACACTTTCCTTACTGGCCATGCAGGACTCAATATTACAGTCAACGGCTACTTTTTGTATAATAGTGAGAAGGGCTTCTACACTGGTCAGGCAGATTACCTGGCAGCCGCCGGTATTGTTGGCATTTCCGCCTTGACTCCAAGTCGCCTCATCACCACCGATAATTTTGAGACCCTTGCAAAGGTGGACGCCCTCGTCAGTGGCGTCCTACTAGGCATGGAGACTGCCCGTCAGGAACTGGGTGGCGCTCTGGGCACTACATTCACGGCTGTCATCCTGGCGACTGGAGCGAGCAATACACCTGATGCGCAAAACGCAACCAGCGCCAATCCTGCATGGCGAAATACTCTCTGGCATTTCATCGCCGCGGCAGGTTGGTCTCCCGGCTCTCCTGATGCCACCGGTGATCAGGCTGTGGCAGCTGCCCGTGCTGCTCTGGGAGAGATCAAAAAGCCACTTACTGTGCAGGCCTCGTACATGAACGAAGCAGATCCGGGAGAGGTTGACTGGCAGAATCTCTTCTTTGGTGAAAATTACGATAAGCTGCTTGCGATTAAGCAAAAGTATGATCCTGATACGCTGCTGAATTGCAAGGGCTGCGTGGGCTACCTTGGAGATGAGGACCCTATGTATTCTTGCTATTCAGATAATCCTGTCCCATCAACGCCGTATCCGTTTAACTAAGAGGGTCGTCATTATTGACATCAATTACACAAGTGTCTACCCGTGGGTGTATCGAATTGGTAGGGCAGCTGATAGAGAACTTTGAAAGTGGATATTATGGAGGTGTAGAATGGAAGATGATAAAAATTCTTACAAGTTTAGTATATTGATACTTCAACGATGGACCCAGGAAACAAAGGAATACTATACATGTAGCTATAGGCTATTCCTTATTCGTCCATGATATGTTCCGCTATTGTTTAAATAGTCCAACGATAGACAAAACATTCATCCCGTAAGCGAGACTATCGGGACACCTCATCAATGAGAGTTGATAGTTGAGAAATGCCATTACCCGATCGTACTTCCTTCAAATCTCTACATATAATATGAGAGGTTTATCCTGTCTCCTCATCATCTGAAATAGTTCTGCGTAAGAATTATTGAGGTCGTCTTTCTGGTAAAGTACCTAAGTTTAATACTAGCAGTGAGAGAACGATTAACGGGCGAGTCTGGGAAGTAGGAAGTAGCTTGCTTAAAAGTCACTCGTTTGTTAAACTTATTTCCAACGTGTAAGGTTTTCTTTCAATTACTATTCGATTTTCTTCTGGTCTCTACAGATACAAACTTACTTAGCAACCTCAAATTGTTGTTTCCAAATCGTCGTATCCAAAATTGGTATAACTATGACTAGCATTGATGGCATCTTTTTCGCAGAATTACATTAGGAGAGTTATTACATAGTCGGTGCAGTCCACAGCTCTTCCCATGACAGCATGTACGTTTGATTTGACGGGTGCTGTGAATTTCGCTATTTGGTGGATGATTCTATAAAAACCAAAAGCAAGCAATCATGCGTCTCATAAAGCCATGAAAGATTCCAATTATGCAAAATTTAATCAATTCAATATAAAGATTGGCATTCTCCCAGTAGGTTTAAACGACGTGCAGTTTATTCTTCATTTTGTTGCGCCTGTTCATTGTACAGGCCAGAAATATACCCACCGTCAACAGTGTAAAAACTACTGCAGCAAGCCCAAAGACCCAAAAATCTGGTGACACTGTCGTCGTATTGTCGCCCTGCCCTCTCCATTGGAAGAATCCCATTGAGAAGAAAGTCTGCAATTTGATTGTCAGTAAACCAAATCCAGACTGTCTTTCGGATGACATACACAAACAAATGTCGCTGGTAGATAGATCATTCCGAGAACGGCAATAGACTTCATAAGACTTCCGTCTCGTTGAGCCGTCTCTGCTACTGCCAGGCTGCTTCTCGATATGTTTTCGTTTAACCTTGCATCTTTCCTACCGATATTGTTGAGGTCCTATTGAGAGTAGCTGTCAGTGATCAGTTACCTGGTAGTAAAAAGATTTAGAAGATATTAACCAGCTGCGTCGCAAGCGACATTCCCGCCATAATGTGATCACATTCTCGTATGAAATCGTCATATTCATCAATCAAATCGCGTAGTCTTTCCTTGATTCGTTTACCGCATTCCTTCAATCTGTCTCGTCTACTAGTCCAGACTTTAGTTGGGACAAAGTTTATATCTTCGAGCTCTTGAGTGTGGTCAAACATCTTGCGTAGTTGTGTTTTCCAGTTTTCCAGGCCGTTTTTGAGATGGCTAATTTTAATCCAAAGCATTGCGCATGTTTCAACATCTTCTTCGATACCAGAGTCGCTCTCGTTCTGCAAAGTGTCCGACTTTTCTAAGGTATTAAATGTTGCTGATATCATAAGAGCATTTAGATGAGCACTTCATAAATCTGATGCAAGTTTTCTCTCACATGGTGTGGATAGGGTTTTGCCCGATAGAAAAGTTCCAACTCTTCCCTTCATATCGTTAAAGAATGTGCTTGCCCTCGACGATGGATAGTCTTTTTCTATTGACTGCCGAATTTCCCGACTGGTTTGTTGCATCCCATAGAACGTATCGTTTCGCGATTCAATATCGATCATCCTTTGTACGAACTGAGTATTACTTTTGCGCACGAGGTTAACATGCCTGTCCCTCTCAAATTCTGCAAATATAGTGGGCAACATCATAGGATGAAAGACCTCTCCATCAAATTCGCTCAGTCTGCTTGTAATAATCGCGGAATCTGTCAGTTCATGGCCATCAATTAAATGCTTCTTCAAGTTGCAACCGAACCAGATAGCATTTGTGATCAAGGTATCTGGAAAGAATGTTACAGATAAGGCCATATCGTCGTCCCAGCTTTCAGCTGTTCTACATGTATAGACTACTACTATGTGAGTATAAGCTACCTATTCAGGTAATCAAAGAGGCATACCTATTGAGCGAGGGCTTGATTTCTTAACTTCCAATATCATCCTTGAGAAGGTGCAGCTTGTGTTTCTATTGATTGCACGTATGATCGACCTGTGAATTTTCCATTTGCTCATCAGTTTCGTTAAGATGATCTCCGAAAAGGGCATAGTAGATAGAGAGGATGTCCTTCCGCCCATAATCAAATTAATACTACTAAAAATCTCTGTGCTTTGGCCTGTTGGGCCATCATCCACTTCGTCTGGATATGAAGATGTAGCTGATAACCCTTCTGTTTTATGGGTCCATTTTTCCCAATTATCATCAGCTTTTAGGTGTAACAACTCGCTGCAACGTTCTCCACCATTAAGAAAACAGCCTTTACATCCCCGGTCATGTTTGTTAATCCTGAATAAATCATTTTCAGTTGCCGAATATCTCAGTAACTTTTTGTCGTCCTCGTCAGGCTCAGCCTTCTGGTTTAACCAAGTCATCTTTGGTGATATATTTTGAATGTGTGAAAATAGATGCGTATCCAACGGTGTGTAGGAAAACTCGAAGTCCGCAAAGGCCTTGAGAGTGTGTGTGCATATCCATTGTCTGCTGACCACACTCCGATAGCCTTCATATATAGACTCCACCCAGGTGGCTGCATATATGTATCACCATGGTGCCCTTTTGTAAGTGCGTTAGGCAGAAGTTGACGTATTTAATTTAATTTTAGAAGCTAAGAGGAGACCGGTGAAGGCCAGCCAATGAAACTCCTGATCGAAGGCCCTGCCCTCAAATTATTGGGGGTGGTTGCATGTATATGCAGCCTGACATTCTGCCCAACTACCTATTGCATGCTATTGCATATCACAGTCGGGGATGTAATACATATCTACTCTTGGCAGTGGACGCTTCTGACCACACCAAGGCGCAAACACGAATCGCGCATTGATTAAGCTGACTGAGGACCGGAAGAGGAGGTGGCATGGCAAACTTGATCATAGACGAATTCTTTGATGACATGGCACGGCTCGGACCACGAGTCGGCCTATTATGTCATGTGTCCATCTCTAAGTAGTGTCACCACCACCACTTGCACGCCAGCAAAATGCTTCAATCCAGAGCCTGATTTTTCTTGAGCGCAAAAGGATCAGGATTAAAGAAGCGACTGAAGGAGTCATAGCAGCGTGTCCGGACAAAACACAGCTCACGCCTTATTGCCACCCACCACTTCGCAAAAATGTTGACACAAGTTATCGCCATAGATTATGGCTCAAAGGAGAGGCTGCAAGAAATTCTTGAAGACATACTCGGCGAAGAGAACTTCAAACTTGTGCAGGTAATGGTCTTTTTTCTTTTAGTACTTTTGCTCTAACAAGCGCAGAATCCCTAATCCCATCAGCAGCGCATCTCAAATCAATGGCAGATCAAGCTAGTAAGACGACTGACGGTCGTATGACACCTCCATCTGAGGGAATATATATCATCATTCTGACAATCGAGCAACCAACAGGAGGAGATTGAGAAGATCCGGATGCATATGAGAGTCCATTACCTTCCAACTGTCTGACTGTGGCGACAAAGACTACGGAGTGGCTTAATGTGCCGTCCTTCTCAATGTATCCAGTACCAGTGGCCAACTACACTACAAGGAGTTCGTCAGGCGTTCTGTATGTATCTCGAAATGATTGTGCTAGTCAAGTTTGTTCCTCATTTTCTCAAAATCTAACTGAATTGTCGGAGCACACCATCTAGAGCTAGTCTTGGTGGTAGGGGTATTGGGAGTAGTAGCACCGAAAACATGCAGGCTATGAAAACACATAGAAGAACCAATAATATGATGCAAGATTCGTCATTAATTAAAGTATAAATGGATCGATCGTCATCGCAGTATAAATTCTAGTAGCCCAAGGAGTAGCATGTGCGAATTTCCGTCTCACTGAGCGTGCCGGGTGCTCGGATACGATACTCATTAGAACGCATCTTTGCGTAGTTAGTAAAATATTATTGAGAAGCGATATGAGGCAAATTTTGTAGAGAGTGTTATGGACTTACCTCAACGGCATACTGGTTTTGATAATTTCTTTTCAGAGCGGCTTCTAGTCGCTCGGGAACAATGTACTCCCCAGATATGCATTGCGGCGGATTATTTCTCCATGCTTGAGAGGCTCTCATGTTTGAGCGGTCCGTCCGTGGAGGTTGTAGGGGGCGTCGAAGAGCAGCCACGAGTCTATCCACTCCTGAATGTGTTTTGTGTTCCATAGTATTGACAGCTTTTTCTTTTTTAAAAAAAAATTGTAAAGAAAAAATTAGCGTTAGAGATTCATATTCAGGTGGAGTAAGGAAAAACTGGACTTTATATTTTTCCTGAGAAAATTGCCTCTGTCTCTAGGATGTGCTGCTGAGTCGCATGTGAGACACAAGCGGGACCAGACCTGAGTCCGAGATGCATCAAGGGAACCACCTTGGTACGACATTGGTCGCCTCATGAAAGGCAACTTTAAGGCGTTCGGGGGGATGAAAAGGACCGGGTACCATTATATATATTAAATGCGGATTATACATATGCGGCCTGAATAAGAAGCTGAATGAGCGTTGTGGCTCCTCGTTGGCCAGCAGTTCACTTGTGGAGGCTGTGTCGTGGCAAAATAGCACTCGCCCTTGATGAAAGGTGACACACGGCATGGTATTATGGTGTGCTCAATCCAGCCAATTCGCAGCCGGCTATTCTCGGTGCATACTGTTCAGAATTAGCCGCTGCGGCCATGAAAAACAGACGAGGCTCCCAACCGCTCCCTCACCGAACGACCCTTTGATTGGTTACATGGTGCCAAGGCTGCGGCCAGTCCATGACCTGCATCAATATATGTCTCAAAATACGAATTTTGGGGGTATCTCATTGGAGAGAAAGAACGTTTCACATGAGGTAGAGGAATATCCTGCCTGGTAAACGCTCAGGAACGACCCAGGACTTGAAAAGCCATCTTGTACGAGCCATGTGTCCGGAGAACGGCATGTCTTACAGAATAACTCAATAACCTATTTTTGAGTATTATTTGGTGAGTCTGATAGACTTTATAGACAGCACAGGAAACGTCTTGCTTAAGTTGAAATGTTGAGGGCAGCACTTTTGAGGGGAATGCTTCAACGTTAATGCTGGACCATCTAAAGCCTCGAAGCAGGAAAATTAGGTGTGACAAAGGAGGGAGGCTGTAGGCAGCTATTGCTTCTAAGGGTGGGATAATATCAATAACCATGTCAAGGGGGTTGTTGAGCATTAAGTGCTGCTCACAGATAAAAAAAAAAAGAAAAAAAATAGGCCACCGAATCCTACCAACCAATTCACAGATAAACAGCCACATGCTTAATTTAATAAATGAAGTGACGAGGGCCTAAACGATCAGGGGGCCAGTGCCATCAATCCCCCTTTTTGGTAGTAGAAATAGAATAGTTGTTAGCAACGTCCGTATGATGGGATCTCCTCTCTACTCGTACAACCTCGATTCGATCACAACAAAGACCGCCTGCTACAGAGCTATCTTTGCATCGCGTTAAGCTTTGTCTATTTGTCTCCCTTTCTATATACATTATATGCATCATACTATGTCGACCAGTAACACCGCCCTCGCGAACGGAAGCATATCCAGCACCGACGGTAACACGTTCAGCACCGACGGTAACACAACTAATAAGAACGGTAACACATTTAACACGAAGGACAACATACCCAACACGAACGGCAACACATCCAACACGAACGGCAACATACCCAACACGAGCGGCAACATACCCAACACGAACGGCAACACATCCAACACGAACGGCAACATACCCAACACGAACGGCAACACATCCAACAGTTTAATAAAACTCCTTAGGGATGCTTGCGTGATCAACCCACGCGACAAGAAATCTTTTATACCGCATCGACAACTGGAAAAAATATGTAATAAGCAAGCAGTTACGCACGCATTAGCTACAGCATTCCCAGAGAAAGATGCCAGTTTTCACGAAGATTGTGCATTAGAAATATGTCATGGGAAAGCCCCTGCTTCCTCAGTTGATATTCCAGAAGGCCTAAATGCCGCCGGCGCCGCCTTCTCCGAATCTGGACAGAGCGGATGTACCATAGACCAACAATCCGAGACCAAGAACGGTACCCGATCATGTCTCAAAATATTTGCCATTCTTGTTCTTCTGAAAGAAGTTAGGCTTATAAAGTCATTTCTGGATCATCCACTCTGCGATAACGATCTCCCGCTTTTCAGTACGGACAGATTCACAGAGTTGTGGTCTCCTCGAGAGGACCCCATAAGCCCTGTGAAACTTCCTGACGAGGCCGATCATTATGCGATTATTAAAGGGTTTATTGATCAGCAGTGGTCTGTCTTGGCACCGCGTTTTAGTCTTCCTACAGACAAGACAAAACGATGCGAAGTGTATGAGCTCCATGAGAATCACATATTACCCATCGAATGGATCTCCGATAGGAAATTCAGTGGCGGGTTTGGGTTGGTGGAAAAGGTTAGGATACACAGTGAGCATCATAACTTTGTAAGCTTCCTGCTATTGGTACGGATATACCTTTGACCTCAATCATGCTAACCAAAGCCACAGAAGCACAAATCATTTGCTCTAAAAACTATGCATCTGTTGAGACCCGAAGAAATAGCTATCTTCTTTCAGCAGGAATTAGACGCTTTCCAGAATGTTACACCAGGCGGTCACATCATAGATATATGTGCCGCTTTCAAGAAGGGGGATAGTCGCGGCTTTCTTTTCCCGTGGGCAGAAGGAGGTAGCCTCAAAAATTTATGGTCCACTTCGCCACGCCATATCGTCGAGCCCGCAAGAGTTGGATGGTATGCCTTCAGCCGGTGGATTTGCGAACAGTGCCACGGCATCATCCGGGATCTCAGGAAGATCCATGAGCCGTCCGATATGTTCCCTAGCGATGACGTCGAAAGTCTCTTCGGGATCCACAGCGACATCAAGCCAGACAACATCTTATACTTTAGTGACGATGGCTTGCCATTAGGAACGCTGAAGGTCTCGGATCTAGGCCTCATGAAGTTCCACAGACAATTCTCGCGGACTAAGTTCTCTGCATCTATGGGTAATGCCTACCAAACTTACAGAGCGCCAGAGCATGACACTAGTAGGATGAGATCTAGGAAAATTGATATCTGGGCATTTGGTTGTCTGTTCGCCGAATTCATAACCTGGGCGATCGGCGGTAATCACGCAATTGAATTGTTCAAAACAAATCGAATAAATGAGGACAAAGACTATCCTGATCCTGATGAAACCAATGGCGAGTGGTCGGAAGACAACTTCTTCATCATCAAGAGATCTCTCTTCCCTCCATACGGAAAGGCAAAACGGAAGAGTTCAGTTAAGGAGGTATGTTGAATAATAAATTCACCGTGCTATTCGAAGCAGATATGTTACTTCATCATTTCTTGGCAGGTTCGCTGACTATTTCTCAAGTGGTTCAAAGCTCTCATTGCTTATTTGGGTCCAGAGATGGCAGGCACTTTCTTCCCTGAATTCCTACGTTTCATCCAAAAATGGATGCTTCAGCCCGAGAGAAATAAACGAGCACAATGCTCAGAGGTGGAAATGTTCTTAAAGAAATGTTTGGACAATAATCAACCCGATAGTTCATATTGGCATTTTAGTGGAACAGTGCAAGGACAGAATGATGCCAGTCAGGGCACGACAAAAATAGGCACTTCGTAGTAACTATGGATCCTTCCAATCCATAGCTGCAACTTGAGCATTCTGAAAAAAAAAGGGACCCAAGCATCGTCCGCAATAGATTCAATTATATTTTTTCTTCACTTTAATATCGTGGCTCTAGTGGCGCAAATAAAATATATGCAGTCCTACCATACCAGCTCCCTAGTTCATCACCTGTACCCATATGAGATACGACGTCTTATATTTCTATTACTTCCCTGATGTGCAACATGGCCTTACACCCACTACACTTCATGTGCTGCAAACTTGCCGCAAGTCTACATAAATCTTAGCAACTCATATGTCAAACGCCTAGCAGGTGTGAACAAATATGTCAGCGAAGACCATGATGCAGGATAGGAGGCCGGCTTCTACCGTTGCCTCGACACTTGCAACTGCTTTGCCAACTCTGATACCATTAAAGTCGCTCGATAGCTTCTGGAGGCCTTCATTAATACCCGACAAGATCTCACCTTCCTCATATATGGCGCCCAATAGAAGTTTAATCAGCTCATCGTCTTTGTCATGACTATTGTTCGGCAAGACAGGGAAAATGCATTTAGCCGTAACATCACAAACTCGGGGATTCGCCCAAGAATTGGGGCAACAATTCGAACTAGCCTACTCTAGAAGACACGAAGAAATTGACAGTAGTCAAGAATAGCAAAGTTCCTCCCAAAAGACGCTATTCTCATCGATACAGAGCCCACACAAATGAGCTTGAAGTGACGCGTAATGTTAGTGTTGGAAAGCTGGTGCCCAAGCGTAGAGCTTGATGAGCTTATGCAACACCTACTTCTTCTTGATATCATTCCACTGACAAAAAGATATAATGGATCAGATATATCTCATTGAAGCAGGCCCGTTATTTAAAAAGCATGGTGGATGGCTCATGCCGCAAGTAAAGTTATAAAGAGGGAAGATGAGAAAGAGCCCATCTGGTATTAGTCTACACCAATCATATTTTCGCGTCAATACCATGCAAGCATATCCTCTCCCGATCATCCTTTATCACTCAAAATTAGAACATGAAATCATCTATCAAATAAAGCATTGCGCCGCCCCCTATCTAATGGTACCAAGTTGATACACTAAGCTAACGACGGAGGCCACGCCTAAGCTATTTAGTGATTGTCGTCTATAAGTTTAGCCTTGCATTATTATTTTGTATCGCCCAGATCACCCCGAAGCCAACTCATCACCACAGAAAGCATCTGAACTGTCCGTACTTCTTTTTTCTTGTTTTCCAGGGGCAGATACACTCAGACAAATTCACGTATATCCCGCGGCGCTTTCCAAGCCACGGGGTCTTGTCGCAGTAATCCGCACACGTGCCGTCATGGAGTCAATTTCCGGCAGCAGGGCCGACAGCTTCATCGATCTCTAGTGTGGGCTTCTCTTTTTTTTGATGGACCTTAATCCAAAGTCCTAAGATGCCTCATCTTTTCTTCCGTCTTGTCTTCACAAAAATCGTTCTCAAAAACAGATGTAAGCGGTCAAGGGTGAAGTCTAAAAAGACTATATGCCAACAGTTTCGTAAATCCTCGATTAGCTGGCAATGTTGTAGATGCTGCGAAATTGTCAATCAACAGTCCAACTTCAAATGAGTCAGTCCTTTACTCACTTGATGTCTTCCCGGTATGATGGGCTCTTGACGCCATTTCTGGCATCAGCACCCTGTTGGCCGGGTGCCACGTTGACGACGCCGCCATTCGCAATCAACATGGCTTCCGAGCAGTTGACGGTTTTTCTCTTCTTGTTCTTGCCTCGGAGTTGGCTAATGTGCTCGAAGTAGCCATCGGGCACCTCGGTGATGTACTTTCCAGAGAAAACTCCCACTTCAAACTCCTTCACCTCGCTCGAATCGTCAGCTGCTTCGGTGCAGGCATCCTTGAGATCCTCCAAGCTCTGGAAGATGACTTTATCGGCTTGGATGTTCTCGGCCACCTCTTCAGTGGTTCTGTTGTACGCTACCAGTTCTATAGGCACGATGGTCAGCAGGTCGTCAGAGGTATGGGGGACGTCAAGGAACATTTCTTACCATCGGGGTCGGCAAGGTCAATACCGTACTTTAAAAAGCATTCTAGGTTAGTATTATTCAAGACACAGGCCAGGCTCACACTTACAATGTGCTGGTTCATAATCTCGGGAGAGCATGAGACGACATAAACACGAGTTGCTCCAGCTTCTCTCGCCATTTGAACCTAAAGCCAAAAGTCAGTCACAGCGAATAACAAAAGTAGTTCCAGCAGAAGCAGCCGTGACTACTCATGGTGAACAGTCCACATACAATCTCTCGCGATGTGTTTCCTCGGACGATGGAGTCATCAACGATGCAAATAGCCTTTCCATTGAACTCGGATTCGATGGGGGAGAGCTTTCGGCGGATGCCCTTCTTTCGCGCCTCTTGGCCGGGCAGGATGAATGTGCGGAAGACTAAACTAAGGTTAGCTTAAGATGCCCATACCCAAGCTTCGAGTATCTCACCATAGCGATTCTTCACGAAAGCGTTTGAGTAGGGTCGGTCCAAGCAGCTTGCAAGAGTAGCCGCGGCAGTGTTACTAGTCTGGTGATTTGGTTAGCCGATGATTCTGAACAGATAAGCAACTCTTTGCGCGTGTCTTGTAAATTGAAGTAAGCTTTACCTCTGGAACCGGGATGACTAAAGAGAAATTGTATCAGCATGATTGTTCATGATTCTCCAAATGATTCATATACGTACCAACGTCAATCTCTTCAATCTCCTTTGCAGTCAAGACTTCCCTCATCTTCTTGGCCAGCTTGACACCCATGTTTTGCCGGCTTCGGTGGACAGAAATTCCGTCAATGCAGCTATCAGGACGAGCCAGGTAAACGTATTCGAAGACGTCGGGAGTGTACGATCTTGGCTCCACGATTTGGCGGAAGTGAACACTGCCATTCTTCTGGCAGAAGACGGCCTGACCAGGCTTGATGTCGATGATGTCGGTAAATCCAAGCTGTCTGAGAGCAACAGATTCCGAGGCGAGGAAGTAATCTTTGGCTCCAGGGAGGGTCTGGGAGGGTCGAGAGCCAAAGCAAAGAGGTCGAATGCCGTTTGCATCCCTGTAGTTCGCAAGAACGTTGGTCAAATTTCCAACTTGAGTGTCAACAAGGCTAAATCAGCATACCTGAAACCCAGGATACCAAAACCAGTAACCATGGCAGTGCAAGCATAAGCTCCAGCGCACTTGGCATAGACCTCACGCAGGGAGGCGAAGATGTCGTCGACGTTTACTCGAGCCTTGCCAAGCTCATTAAGCGCATGTGCGAAAACGTTGAGCCTACGTTTGAGGAGTCAGCGAGCCGCTTTAAAAGGCATCTTCTAGCCACTCGATAATCATGGGAATGAATGAACGCACAATAGCTCAGAATCGGAGTCCGAGTTGACATGTCGGCGAGCTTCGTTGTCCAGGAACTCGCGAAGGTAGTCGGGGTTGATGAGGTTTCCGTTGACGCTGATGGACAGACCAAATGGGGAGTTTACGTAAAGAGGCTGCGCTTCAGATCTACGATTCTATCGTGTTAGCATATTCTCGAAACATCAAGGTTGGAAAAGCACATACGCAGACGAAGTGCCGGCAGTGGGATAGCGGACGTGGGCAATTCCGAAAGCACCGGGCAGCTGCTCCAGGAGAGCAAGTCCGTCGAATTCAGAAAAGACCTTTTGGGCCATTCCGAGACCCTTCCTCTGATAAACTCGACCTCCGTTGCAAACCGAGATACCGGCAGCATCCTGGCCTCGCTATTTTCCCCTATTAGCTCGAGCAACAAGCCTGTTCAAGTCCAAGATTCAACTTGCGTGTTGCAGGTAAAACAGACTCTCGTGGAGTTCGATGGCAGCCGTAGTGGCCTCCGGATCGCCGAGCTGGATTCAGGAGTTCCAGAGTTAGCAAAGACCCATGCAGCGTTGCAGCGAGATCCCTTCAGAGACGAACCATCAAACCAGTGACGCCACACATCTTGACGGTGATTGCAGCGGGTTTCAGCTGGTATATCCAATCCTAAACCAATCAGACGAGACGACGGCAACGCAAAGATGCGTCACGAAAGTGCAATGGAAGCTGGTCGCGATGGGGGTTCGGCGCAAAACGTCTCGGCTGAGGACAAGTTTTGGCGCAAGAGAGTCGAGATTCGCGATTTCGGAAGCTTTCCAGGTTTTTTTTTTTTTTTTTAACCCCGCAGGATCTGCCAGACTAGTCCATCACGGCCTGCAAGGGAACGTGGGGTTCACACAATATCCCACCAAAAACTTAGTGAGGTCAGGCCCGTGCCCTTCTGAGTTTGGGCGAAGAATGGAGGGAATTGATGGGAATTTAATTGATCCAGTCCCCTGTCGAGGCGTTTCTAGTGCTTTCCGACGCTGCTCTCGCCGCTGTAATGCTTTACAAAGAATTCGAAGACGGAGAAGAGGCGCAAAGTCGGGCTGTTCGGCAAAGTGGCAAAAAAATTGCCTCCGATATCACCCTCACTTTGAACAGTGGGGACGCGGCAAGATAACAGCTGTGAGCCAATGCCGGAGAAAGAAGTAGACAGCCGCATGGAAAACACCTGCAGACGATCAAAGTGATATCTTACATGTGTTGATGAATGCAGGCGATGATGAGATGCAGCGCGCTTTAAAAAAAAATTGGCATCGTGTAAGTGCGCATCTCCGTGATACAGCTGCTATTTTATATTGACATTACACAAGGATGGATACAGAGGCGTTACACTTGTGGAGAGCTCAATGACGGTTCAACCGTTGCAACGTCAACCAGCTGCTTTGAGACGAGATTTGGTCTTGCAGGTTCAATAGAATCAATAGTCTAATCTATATCTGGTTGGAATAGCAGATGCGACAAGGTGAAAGATGTCAACTGGCACTCACAAATCTCTGCACCTCCGTTGTCTCCTACTTACCCAGCGGTTGTTCTTCCAGTTGCATTTGTTCTCTCCAAACAATTGTGTTATTGAACACTCCATACCAATAATTCTTCAAGAGTTCTTGGCACGCAACAAACCACTCATCACCTTTTTTTCCTTTGTTGCCCGCAGCAGAATCGATTCCCAGGGACTGACTGGCTGCAACACTGATGCAAGGTGCGAGTACATCCTCTCCAATGTCTCAAAATTACGCAAATCTTCACCCATTCCTTTCAATAAGCCATACTATCCATCATTCTTACACCTACATGTAAGCACCTACAATAAATACTTCTACCTATAGACTGGCCATCTTGGCTTCAAATCAGCTCAGCCCCACCACATGAAATCTGATAGCCCGTATATTTTCTGCCCCACCTACAAACAAAGCTGCAGTTTATTCCGCGCCCTTTCGATCTGAACAACTTTTGAGCTCTTTTCGAAACCAGTAGCTACAATCGTTTCATTTGTCGTGAAACCATGGTTAACGGCAAGGTCTTGGTTATTGCCGGCTCAGACCCTTCGGGGGGAGCGTACGTATTTCCCCAAGTCCTCTCACTCAGCACCTACCACTCTCCAAGGTGTAGCAATTCATGCTATAACAGCTACTCTCTTACTATTCAAGATCATGAGAAAACACAATTATCTATTTCAAGAGAGTAAATTGATGCATATTTGCTAATGCTACGGATTCAATCACAGCGGCTTGGAAGCAGACCAAAAAGTTCTCGCCGCACATGGCTGCTACGCAATGGCATCAACCACAGCGCTAACCATCCAAAACACAAAAGGCGTAACAGGAGTCCATGTCATTCCATCAGACTTTGTTGGAAAACAAATCGAGGCCTGCCTCGAAGATGTAGGCGCTGACGTGATCAAAACTGGTAAGTTTCCATTTCATATCCAGGACTGAGATGAAACCTGATAAGCAACCACTGACGAAGCCGAAAAGGAATGCTCGCATCTGCCGAAACCATTGAAGTCATTGCCAAACTAGTCACCAAGTACAAAGTCCCAACTCTAGTTGTGGATCCGGTAAGACTGCCAACAGCATCCTTTGCACAAAGCGGAGCTGACAAAGGAGCGCCCTTCGTTCAAAGGTCATGGTCTCAACTTCAGGAGCCCAGCTCCTCCCCCACGAAGCCATCGCGCAACTCTCCCAGCATCTCCTCCCTCACACCACCATCCTCACGCCCAACATCCCAGAAGCAACCCTCCTCCTGACGCAGAATGGCCATGAAGTCGGTGAGATACAGTCAGTCGCCGACGTAGAAGTCATGGGACGCAAGATCCAGGAGCTAGGACCGAAATGGGTCCTGGTCAAAGGCGGCCATATGCCATTTCGACGAGACTTTACAGTAGCAAAGACAGCTGAAGAGCGGGAAATCATCATTGACACTTTGATTGGGCCTGGTGGCATCCCTTTTTACGTGGAGAGCCCGTATCAAGAAAGCACGAGCACTCATGGAACCGGTTGCTCCCTAGCCTGTGAGCTCATCTTGATGAGATGAATGGTAACGATGCTAACTTTTGTGTAGCTGCTATCTCAGCCCGTCTCGCCCAAGGCGCCGACGTCCCCACGGCTGTCCGCGGCGCTTGTCGCTACATCGAAGCAGGCATCAAGTCGGCGCCCCAGATTGGAGGCGGACATGGACCGCTTGATCACTTCCACTCGACATACACGCTTCCTTTCTCGCCGTTAGTATCTGCCACCAAATCATTCTCTCTGACAATTTGACAGGTTATTTTTGGCTAACTCTAGCGATAATATCTAGCGGATACTTCGTCGAATATCTACTCGAGCACCCGGCTGTTCGCGACGTGTGGAAGGAGTTTGTCCACCATCCCTTTGTCATGGCCTTGGGCGATGGAACACTGCCGTTTGAGTCATTCAAAGGATACATTATCCAGGATTACCTCTATCTGGTACATACATTCCCGACTCCTATAATCCAACATGTTTATCCACGACTGCAAACTAACATCGATTCACAGGTTCACTTTTCCAGAGCCAACGCTCTAGCAGCATACAAGGCAAAGAGCATAGGCGACATCTCAAGAGTACGTCCACCACACAATACCCCAAAGAAACAAATCCTAACCATCACCCAAGTCAAACGAAATCGTCACTCACATCCTCCACGAAATGAAACTCCACATCAACTACTGCAACTCCTTTGGCATCTCCGAGCCCGAAATCCAAGCCACCGAAGAACTCCAAGGCAAGCCCCAACTCCCTCTCACCCACTCTTCCAACACCCGCATATCCTAACATGAAATCGTACCCAAGCTTGCACCGCATACACCCGCTACGTCCTCGACGTCGGCCAAAGCGAAGACTGGCTCGCCCTCCAAATGGCCCTCGCTCCATGCCTCCTCGGCTACGGCGCAGTGGCAAAGATGCTTCATGCCCACGCAGATACTGTCCGTGAAGGAAACACATACTGGGCATGGATCGAAAACTACAATGCCGATGACTATGTCGAGGCGGTGAGATTGGGAAGCGGTACGTTATTACTCCTAGTCCGTTTCTACCAGATATGGGGCTGACTCTTGGTGGTGGCAGAACTCATTGAGAAAAACATCCGATTACAGTCGCCGAGTAGGATAGAAGAGCTCATCAAGATCTTCGTGCATGCGACAAAGGTGAGCTTCCAATCATTCTCTAGCCATTGATATGCTTACTAATAAATGCAACAGATGGAGATTGGCTTTTGGGAAATGTTCCCATACAAATAGACGGATTAAATAGACTAAAAGCCGCCTTCGTGTGATGACATGAAAACATAGAAGCGACAATTATGAGATAGATCTTTTAGAGACCGAATAAGCTACAGTATATAGCCCTTGATATTATGTCAAAAAGGTTTATATTTACACCCCTTCTGTTCCCTGAGAATAAACACCATTCTCCCACCTCCTTTCCCCAATCACGCCCTACTTCTTCCACATCGCAGACTCAACTCTCCTCGGCTCCTGCCCATCAGGCATCATCATATCAAATCCTTGCTCCGGCAGAATATCCGGCACATCAGGAACCCCATCCTCATTCCTGCTTGCTGCAGCTCGCTTCGCTCGGCGCGACTGCTGGCCGACCCACGAGGAAATGGATCGGAAGCGAGGGCGCATGTCTTCAGACGCGTTGGTGAGGACGGTGTCTCTGCTGCGGGAGAAGCGGCTGCCGAAGCTCTTCCTCTCAGGGCTACTTCTGACGGCAACGAGGTTAACATGTGAGTCACTGACGCTTGGATTGGCTGTCTTGACAGCAATGGCAGCGGTAGGGGGCTGAATAATTACAATGTCCCCGTCGCCAAACCCTGACGATAAGGAGGATACATCGCTTATGCGAGTATTCTGGCGCAAAGGCGTCCTTGGTGTCCGCGGTGCGTTGTATACACCTGCATTCACACTCTTCCTCGCATTCTCCAAGTGCGCCGCCGCCGCCATCTGCGTACTTGGTCGCACGATTGGTATCCTGATGCCCTCTGGGGAAGGAGGCGGCGATCCCCTTTCCATGGTCCTCACTGGGGTAGAAGGCGGCGTCATTCTCTGCTGGCCTCTCGGCAGAAAGATGTCCGACAAGGATGAGTCGCGCTTCGGTTTGCGGAATATCATCCCATATGAATTCACCGTAACGCGCTGAGGCGGCGTCGAAGTCCCCAGTCTCCTTTCCAGCAGACCACCAGCATTCGCCGCCACCGGAGCCGCAGATTTCTCATTCATAGCAGCGTCGTCATCGTCATCGTTGATACTGCACCAGCCAAGGGCGCTTGGCCGCCGGAGATGTCCCTTCATAGACGTAAACTTTTCGCCCACTTTGCTGGATACACGCCGAGGGCCATCGAAGATCTCGCGGGAGGGGAAATTGGTCGGCCAGGTGCTTTTTCGGCCAGCAGATTTACGCTTGGATGAGCGGCGCCAGAGGAACCAAGCCAAGACAAGAAGAATGATGAATCCACCTGCACCAAGAATAGTAAGTTTTATGCGTTATCCAGAATGTACCGTGGCTCAGAGGTATGTACGCACCAATGGTTGCAGACGCAATGGCGGCCTTTTCGCCACCAGGGCTTAGTTTGGAAGTGCGTGCAGCCTCTCGTCCCTGATCCATAGTCGCCGCTTCACTTGGACTTGGACTGCTCGTCGTTGTGGCCATTTCTATTCTTGTCCTCGTCTCCGCCGTTGATACTGACAAGGTTGTGGGTGTTGTGAAGGAGCTGGTTGTGTCCTGGGTGCTGCTAATGCTGGATCTTTGCCCATCTTTGTCTTTTGATCCCGTCTGATAAGGCGGCGGGATGGCGGGCGTAAGAGAGAGAATTGATCGAGTTGACTTGGAAAAAGTAGACCGAGTAGGCGATGGGGTACTATCGGTCTTCCCATCGTCATCGTCGTCACTATCATCGTCATCGTCACTGTCATCACCACTACCAGTGCTCTTGGGCAGGGCTGCACTAAGGGTGGTTCTGCGAGGGTCGGCAGCTGGCGAAGCAGATGCATAATTACCAGAGATGCCGGTTGCCGGTTGCTGTGGGGGAATAGAGGATGAGGGTGGGAGAGGAGGTTGTGGAGGGGGAGCTGCGCTTGGAGGATCTTTCTTTGGGAGTGGCAAAAGACCGGAAAGTGGGTTTGGTGGTAGCGGTAGCAGAGGAGGAGGTTGAGAAAGAGGAGGAAGAGCAATGCTGAGTGGAGGAGGAAGTCCAAGATCAGCGCGGTTGTCCACATGCTCGTCCTCGTCCTCGTCTTCGCTGTCCTCACTGTCCTCATCTTCGTCTCCATCTCGACCAAATAGTTCCGAGAGGGTCCTCCTCAATAGTGCTCCATTCAATTCGAAGTCGCTTGCTGATTCCTGGACGTTTGTTGTGTCATCGCCGAAATAGTCCTCTGTGTCGCCCTTGGGATTCCATTGTCTTCTCTCCCTCCTCGAGGTTGGCGCCATAGTTCACTATCCAAACCTATTCCACTCTCCCTTTTTTTTCTGAGTAACGTTGTGATAGACCGGCTTCAACCAACGTGCTCAAGTTCATGATAGTGTGCAAATATTCGTTTCTGGATAAAAGGAAAAGAGAGAGAGACGCGAAGCCACCGAAACCATTCACCAACCCGTGCAAGAATCCAGCTCTGCACTTTTTTAAACAAAAACTCAAGAAAATGAAACCATCCCCATAACAAAAATGAAAGAAAGACAAGGATGTACCGAAAGAAGGAAAAAATCCTCTCTCAAAGAGGAAGCATGAAAGAGGAAGAAAAAAAAACGTGGGGATGAGCTAATAAGATATCCATCGCTTGGCTTCCCGGATCTTCAAGTGATAAAATGGGGAAAAGCTCGGGACGGAGTAACCGTAGGTAGGAAACACCGCATAGAGAAGAAATCTGAAGCCAATGAGCTTTCACCTCGAATCCGTTACAGGCTGTCGATCCATCTTGCGCCTCCCCCTCGGCACGTTCTGGGGAAAGAGTGCAATTACTAGCCTCACCAAAGAAGCATAAACTGCCGTGTCGAACCACGAAATTGCGGGAACCGTTAGTATCAGGAAAGAGCTGGATGTGTTAGTGGGATATCCACCCAATCTGAATCTCAATTGGAGACAAGGGGCAAGGACACGGACGGTCAAGATGGCCGAGTCCGTGGCACTAAGTACGCGTACAGGGGAGAGGAGGGCTTGACACCGTCCCTCACAAACTTCCTCATGCTTCCTCATACAATGTTGCCTTGAAATTTTGGTTATAACTGCCTCAGACAAGAGTCCGAGCGCTGTGCTTCATTCATGTACCTTAACACAGCTGTGCGATTTCCTTTCTGTATCAAGAACATCAAGACCGGGGCACGGCGCCACAGTGGCTTCGTATCGGCGTTGGGCTGTTTCCATTCTGGGCATCTTCACATCTTAACAGGCGGCATCTCCGTGCAATAGAAACACCAAGGAAATATGGAAATACAGGGCGTTAAACCTCAACAAGGGAATGCTTGCGACAAGGAGGCCTCGAATGCAACGCGCGCACAGTCAATTGCTGCTACAGCGGAAGCACCATATGTGTCGTCGAGTGTTTCAGGTCATGTAGTAGCGCTAGGACGTGAAACGGAGCAAGTCTTGACTCGTTGAGCTGCCATAGAGAGAGCAGGAGAATCATCGGGTGAGCCCCTTCATCTGGCAAGGTCGGCTGCCGTAAAACAAGTGCGTAGATGCGCATCGGCTGCGTTGATCGTGTCACAAGCTTCCGTCTTGATGGCCGATGTCGAGTTGAGATGACATGATCTACGGAGTGCGTAGATGCGAGTTCCGGTGGCTTGTGGCTAGTGAGAGGACGAAATGAGGCGGGGCATTGGTGGCGCAACCAGTGATGAACAGGGGGAGCAAGATCAGACAGAGAGTGGTCGTTTGAAACAACAGGATATTATTAGATACCTGGGTAATCTACTGTACTGTACTCGATCAATTCAGCAGCAGCTTGAGATGCTGAACATGATTTGCATTTCTGGATGACCTCGGCTGCCGAGGGTCTCACACACTCAATATCTATCAATGCCTTTTAAAGGCTCACACTTATATGCAGTCGAATCTGCTGCGTCAAGTGCATGTGATTGGAGCGCCTCAACACACATGTGAATACACTTGTGAACAGACAATGGAGGGGGAGGGGAGGTCCGCCGACTATGACTCTAGTTTGCAGTGCATATCCGCTGGCCCTGCTCCTAGTTGGCGGTACACGATATTACAGTATGATGCATCCGGATCTGCTTCTGATAATAGAACAACCGCATCTCCATCTGTTGCTCCCAATACGGTCCAGCGATACCGGCCGAATGGCGTGCTGAGGTCGCGTACATCAATTACTCATCGCTGCAAGACGCCCTTGACGCCCGCGTACATAATAGCGTGCGGTTAGCTCTCCGAGGCTGCTCTGCTCTCCTCCTTTTCCAGTCATGGACCCTCCGAAAGATCCCGAGATACGCCTCGAACTCTCCGTCCGTCAGCGCCGCTGGCCGGAGCAGCTTCGGGATCCGGTGGCTTCGATGGGGCTGTCCGTCATCGCGAAAACGCACGGATCAAACCGGCGAGGCCAAGGAGGAGAGAAGTCTAGATGCTGAATTCGAGGCGATGGAAGAGGTTAAGGGGAGGAGATGGGAGAGGAGACGGGAGAGAAGACGAGAGGCACGAGAGGCACGAGATTCTGCTGGTGTCACCGCTAGAGGAAGCCGTCTGCCCTAGCCATGCTTCCAGTATACCGGACCCAAATCAGTCCGCACGTCCTTCGCAGGGCTCGGCTTTCCGGAAAGAGATTGCATGTGTATTCGTACTAAGGCCCCGGCAGTGGACGGAGGCTTACGCTGGCACATGTCTGCAGCAAATCCGGGTGCGTGGCCGGCGGTAGCAGTCGTGATCAATTGGTCGATTCAATCTCTCAATCACTCTGGAAAGCCTTATCGCCTTTTCTCCGTGCTAGGGGCAACGCTTTTGAGTGGGTGCCAGACCCAATCATTTCTGCGTTATTAATTCTACAGCGGGAAGGCGGATGGATTAGAGAAAAAAAAAATAGAGAAAAAAAATTCGGTCCGCTAAAGCTCTCCTTGGGCGTCATCAACTTTTTTTTAGGCCTTCTGCCCTGGTCGAGTCACTGGACAGCTCGAGCTCCATTCCTCTAGCGCACCCTTTAACTGATTTCCTACAATCGTCTTGAAATATTGTCTTGACAATATTGTTTGCCTCGTTCCCTCTCTGATATTGCTATTGTTCCTATTCCCCTGTGGTGGTGTTGATCCCGGTTCCGGAGCCCGAAGCAGATGGCTTCAACTCAGTCAATGAGAGCCCTCGCCAGGGCTGGCCCAATGGGCCCCAATGGCGTCGCATCACGAGCCTTTTCCACCGCGACGAGGGCCATGATGATGCGATCGGCTGCCCGGCCGTCTGTCGCCATGAAGCTGGCTAACTCTGGTCGCATCGCCTTCCGGAGAGCCTACGCCGACGAAGCCCCCAAGCCCAAGCCCGGCAAGCTGCGCAGGACCTTCAGATGGGCCTGGAGACTGACCTATCTCTCTGCCATTGGTCTCGTTGGATTCACTGCCTACAACATCTACGAGGATCGCCACCCCGACGAGCAGTACGAGCCTGATCCCAACAAGAAGACGCTGGTCATTCTGGGTGAGTCAACGCCGCCGTGATGCGCTCACGTGTGAGACAATGTCGAGCTGACCGGAGAATCCGAAACTACACAGGCACTGGCTGGGGATCTGTTGCTCTCCTCAAGAAGCTCGACACCGAAAACTACAACGTCGTCGTTGTCTCTCCCCGCAACTACTTCCTCTTCACCCCCCTGCTGCCCTCATGCACCACCGGCACCATCGAGCACCGCTCCATCATGGAGCCTGTCCGCGCCATTCTCCGTGGCAAGAAGGCCGCCGCCAAGTTCTTCGAAGCCGAGGCCACCTCCATTGACCCTGATCGCAAGGTCGTGCGCATTGCCGATAACTCTGAGATCAAGGGCGCCACCTCCGAGACGGAGATCCCCTACGACATGCTTGTCGTTGGCGTCGGCGCTGAGAATGCAACCTTTGGCATCCCCGGTGTCAGGGAGCACAGCTGCTTCCTGAAGGAGATTGGCGATGCTCAGCAGATTCGCAAGAAGATCATGGACTGCGTTGAGACTGCCGCCTTCAAGGGCCAGACGCCCGAGGAGATCGACCGCCTCATGCACATGGTCGTTGTCGGAGGTGGCCCCACTGGCGTTGAGTTCGCTGGCGAGCTCCAGGACTTTTTCGAGGAGGACATCAAGAAGCTGGTCCCTGACATCAGCCCCCGCTTCAAGGTTACTCTGATTGAGGCCCTGCCCAATGTCCTCCCCATGTTCTCCAAGACTCTCATCGACTACACCGAAAACACCCTCCGTGAGGAGAAGATTGACATCAAGACCAAGACCATGGTCAAGAGGGTCACCGAGAAGGCTGTCGAGGCTGAGGTATCCCGCCCTGATGGTTCCAAGGAGCGTGTCCAGATCCCCTACGGTCTGCTTGTCTGGGCCACCGGAAACGCCGTCCGTCCCATCATCAAGGACCTTGCTAGCAAGATCCCTGCGCAAAAGGACTCCCGCCGTGGTCTCGCCGTGAACGAGTACCTCGTCGTCCAGGGAACCCGCGACATCTGGGCCATTGGCGATTGCGCTGTTGCTGGCTACGCCCCTACCGCCCAGGTGGCCTCGCAGGAGGGCACTTTCCTCGGAAAGCTGTTCAACAACATGGCCAAGACGGAGAACCACGAGGGCCGTATCCAGGAGCTGAGCAGCAAGCTGAACATTGAGAGCGGCAACTCTGCCGAGGCTGCTCAGGAGATTGAGCTTCTGGAGCGACAGCTCAAGAAGATCCGTGACGTCAAGCCCTTCAAGTACAGCCACCAGGGAAGCTTGGCTTACATTGGCAGCGAGAAGGCTGTTGCCGACGTCAGCTGGTGGAACGGCAACCTGGCCACCGGTGGTAGCCTGACCTATCTCTTCTGGAGAAGTGCCTATCTCTCCATGTGCTTCAGCAGTAAGTCCCCTTTTACACAAGGTTCTCATTTGCCATCTTATAACTAACGACATTTACAGCACGAAACCGTGTTTTGGTCCTCGTGGACTGGCTCAAGTCCAAGGCTTTCGGCCGTGACGTCTCCCGAGAGTAAATACTAGACGAAGAGAAGAAAACATGATGAGAGCATAGAGAGAAGCAAGAATCAAAATTTGGCGCAGGCAGAGCGGCTGGTTGACCGCACCATTTGAAGCAACCACTATTCTATCATGGGACACATGAATCTCGCATATGCATGATTGCTCGCGGGCGTCTGTTCTGTGTGTTGAGCGGAGACTTTTTTATCGTTTCTTTTTTATGACATAGAGAAGGCGTCTTTAACCGCCTGGGCTGGAGACTAATAAAAAGCCGGATTGGGTTCGAGGTTAGGATACCTCACTTGTTTTGTAACTACTAGTATTCTTGTTTCATACATATCACGGGGCTGGGGGAGGAGGCTACCTAGTCGTTGCAGGAATTGTAAAGGTGATTACATGAAGATGATGTGTTTTGATCTAATTATTGTGTTTATTTGCCAAGTAGTGTCTGTGTCAATATGCTTTTTTTCTCTTTTGAGGCCTACACAATCTCATGACAGGTTGTTTCACCCAAGTGAATTCATACACTACATTTTAGGCGAGGCGTCAGCTAGAGTTTTCTCATCACAAGTTGCCACACGCCAGCTCTCGTATCAGGACAACATCCCTCTCGCTCAATACTGCAATCCAAGCATCCCTACAGGCATACAATTCAATCTAGTCACCCTCATGTATCATACTTGGTTTGAAACACCACTTTTCAACTCAAATTGGCCAATTTCGTCGTCGCAAGAAAAAATTGATTCACTCCAGGGTAGGCTATGACGCGTGATTACATCAGCAAGTTGCCACCCGGGTACGTACCGGCAGGCGCCATCGAGATTTTCTTAGCGCCAAAAAAAAAAAAAAAAACTGCAGGCAAGGAAGAAACTTAGGCGCAGACCGAATCCCCCCTGCTTTCCGAATTCCTTCTCTTTCAACAAACAATCTCCAGACGCCAACCTCTGGCTTCTTCTCTCTCTTTCATTCAATCTCCCCTCATCGCATAGCAGAGGCAAACCATCAGAACCGCTGGTTCTTGGTCTTTCTGACGCGTTCTTTCTTTCTCCCCTTGTGCCAGAATCTACCTGCTTGACCCTCGAGTTGACCTGACAACCGCGTTTTCACCCTTGCCCAGAAACCCTTTGCGAATCAACTCAACTCAGCAGAATGTCTGGCTACGGCGGCGGTCGATCCAACGGCGGTGGTTACGGAGGCGGTGGTGGTGGTGGTTACGGTCGTGATCGTGGTGATCGCGGCGGCGACCGCAACGGTTATGGAGGCGGTGGCTACGGTGGAGGGTAAGTTGTTTCATTTCCTCTCCCTGTTTGATTTGCGCAGGCAAGAGTTGAGATTCTCATCTCTTTGCGACACCTGCGTACCCGCTGGAACATTCGTTTCACCGGCTCGATCGTTCTTTCACATTCATTTCGCATCTGCAGCGAACCTTGACTAACGAGAATTTTTGTTTAGTCGTGGCGGATTCGGCAACGGCCATGGCGGAGGCTACGGAGGCGGTGGTGGTTATGGAGGCGGTTATGGAGGCGGCGGCGCTGACCGAATGGGTCACCTCGGCGCTGGTCTGCAAAAGCAGGATTGGGGTATGTCTTCACCTGGTGTTTTCACCGTACTTTGGACTCGTTTCTTCTTTTTCTTTTTGTACACTTTTTTGCTGACTCTGGACAATGCAGATCTCTCTACCCTTCCCAAGTTCGAAAAGGACTTCTACAAGGAGTCTCCTGATGTCAGCGCCCGCTCCTCAGCCGAAGTCGACGATTTCCGTCGCAAACATCAGATGACCATCGCTGGTCGTGAGGTCCCCAAGCCCGTCGAGACTTTCGATGAGGCTGGCTTCCCTCGCTACGTCATGGACGAAGTCAAGGCCCAGGGTTTCCCTGCCCCTACCGCCATTCAGTCTCAAGGATGGCCCATGGCTCTCTCTGGACGTGACGTTGTCGGTATTGCCGAGACTGGTTCCGGAAAGACTCTTACCTACTGTCTTCCTGCTATTGTTCACATCAACGCCCAGCCCCTGCTCGCCCCTGGCGACGGCCCCATTGTCCTGATCCTTGCCCCCACCCGTGAGCTTGCTGTCCAGATCCAGCAGGAAATCTCCAAATTTGGTCGCTCATCGCGCATCCGCAACACCTGCGTCTACGGTGGTGTTCCCAAGGGCCCTCAGATCCGTGACCTCTCCCGAGGTGTCGAGGTCTGCATTGCCACCCCTGGTCGTCTCATCGACATGCTTGAGGCCGGCAAGACCAACCTGCGCCGTGTGACTTACTTGGTCCTCGACGAGGCTGATCGCATGTTGGACATGGGTTTCGAGCCCCAGATTCGCAAGATTATCGAGCAGATCCGACCTGACCGACAGACTCTCATGTGGTCTGCCACCTGGCCCAAGGAAGTCCGTGCCCTTGCTGCCGACTTTTTGCAAGACTTTATCCAGGTCAACATTGGTTCCATGGAGCTGGCTGCCAACCACAGAATCACCCAGATTGTGGAGGTTGTTACCGAAATGGAGAAGCGAGACCGCATGATTAAGCACCTCGAGAAGGTCATGGAGAACAAGGAGAACAAGATCCTCATCTTTGTTGGCACCAAGCGTATCGCGGACGAGATTACTCGATTCCTCCGCCAGGACGGATGGCCTGCTCTCTGTAAGACTACCCTCCCCGAAACCGCCCGAATGTCAATGTCAGAAACTAACACTCGTCTTAGCAATTCACGGAGACAAGCAGCAGAACGAGCGAGACTGGGTCCTCGACCAATTCAAGACCGGAAAGAGCCCTATCATGGTTGCTACCGACGTGGCGTCCCGTGGTATCGGTAAGTATCAGCCCTCTTTATCCCCAATCTCTAGCAACTTCCAGCAAAAGCACTTGCTGTATACTTTACTCTCGCGTTTAGGGGCTATCTTTATTGTGCGCATCTGCCTGACCAAACCGTGTCGGTATGGTTCTCATTATGTGGTGGAGTCTTGATCCGTTGTGTAGCGTTCCCCTCTGCTATACTCGTATTTCCATTCTTGTACCTTGCTCACTCCCGTGGTACAAAGGTGGAGGTTGGCATCTCTTGACCCCGATCAAGCTGTCTCCCCAAGGCTCCTCGTCTCCCCTGAGGACCCCCGTAATCACATAATATGTCCCCCTACAAAGAGGATGGATTGGCATTTTGAAAAAAACGCACTTGGATTGGCCCTGGTTTACCAAGGAGTGAAGTACACAGATGGACGATATAATTACGCCGTCTCTTCACGTTCCGCGCTGGAGGTTGCTATACATACCCGTATTTCGTTTGCTAACCCTTTTTTTTTCTCTGTAATCAAAAGATGTTCGCAACATCACCCATGTGTTGAACTACGACTACCCTAACAACTCGGAGGACTACATCCATCGTATTGGTCGTACCGGTCGTGCTGGCCAGCACGGAACGGCCATTACGCTCTTCACCACTGACAGTAAGTTGCCTCATTGGTTGCGTTGATGATGGAGAGACAAGAAGCTAATCATGATTGTGAACAACAGACCAGAAGCAGGCTCGTGATCTTGTCAATGTCCTCCAGGAGGCCAAGCAGCAGATCGATCCTCGCCTGGCCGAGATGGTCCGTTACGGTGGCGGCGGCGGTGGTCGCGGCTACGGTGGTTACCGTGGCCGTGGCGGCGGCAGAGGTGGGTATCGTCGATGGTAGAGCAACAAGGGCAGGGTCGGGAGCTGACCGCGGTCTATCAGCCAACTCCAACAACCTTCCACTCGGCAATCGACGATGGTAAGAAGGAAGAATTCGTCAGCGACCCGGACAGGCGCAAGTCAATGACTGTGCGTACCCGGAGGGCATGACAGACGTGAACGGCCCATTGCACTCAAACGGCGTTTGATAGAGGACAGGATTGGTTTCAACTAGACATTGACTCGCATCCCTGCGAAGTCATCGGTTATTTGGTTTTTGCTGTTGACGGATATTTTGTCGTTTTGCTTTTGCCTCTTTTTCTATTTTTCTTTTCTAATGGTTTGAACGTATATCACATAAGGACACGGGAGAAGGTGATCCATTGTTATCAGTCACTTACTTTGCTACCATTTCGATGAATTCATCGACACTGGCATAGGCTGCTCTGCCTCGAGGGTTAACATGTATGTTGATAGAGAAAAAAACGAGGTCTGGAATGACACGCATTTGGGCATGAAGCTCGTTTCGTTTCCTGATGTGACTGTTGCATGAAGAGTGAAGGAGTGCCATAAACATGTGACGCCAGAGAAGGAATGTCGATGCGAGACGTTTTATATAGCATCAGCAGGTGGTCACCGGGGAATCCTCTATTCATCCTCTTTTGTCTTGCATGAAGAAATCCTGAGAGCAATGACATGACTTGAGATTGCCATGTCTGCAACGCACGATTTGCGAGTTCAACAGAATACGCTTTCAAGGTTAGGTAGGTTGCCGAATCCATAATAACCTCTTAATCGTTGTATCAAGAATCCTACGAAAAATGTTACATCACATGCATCAACCCAAACAGCAAATCACGTCCCTCGCTCAAGACACGTCTCCTTAATCCCCGTCACAAAAAAATCCTGCCCATCCACCCTCCTTAACCTTTTTTTTTTTTTTTGTTTGTTTTAATTTGCATCCCCAACTTTAATATATGAGAGACACACACACGCCTTTGGATAAATGGCAAAACTCCTTTTTTGCCAAGGAGGCCCAAGAGGAAGGTGTATAAACACCAAAAAAAGCGCGTCCCGTGCAGAAAGACGCGCTACGCGAAAAGTGAAAAATGTTCAGCTGCGTTTCTTTTTCCTCTTAGCTTGGGGTTTCTATATTTGGAGGATGGAGGTTTTTTTCTTTTGGCTTTGATTATGGTAAGATGTCATTATTTGCTTCTTTTGCTTTGTGAAATGCAAGGGATCTACGAAATGAAGTACGTAAAGTAATACATCATCTACGACGCAGCAAGGGGGTAATTCATCATACGCCAGGATCGAGATCTGTTCTCTTTTTTTTTGCTTTTTTTTCAAGGACCAGCTTTTGGGATGCATATACTAGCATCTATTAGAGTAGTAGTTATATCCCTACATCATGCATGTGTGTCTACTATAATTACCACTTCTCCGCCTTATAATCTTCCTCTTTCTTTTTTTACTTCGCTTCGATGCACCTGAGCTCTCAGCTGAGCCTGAGCTGAACTGAAATCCAAAAAGCCCAGGATTATCCTTCCCCCCCTTACATTCTCTTTACTTTTTCCTTCTTCTTCTTCTTCTCCCCTCCGACACACATGCATATAAATAATATTACCAGGATCAGAAAAAACGCCTCGTCTCAAAGTAAAAAGAAACGGCACGCGAGATGGGTTGAATGAGAAATGATATATAATAAAAACATCATTCATGTAAGACCCCCCCTACCCCAATACAAAAATACCACATTCCCATACATTACAAGGGCAAAAAGTAAGACGTACGTGCGTTATGTATATATGTATCTTGTTAAACGCGAACCCGCGAAGCAATGCCACATAAAAAAGGGTGCCTAAAAACACACGGTAAAGGGGGATCCATTCACAAGACGAAAGGAATAGACAATCTACAAGGTCCGTACAACCAAAGGCGTAAAAAAGAAGAAGAAGAAGAAAAGAGTCACAAAGACACCCCCCCCCCCCCCCCCCTTGGCGGATTGTTGGTCAGACGGACGAACAAGCCATGCCTGAAACTTGCTTCCATGCTCAATCAATAAAAAATACCAAAAAAAAAAAAAAAAATGATATACTATATACTACTGTGTGTATCCTCACACAAAAATCATCCATGAATAGAAACACACTCACCCAAAACCGCAAAATATCCTCTTCTTCCGTCCAAGCTTCTCTCCTCCCGACCATCCGGTCCCCGTTCAGAAAAAAGAAAAAAACCTCAGACACACAAGAGGTCCATGCACACACCGCCCGGCTCTTCAGTTGCAAAAAAAAAAAAAAAGAAACACGAAACAAAAAATCCAAGACAATCGGCGAACTGATTCAGAAAAAAAAGCAAATAGGCCTGTGTCACATTAAAACCAACGACAACACTTGGTTGGTTGAAAGGAAGGGGGGGGGGAGGAGGGTAGTGAGTGCTGCACACCCCCCCTTCTCAACAGAAAAACGGCTGGGCTGACGGGCAACACCGAAAGGAACAAAAAATTTACCCAGAAAAAAAAATACATTCCAAGGAAGAAAAGGCTGAAAAAGGGCAAAAGACAAAAATCCTGCTTGGTATTCGGAAATCACGGCATGGATACATGGCGAGAAGATAATCAATAGTAAAAGCCATCTTTTTCCAAATACTCAGCTCATTGAGATGTATATCAAATCGTGTATCAAAATCGAATCGAATGACTCGCGAAAAAAAAAAAGAGTGTATTAAAAAGAGGCTGTCCGTGCAATCTCTATAGTCTAGATGGGCTCAATCGCAGCTGAAGCTAGCCCCGACATCTTTGCTTCTTTGGGCATGGCAACTCTCAATCAGAGGCGTATTGGTTCAAGCCATCTGATTCTAGTTCCCAAGCACCCGGGATCAGCGCGTCTGAACAATCGCGACTTAACTACCAAGAAAGAATTAAAAAAAAAAATTGGGCAGACAAACAGTGAAATGGGGTGTTTAGCCCACAATGCTCTACAAACAGCCGACGGCCATACCAAGTCACAGCGAAATCATCTCGTCGAGCCCTACGGGTCATCACATCACATCATAGCCGGAGACCGCCTTTGCTCAAAAACCCTTTCTGCGCACAAGGTACGGAGTTGATGACGCAGAGGTGACCTCTCGGAGAAACGGGAGGGGGGTGCAAGATACACACACATGCAGTGAAAATAGAAATCAAAAGAAAAAGGCGAAGGCACGAGAAAGTGACGAGGAGGGGCGGCAGAGGGCATCTGCTGAGATCCAACCAGAATCCATTCCTTCGGACTGGGGACCTGGTTGGAGGTCATTTTTCTTCGTTCCCGTTCCATACTGCATACTGTACGGGAATCCTGACCGATAACACCGCTTCCAAAAAAGCAGGCACAGCGGGCGTGGCTGAAGAGTCGGGGTCAACAAAAAAAAAAAGAGACACAAGAGAGGCCAGAAAAGATCCCCTCGCCGGCGTGAACCTTTCAAGGAAGTGCCCGTGTGTCAACGAATAGCGTTCCTTGACACCGAATAGGAAAACACAGAGAGGTTGAAAAAAAATATTCAGGCCCCATTGTCATGCACGTCTTGCCCCCCTCAGATGGACCAGAGAGAGAAGAGAGAAAAAATGGGGGAGCCACATTTTCAACAACCTTGCCCACAGTGCATTCATCATTGAATCCCAGTCAAAGCGATCAGTCAACTCCTGAGGCTGAGAACGAGGGGAAAGGGAAAGAAAACCTGGCCTGGTCGCCGAACTGACAAAGCTGAATGCAGAGAAAACCGACCAGGGGTCACAGGGACGAGACCCAAGAGACCCAGCAAATCGCTCCGCTCGCAATGGTTCACTGCCTCCTCTCTGCTCCTCTACGGAGTCCATCTCCGCCTGGGTGAATCAACCATGCCGGGATGGGCGTAGTAAGCACGTGGTGAAGGTGGCGTTATGCTACAGGAGGAAAACAAGCTGGTGAGTGTGTGGGAAGAGGGGGGCGGCCGACAAGAGGTACAGAGTACGGCCAGTTACTCTATACAGTATTTCGTAAACAGTACTCCCTACCGTTATGGAGGTTGTTTCGGCGCTGGATACTGCAAAAGAAATGAGTTGAAAGAGGCAGGACCCGGCCGTGATCTTCATTCTTTGAGACGAGACGCGTTGGAAAAGCGCACCTCTCTCACTCGAACCAGGGGGACGGTCAGGCTAGCCAAAGCCAAGACACGGAAGACAGCTGCCAGGGGGGGTGTAGTGACTTGACCAAGCATCGTGATAGCCATGGGTCAGATGCCTCTCGTCAACCTTATTATATCCAATTGTCAAACTGTCTCAAGCGAGGCCATACAGTATTCCCCTCCTCATGCCACTCGACGACGAGCGAGACCGCTCCATGAGAGGAGAAGAAGCAAGAAAATGTGACCAAGGGGGGTGTGTGACGGGGGTTCAATGCAGGCAAGGGAAACAAGATGGCACGCGTGATTCGGCGGCCGCAGCAACAAGAAAAGACGGTGATTTGAGGTTTGAGCTGTCCATGTAGGCAGGATCAGATGCCTTGCCCAGCACAGTCGTATTTTCCCAGCTGTACCGGGAACGTATCGAGTACACAGCGCAACCATGTGCACGTAGCATTAGACAACTTGACCGTCTTTTCGCTTCCCGCCTCTAGGCTCATGGGCTGAACAACTAGCCCACAAAAAAAAAATCCAGAGAATAGAGGGTAACCACAAGAAAAAAAAAAAAAAAAAGACGCGAACACTGGGCGGGAACTGGGAATCGCCATGCCATAGGCCAGCCAAGGGGGGGCCCAGAATGTCGGGGGAGCCGAGATGACTCAACAAGAATGGGGTTTAGCAGATGTTCGCCGACGACATGCTTGCAAGTACCAGTACAGTACGCAGTTCCCCACTCTATTTCAGACGACGACAAGACGACAGAGATCGGATAAGGACGTCAGGAAACATATTCCTTCTCCGTAATGCTGCAGCTGCAGCTGTCGAGGGAGGGAGGGGGGAAGGATATTGGCATGTCACAGTTATCCTGCGGATGGAACCCTCGTCCGGGGGGGGTCAGATACCGTACATACAAGTAGTACAGTAGACAGACGGGGCCTACGAACGCAGCAACGAACAGAATGTGAGCCCAAGGCAAAATCTCCCATTGGCGGCGGGGCAGTGGATGGATGCCGGGATGGGCAAATAGAAGGCATCAGATGAGTGCGCAAAGGGGGGCGTCTGCAGAGCGAGCAGCAATCGCGGAGGCGAGCCATGGGTCCTCTGCTCACCCCTGGTCGTTGGCCTCTTAGTCATGGGAGAGGGGAGAGAGAGAGAGACGAAAGAACGAAGAGCGAGGCCTGCGTCGGCAAAATGGGCCTTGAAACGTCAAGCAAAATCCATGACAACAGCCGCACAAGCAGGGGTGGGCAGACGCACAAATCGTGAGGTTGGCAACTCGAAAAGCGCAGCGTGTCCACTGGCAGACGTCATCGCACTTCGTAAAAAGCACCAGCCAATATCGAATGCGACCCCGTCGAGGTGGCTGAAACAGTTATC